CTTGCGATTATATCCCACGCCACGTCGTCTTCCGGCGTTGCCTCTTCCGGCAGTAGCGGGCCCATCAAGGGGGGAATGACCCGCGGCGAACGACCCATACGCAGTTGGAAGGGGGAGTAGCCAGTAGATTTGTTAATGGAATTCATAATCTGAAAACGCACCCTGGGCAGGGCGCACACCCATCCACGCTGGTTCCGAGCCACGCGGTACTGCAGGCATTGATTCAATGTCTTGTTCGTCCGCTCGCTGGCCCCGTCGGTCTCTGGATGAAACGCGGTCGACATCTTCAGTTTCACGCCGGTTAGCTTGTGTAGTGATTTCCAGAATGCAGAGACAAATAGCTTGTCCCTGTTGGAGATGATCTCCAGAGGCAAGCCATTTTCACAGTACCAGTGTTCGAAGAAGATCAGCGCAAAATCTTCCGCCGAAATGTCTGTCCGGGTTGCCACGAAACGGATGTCGGAACCCAGACGGTCTGTGAACGTTGCAATGCAGTTCTTTCCATTGTCCAATGGGAGGGGGCCAACAAAGTCTATGGTGACCGAGTCGCCCCGCTTCTCCGGAATCGGCAGCGGGTGCAGTGGGCCGGCAGATTTACTTGTAGACGACTTGTTCCTCTGGCAGTCGGGACATGAAGGAACATACCCATCTTCCAGGTCACGGCGCATGCCTGGCCAGTAATACCCTTCACGCAGGGCAGCGTATGATTTCTGGAAACCGAAGTGTCCACTATCGTCATGGGCCAGGCGGAAAAGTTTCTCTCGAATGTTGCCCCATCTTGGAATGATCAGTCTAGAACCCACAAACCACAGACCGTTATCTTCCCTCATTCCCGATATGCTCTTCGTCAATGCTGGCAGCTTCGCGCACCACTTGTCATCGGCGTAACCACGGCGGATCTCGTCAATCAATTTGGCATCCGATCGTATCTGCAGCGTGCTCGCTACTGTTTGCAGGGAGGGAGAACTTGATCCCATCTCGGTCGCCCCACATGCTCTATCGCAGGCCAACAGGTGAGCTGGCAGGAACGCGCCCTTCTTCAATGCTCCAACTGCATTGAAACTTTCCAGATCGTCTTGCCAATCCCCTGGGACCTCGGGTAGTTCGCTCCTCGAATCCTCCGTTTCCCCGAAATCCATGCGGGACAGGGCGTCAGCGGCACAATTCTCTTCTCCTGGGACGTACACAATCTTTGCATCAAATTGCGACATGAATTCCATCCAACGGGCCTGACGGTGGGACAAGTCACGTTGCGTGGCAAAGTTCTCTAATGTTCGGTGATCTGTATAGATCTCGAAGGACGCGCCCACCAAGTCAGAACGCCAGCGGCGCAAGGCTCGAATGATCGCCAACATCTCCTTTTCGTGGACTGCGTAGTTCAGTTCCGGGCCTTTGAGCATCATGGAATCGAACGCCACTGGTTGTGCCGACTCCCATGTGGGGCCATACAAGAGAACAGCACCTGTTCGGTAGTCACTCGCATCAGTCGTTACAAAAATCTTGTTGTCACTGTGGTCCGCGTGGTTTATTGTTGTCAAGCAGTCGGCACTCAACACCAACGACTTGATGTTGTCAAAAGCGACCTGGTGTTCGGCCTTCCACCCCGGGAACTGTTTGTCGGCCAGTTTCGTCGTCAAGGGAGTCAATACCATCGTCTCTTGGGCCAAGTTTGGCAGGAACTGAGATACATAGCGGACTAGACCCAAAAACGCGCGCACATTGGTTGCCGACTTTGGAGTCGGCCAGTTCGCAATCCGCTGGACTTTGTCCTCGCACGGTTCAATTCCCCAGGTTGAAATCCGGTGTCCTAAAAACACCACTTCGCGGCAAAACAGCTTCGTCTTCTTCTCATTACAATACAAGCCCGACTTACGGAGGGCTTCGAAAACATCATGTATGTCTTTCTCGTGTTGATCGATTCCGTCCGACCAGATTATGATGTCGTCAAGGTATACATGGCATTTGATCCCAAGGTAGGGCCGCAGTGCCGCTGTAACCCGCCTCTGCTGCACTGATGGCGCGTTGCGCAAGCCCTGCGGCATCACCATCCATTCATACAGTCCCAATGGCGTGCTGATTGCAGTGTAAGGAATGGAATCCGGGTGCAGCTTCGTTTGAAAAAAACTGTCAGTGAAATCTATAGTGGACCAGATGTTCCCTTTTGCGGCATCAGCCAGAATGTCATCAACTCGAGGCAGCGGGAACACATCATGCACCGTGTTTGCATTCAGTTCTCGGAAGTCGTTTACCCAGCAGGGTAACGCCAGCTTGTCAGCCTTTGGGATCAGGAAGGCCGGCGAAGCAAACGGTGAATTTGATGGACGGATACGTCCCGCTGTCAGATGCTTATCTATCAGCAGTCGCCACGCTTCTCGGTATTTCCGTGGACTCTGGTATGTGCGTTTTGAGAGTGCCTTGTGTGCATCCTTCAGACGAATTTCACAGACCACGTCGTCTGCTAGCCGATCAATATGGGGAATTGGTTCAAAGATCTCACGGAATTTCGATTTCAGACTCTCTCCTCTCTGTTGCAGCATCTCCCAGTCTGCCAGCACCTCGATACGCTGACGGACTGCGGCCACCACGTCTACCTCTTTGACTGGTTCAAACAGGTCCTTTGCCAGCATGTCCTGTTTCCTGGATTCGCACACAGACTTGAGCTCCGTTTGCAGTTGTTTCAAGTCTGCCCGCGTCTTTGTCAGGCGGTCTCGTAACCGCGGTCGAGGCACAGGCGGCGGCCGAAGCGGCGCAGGGTCCAACAAATTATATTGACATCATTTGTCGATTACAGAGCGTGCTTCCACGTCAATTACAATGTGATTTCTTCCAAGCCACGGCAGTCCAAATATCACGTCAACACAGAGAGCAGGAGTTACCAGCGCCCGGACCACGTTTGATTCCCAGTGCTGGTCCAGAGAGAGTGTTCACAGTTTCACATATTCCAGTACTTGTGTTGGGGCATAGTCATGTACGTCGGTCGTTGCAACATTGAAGGTTTCGGGTTCACGTAGTTTGAAACGGCGCAGTCCAAGTCGTTGCACAAGATTGTCCCGGATTAAGACTATGTGTGCCCCGGAGTCAATCAGTCCACAGGCGGCAACGAGGTTTCCCACTCGGGGACCATTCATCAGGAACTCCCACACAAAGTGGTCGCTACAATGGGATGGTCCCGTGTTCTGGGAGGAATCACTCACACGTGTGCTCAGGTCATCCTCAGTGTCGGTGTACTCTTCCTCCTCGTTCTCGCTGTCGGATTTCGGGAAGACGGCAGCCACCGCCTTTATCGCCGCACGAGGGATGCCGAACTTGGTCGCTTGCGCTTCTGACAGTGCGTTCCGGGCGGCGCTCGCCGTTGTGAGACTGAGCGGCTTGTACGATTCGGCAGAGGGGAAGGTGCAAACACGGTTGGATGAGCGGTGGTCCACATAGAACTTCCGGCATGTACGACAGCCATGGTGGTTGTTTAGCAGTTGTTTGTCTGCTTCGGACAGTGGGGGGAGGCGTCCCGAACGAGCGTTGGTGGACGAAGAGGACGAAGAAGCGACGGATGGGGGAGGCGCGTTTTCGTTGGTACGAGTCTGTTTCTTTGGGCGGGAATCGTACGTTCCCATAGAAGGAGCGGCGCGTTTGCGTTGTGCTTTGAACATCTTGCGTGCACGCGTATTTTCTTTCATGTGCTTCCCGTTGAGTCGGACCACCCCTTTAAGCCACTTCCCAAAGTCCGTCTCCTCGTTCACGATCTTGTCTTCGATGACCAAGTCATTCAAATCCGCCACCATGGCGGTTTCCAAGTGCAGGCGCATACGATCGTCGGGCAGGTGGTATTTGGAGCCGGTAAGCAACGCGTTGCGTGAACGAATGAGTGTCGAGAAGTGGTGGAAGGTGTCATCGTCGGACATCTTCTGCTGCATTATCTCACGGCGGATATCCAAATCCCACTCCGCGGGTAGCATGACGCCACGAATTGTCTTCATCAGGTCGTCAAATGTCCCGGCTAGTGCTGTCGCGCGTTCGTTCTCGAGCTCAAGCAATTTGGTGATGCGAAAATCGCGGAAGCAGGACATTGCTATGGCGACCTGTTCGTCATCCGGCACCTTCTTTATCGTGGTGTAATTGCGGAAGGAGATCGTAAACTCGCGCAGAACGGTGGGGGTGCAATCGCCCTCAGTGAGTACCGGGGCTTTGCTCGAATGAGTCTCGATTGTTGCCTTGGGCACGGTCGTGGAGTCTTGTGACTGCATGCGGATTGTATGGCGTTGATGAGAGACAGCAGGGGGAGACGGTGTGCAAGATGAGCTATCAGAATCGGAACAGGCAATTAGCGGGACTGGGCAAGATGGGGATGATGATAACACGGCGGGTCCTGAGCGTGTCACAGAGGGGGGTTCTGAGCGTGTTAACGTTCGGATGGTCATTCTTTGACTGCAAGTTTGCAGCGAATGAGGCACAGATGGGAGACGGGCGGCCAGTGTGACTGCAAACAGTCAATATATGCGGTGAAACGGTAACAGCGGGAGCCAGTAATAAGACAGACACGTTCGTCTGAACGTTCTACGGCACGGTAACAGCGGTACGACCAGTCGTTTATCCCCACGAGGGCTAATAGCTCTCGGAGGCGGTTGTGTGCAAGGGAGGACATCACTAAAAAAGTGGAAGCCTGGGCGTACCTGTACGCCAAGAAACACTGGGAAAGGACGAAGGGAGGAGACGGAAGAAAAGGGCGGGTGAGAAACTAGTGAAAAGTCCCTTGCGTGGGGATGTATATGCAGTGCGGAAGTAAGCTGAGGGATCCTCTATCCTATGTACGTAACGGTAACGTGATGTGCTGGTATGCGCGTGAGTCCACCGGGCTTACAGCTCCCGACCCAACGACTACGTAGGTGTCGATAGGTCTGATGTTGTGAAGATCGGATCAGGTGTTTGTCATATGATGCACACAACCCGAGTCCCATAGAAAACGAACTTTGGAGTCGTCTCCCATTTGTTCAACAAAAATTCCATCATTGATGTGTTTGAGGGAGTCACTCATGAGATAGGACGAAATGTGCATGTAGGAGGGGCTACAACTTCTTTTACAGCGCTAGTACCATCACCACTCTTCTTCTCCTTCTTCTTTTTCTTCTTCCCCTCATCCTGCTTCCCCTTGCCTTTGTCAGATGATTGACTGTTAGGCTTGAGGTTGGGATACTTCTTGTAGCAGGATGCTGCAACATGACCGGACTTGTTGCAATGAGTGCAGCGGGTGGCGAGGGACGGAATGGTGGAAATCTTCGAGTTCGACGTCGTGTCGAGGTTCTCAATCTTGATATTCCCAATGACGCTGTTCTTGACATCGACTGGGTTCAAGGAAGCGATAGGACGATTGGCCAGATAAGAGGTGACGAAACCTCTGCTGGAAGCAGGCAAGGCGGTGAGCATTAGAGTTGCAAAGAGGTAATCGGGGATCTCAATTCCTCCTTCTGAACACTGGCGACAACGAGTCTCCATTTCCATGATTTGCTTTTCAATGGTGTCACCACCATAGAAGGTGGTGGTGTTCAGGAGGCGGTACTCGACAAAAGCATTGATGGCATTTGGTTGGCCATAATCCGTCACCATCTTTGCAAAGACCTCGCGCGCAGTGCGCTCCTGCTGACCATCCATAAAGATTCCCTTGCACAGATTCTGGGTGATATAAACCTGCGCAAGACCCAGTGCCTTTTCATTGGCAACGTCCCATTGATACTGGCTGTCGCCAGCCGTTCCAGGACGCTCCATAGAACCAGGGTTTGAGGTAGATGTGCCGTTAACCGTAATATGAGTGGGTTTAACCACTCCCCAAGTGCCCTGATGCATGCAGATGCTCATGTAGTTGTCCAACCACGTATTCCAATTGGTGCCATCGAAGACACTCAGAATGGAGTTGTTGAGTTTCTCAATTCCCGACATCGTGGGGAGATACTCGATAACGTCGGCGGTTTGGTAGTGGAGAGAGGGGAATTCAATATAGGGAGGATCACCGAATAGGGACCGAAGTTCAGGAGTCCAATTGTCCTGATGGTGAAATAGATCTTTGTTGTTGTGTTCACCAAGTTTGTATAGGTCTTCCCAATCGGTGTCTTGAAGGGTTGTATAAGAAGGTCCCTGAGCCCAACGGACAACAGGAAATAGGATAACCCCAACGGGAGGGTCGTCTGGTGATGACAGGGTGATAGAGATGAAGACTAGAGCGACGAAGTCAGCCCCAGATTCTCTGCAGACCAAGAAACAAAATCCCGAGTGCCAAATCTCTGAAACAAGAACGACCAAGCGTCCCCATCCCATCCATGATGCCCATATACACGTGGAGAATGATAACGAAATAAAGCGGTATAGTAAATGCCCATATTTGTATCAAAGTAACGTAACTATATACGTCAGCGGCGGCAGTACCCGACGGTGATTACTGCCCTCGCAGTCCGTCACTGGCCAAGGGACACGTGCCCAAGGCCGTCCCAAGCACCGGGTTTGACCGCCCATCTTCTCCCTTTTAAAGACATGCATACATGCAGAGCGTTATTGCATGAATCCTTGTAGTGTCACCAGCCCGCAGGGTCCCTTGTGAGGAATGCAAGTCAACCCCAAAGGATTGTTTTGCCTGGCGGAGGGATTGACCTCCAGCAGCTGTTGAGAGCTACCACACCACCTAGGCGCTTCGCGCAAGGTTCAGGAGTGGGATTGACCAAAGGACCAGTGCCTGGTGGGTATGTCCGCTGTACAATAAAAAGATGTAACGTAAAACGTGCACAAGCAATCATGGACGGAATAGCTAATGGCACGTCTGCCAACTGAATGACTCCCTGACGCCGCTTGCATAACCCCTTGAGGGTGAGAGCACAAATGCGAGGACCGACATCCAGCAAGTGGGACGAGCGCACAAAGACGGCGCTCTAGAAGGGCTGAACGAGTGAAAGATACTCACCTTATTAAAGGGAGTAGTTCGGTTGTTTCTTGATTTGCCGCTAGTGGTTCAGGCAGGGCCCATAACCTGTCGCAGACAATATCGCGCAGTGGAGATACGACCAGTAGCGATCACCTAAAGACACAGAGTCTCAGCGAGTGTAAGACACAGGAGCTTAGCATTAGCTGTACCTAAAGACACAGAGTCTGTGGTACAAGTCATAAGTAAGGGTCATTAGATCATAAGGGAGAATGCATACCTCAGCGAGTGTAAGACACAGGAGCTGAGGATATGGAGCGTATAGTACTAGGTTTATATACCAGTCTGGAGCAGATATCATGATGTCATAGTGGAGTAATGATATCATAGATGAGTAATGGATGATGCAATAATGAGGTCAGGTATGAGGTCATTGTGGAGCAAGCCAAAGTAATCTAAGAATACTACTTATGATGTCATGTCTACATACTGTGATAGTCGCTAATACAAACAAGCTTCAACATGCTGAGCTTGCCCACTCAAATATAGCTGCGAGATACAGGTGTTGAGCCGGGCCGCAAACGTGACCGACATACGTCCCGTGTGTCGTGCGCTCGCTGATGTGCACAGCTTGTGGGGATAGCTAGCAGCGCAGCACGCCTGCCTGCGCTTGACTGGATTGACTTTGACACGCGTTTGTAGATGCAAGACAGACCAGCCGCACGGGGCAGACATAATTTGACACGAAAATGGTTCAGAGGGCGATTGACAGTATTGAGATTTGGGTGAACAAACGGAAGAAGATCTGAATAAAGTCACTAATGATAGTAGGGGGTTGCGATTCCCTTGACACCAGCCCAAGCCTCGTCCAAAGCATCGACCACATCTTCAGCTGGCGACACATTTATCAACAGTTCTCACAACTTTTGGGTCACTTACGCAGCGGTCCCTTTTCGAAATCGTCCAGATTCTTCGGTTTGTGTGTGAGAAATGGAGAGAATTCTTTCATTAGACGCGCACCTGTTTGATGTGGGCAATGCTCGATGCACCGATGAGGACCGCATCGCCGAATTCGCGCTTCATCAAAGAATGATGCATGGTCCAGCGCAACGCCACCTCAATCATCGTCAGGCCATGTTTGTCCGCGGCTGCGGATATTTTATTCAGTCCGTCGAAATATGCTTGCTGCCAGTATCGCTTGCGGTAGAGCTGGGAGCGATGTCAAGTACAGAATACAAAGCGGGTTTGTTGGACCGAGCTCACATTGCTGATACCTTTCCCGGTGTGGAAGCGGGAGGTGCCGTCCGCTTCGTCGGTGATGTTGGAGTACCGGCCCGTAAAGAATCCCCCGCCCACCGGGTTGAACCCGTAAAATGCAATCCCGAATTTACGCAAACAGGGGAAGAGCTCCGGTTCAACGGACCGGTGGATCGCGTTGTAGAGCCCCTGATACACAGTCGGCTTGATCCAGCCGTTGCGCTCACAGATCCCGCAAAGCTCGGCCACCTCCCACGACATGTAGTTGCTGATTCCGAACCGCTTGAACTTGCCCTCCTTGTAAAAGCTCGTTCACGGCGCGCAGTGTGTCTTCGAAGGGAGTTTTACGGTCCGGGGCATGCAGATACCACATTTCGATCGTGCTGAATGATGTTGGTTCAGTCACTACAGCCTCAGCGGGAGACAGAGCACGCACTCGGTCTTGAGAGCGTCGAGGGACATCTGACAGAACTTGCGGATGCTGGCCGGCGAGTGATCGCCGATGTGGCTAGTTTCCGGCTGATCCAGTCAGCGTCAAACACACGCAGAAGGCAGAGCTTTTGCGAACCGAGACCGGGTACAGCTTTGTCTCCATCATAATCCCCTTGCTTTTCCAATCGATCTGCCCGAGGTACTGTTCGTTGGTCCCATCCCCGTACATGCGCGCTGCGTCTATCTGCCGGCGCACTCACTCATGTGCAGAAAGTGAGTCGCAGGGCGGAGAACGAACCTCGCGATGGCCGTGGCTGAGAAATTCATCGATGATGGCCTCAATATCTTTGAGATCAGAGACACGCGCTGCCAATGTCCCCGGTGCCCCGAAAGTCATGGCGCCCTGTGCGCAGTAGATCAGAGGTGGCGTCCGCACTGCAGAATCTCGCTATGGCGCACCAAGACAACATTGACAGCGGTTTTTTGGCCAGGATACGGAGTGGTCATGTTTTGAGTCGATTTCGATGTGCAGGGGAGGTTGTGGCTTGGATAGACTGGACTGGGAGGCTTTTGAGGCAGGACATTACTACGAGCGAGTGACACAATTCAATGGTGGCTGTGCGACACAGAGGCCGTGTGACCAATGATGACTGTGTGCCATGAGTAAATACTTATATGCATCCATGATCATGGCCGGCGACTTGGGCGTACAGATATCCGCAGGCCTTCGGCTACCTCCCGTTGAGTCAGTCCGGAATAGTGCAACTGATGGAAAAAATCATGGCCGAGAAGGCCAAAGATCAGGCTAAAATAGCCCAGCTCTCAGCCGCAGTCGACGAGAATTTCAGAGGGTGTCAAATTAGGACATTCACCCACTGTGATACATCAGGACTTCCGCAATCCGTACCAAGCTGAGCGAGGACGTTTTCGGAGGGAATCTTCCTCAACCGCCACGAAAGTTGAGAGTTTTTCGAAATTGATGCTGATCTCAGTCCGGTATAGTTCAATTCAACACTCATTCATCCAATGTGGTAGTGCAGATCAGCCTTTTGTGGTGAACGGATCCAGTAATGAGTAGCTGGGGGTCTATATCATGGATCTCAGCTGATCAGTTGACGTAGCATCTCCTCTTCCGACGATTAGATCCTGGACGGCTCCTTTACCGAGGCTGACTGAAATTGTTTGACGACCTCATTATATGGAGCTGCGGTAGAAGGAGAGAAGGTTCCTGATCCAGCCTGATCTGGCCCATGCTTCCCGTTCAACTTGCCGTATGCTTTATAATGGTCTCCAATGAGACTTGAAACTAAGCCGGGATGCTTCTGTAGGAGAAATCGGGATACCACATCGCTGACTGATGCTGGCATTCCGGAATGGTTCCGACAATCTCAGAGATGCGTTCCCCCCGATCTTTTCGCAACGCTCATTGAAGAGGAAAAACAGAGTTATGAGACTTTGGGTCAAGCAGTCGACATTCATCGCCCTTTCGGTTCGAAAATTCTCAATGCCAAAACTACTGCTCCTCTACTTAGAATGCTTGTAGATCTCGTCCAGGAAGCTAGTGGAGATATCGCATCTGACCACCCATAATACCCAGCGCAGAGCTTCCTCGCGGATTGCGCTAGTGATCGCGTTGAGATTGTCATACACCTCACCATTGTGTTTTGCATGGCACTAATGCATTTATTGTTATTTGGTTCACGAGTGTGCTGAATCGTATTGGATGCTTTGCGGAGAGTCGTCTGGCAGGTTACGGGACTGAGGCTTTCCGAGTCTAGCACGAGGTTTGTTCGATCAAATTTAATGGCATGTTCCAACGCCTCAAGGACGAGGCCGACTGATTGGTAGATTATCAGGTCCACTCATTGCGGTGCGCTCATTTTGAGATCTGTGGAAGAGGCTTGAGTATGATGGGAGGGCGAAGCTGCACAATCGCTCACGGCTGCGGAGCGACTGACATGCCCCTGATCGAAGGGGTTTGCAGATAATACAGCCCAGCCGAGCGATAGACAAACTGAACACATGGTACTAGCTTGCAGTGAGACAAAGCCAGCGGCAAAGGGGAGAGCGGACAAGCAATTTGCACGAGAATGAGCATGCGATCACTCCACGTATTGCCAAACGACGCTTCGGCAGTCAACGGTGAAATGTCGATCCAAAAGCTTGCAGGGTCATTAGCCCTCCTGTCTTGACACAGAGACCCAATCCAGAGCCTCGCAAATGAGGCTAGTGCAATCATGGGCTTCACCTTTAAAGGATCTTAAATGCAGCAAGAGTCACATCGAGTCAGGGTCAAAGCTAGGAAGAAGTGTCGAAGCGTATCAGCGGCCGGCGCTTAGAAACTTCGGACGTCTACGATTCTTTCAAAAATGTGAAGAGCCCCCCGAGAGACGTGAACGCATGGCGATTGATATGGGGCGAATCGACCGACGAAAATAGCCCCAGGGTCAGTCTTCCGAATCCCCAGCAACGCAGTAACGGAGGTCAGTGCAAAACTTCATCATTCCTGGCAGGTGACCCTGCGCAGTCATTTGGACAGTTACGGAGTAGCAGATGGAAAGTAAATCCAAAAATGTCTCGTGGCAGTGATGATGGCAGTGCCTGCGCGTCACCAGCAGTGGGGTCCAGCACATCACACTCTTCACAAATCTCATCGTCGACCAGCTTCCTCTTGTTCCCTGCTAGACACATCCATCATTCAGCTCGCCATCAAGCCATTCGCCCAAGCCGAGAAGTCTTGTTACCTCGCTACATTCCACACTCCCCCATCGCGAAATCTCCAGTAAGATGAGCGAAGCACCCCACGCCGCGAGCGCTAGTGTCCTGCCTGCGGGCATCACGGACCCGAATTTCGCCCCACCACCGGGCACCCTGGGAAACTTGAACGTCATCCAACAACACTCCCTGGACAAATTCAAGAAGGAGCTAAAGGAAGAGGGGTATTTCGAGGAAGGCCCGATACGGTTCACCGATGCTGGCCTGCTCAAGTGCGTCGTCGCTTGCCCCATCCGGATCCCTTCCCATCGCATTCTGCTAAACCAATAACCGCGCAGATTCCTCCGCGCACGCAAATTTGACGTGCCCAAAGCCAAGGAGATGTTTATCGCGTGCGAGAAATGGCGGAAGGAGTTTGGCGTCGACGAGATCGTCCAGAACTTCGACTACCCCGAGCTGCCGATTGTGGACAAGTACTACCCTCAGTACTACCACAAGAACGACAAGGACGGGCGCCCGATCTACATTGAGCGGCTCGGCCTGCTCGACCTCAAGGCGCTGTACGCCGCGACGACGCCCGAGCGGCAGATCAAGCGCCTGGTGCTCGAGTACGAGAAGTTCATCAACGAGCGGCTGCCCGCGTGCTCCGCCGCCGCCGGCCACCCCGTCGAGACATCGTGCACGATTCTCGACCTGCAGGGCGTCTCGATGTCCAACTTCTACCGCGTGAAGGACTACGTGTCCAAGGCGACCGACATCGGGCAGAACCGCTACCCGGAAAGCATGGGCAAGTTCTACATCATCAACGCCCCCTGGGCGTTCTCCGCCGTTTGGAGCATCATCAAGCCCTGGCTCGATGAAGTCACCGTGAAGAAGATCGATATCATCGGCAGCTCGTACAAAGACAAGCTCCTGGCCCAGATTCCGGCGGAGAACCTGCCCAAGCAGTTCGGTGGGAAGTGTGACTGCCCCGGCGGATGCTCGCTCAGCGATGCTGGGCCATGGAATAACAAGGAGGTCATCGAGGCCGTCGAGAGCGGACAAGTCCTGTCTGCCTGAAGTGGTTTATGGTACTGAATGGATATCCACCTCATTCTCGGAGCATTCGTTTAATTTATATCCACATCTGTAAGTTTCGCGCAGCATACGACACATCGCTTTTCTTTACACGCGTAATGACAGTTACATCGTGGGCGGATTCATCCATGGGACGTGCTTTGAGTGGTTCTCGTTTCTTTTCGCCTTCCCCCAGTCGGAACTATTGCACGTGCCACTCTGCGCTCTGGCATATCCACTCCAATGCTGGAATGTACATGATTGGTCTGGACAGAGCATCTCATTTGGGCTCAAAGCTGATCGGTAAATACCGAGTTATCATCCGCGAATGCATCGGTCTGAGACGCTGAGCTTCGCATTATCCTGACATTATCTGGAAGACTTGAGGCAGATGATGTCCTATTGCGACCTGAGACTGGCCGTTGGAGAACGCTATGCGTGCACGATTCATTGACTCGAGTACGCCATCTGATCGATGTAATGCTCGATGGTCTGAAATCTGGAAAATGCTCGAAATCGGCATTGGTAGTCATTCAAAGTAGGGACATGTCCAGCACACGAGGTCGTAACCATTGCTCGCGACTCTAGCACTAGCAACTAAATAGCAGCCACTGCATCCTTTCAACAACCGTCCAAGACGCGCCACACGTCGTCTCTCGCAGAGAGGCCCACAGTGAGATCCAGCACGACGCGCACATCTAACGGATGCACGGACTCGAGATGCGCGCAGAGTGGCGCGTAGTATGCGAGCGCATCTGCACGGGGGAGTGACGAAGTGAACACCTGACTGCGAGAGATGAGCTGAGTCAATTGCACACAAACACACACGCACATTGTGCGATCATCCTCCCACCGCTCAAGACAAGCCACACAGGACTTCGTCGGAAAAAACCAATCGATGTGGGCTGGGAGGAGCACGTCCTCTTCCTCCGTCTTGTCGTTGTCCCCCACGTGCATCATCCTGCACAGCTCCGGGTCTATCAGTCGACCGTCCGACCCTTGACCGCCCTCGACCTCACTCTCATCTTGCAACTCGAGTGTACTGATTTCCCGGTAATAAACCTCTAGGGCATGGACTGCGGCGTCCCAGTCCACCTCTGGGTCATCCAGATGCTGCTTACACACAATCAGCAAGTTCACCAGCACACCCGGCCAGATGGACTTGTGGTTATGACTCTGCGTTGTGAGTGAATATCGAACACATCACCAAGCATATAGGACAACAAACACACCAATTTGGCATTGCGCCGATGGCCAGCCACGACAAGTACCAACTGCTTGTCCGGAAATTCGAAGGCGATGCTCTGAATCTGAAAGTGGCCAGGTGTGATCGGTGAAGGACCCACTATCGCCGGCACCATCGTCGGATATGCGACAGTCTAGAGGAAGCTTCAACGGATTCCAGACATGCATGAAACCATCTCGTACCTGCGATTTCTCCAGCTCGCGGGTAGATACTACATTAACGAGCTCAGCCTCGGTACCAGTCGCACCCCCAATGACATCCGCAACAGCGATCAATTCACTGGCTCCAACACAGTGGAAGTCGATGAGAACTGCGGGGTTCCCATCGTCGGAGCCTGTGGGAGCATTCCCATGGGTCATCACCAGCTCCGAATCCGGGTCCACAACGAGCGCCGCCGACTTGGGTTCCTGACGCATCTTCTTCCTCGCTGTCATCGGTCGAGAGTGAGTCCCTGTATTGGTAGCGGAGACTGCGAGCTGAGGTTGAGCGGAATCCGTGTCCAAGATCACCGGGCTGCACTGACGCTCGAGAGGCTCCTCGTCATCCAGATCCGCATCAACCACCCACTCCGATTCCGACGAAGCAAATGCGACCGCCTTCGTTTCCTTGCGGGTCTTCTTACGCGGTTTTACTGCCTCAGAGGTGACGGTCAAAGCCACAGTCCCGTCTCGAACCGTTGACCCCGTCTTGGCTGCCTTCCAGTCGGCGTTGACATTGAGCTCCTCGTCGTCCGGTTGCATATCCATGGAGACAGTCCGCGGTTTGAAAGTAGACGCCTGCTGTGTCCGGGCTCCAGACTTGGACCTAGCTGCATGAGATCTGAGATTCCATTCAGTTGCTGGGACGTCAGACTCGGCATCCGTCGAATCCAGACGGAGCAGACGAAGCGTTCGGGGTTTAGAGGAAGTGGGTTCGGATTTGGACTTGAGCCTGAGCACAAGCTCATCTCCATCTTCGTCACTCGACTCCGGTGCGTTGTCTCGTACTCTACGCTTGTTTCTGTTCGGGATGCGTACCGGAGACGAGTCAGGATCCAGAAAGGCGTTGCGTCTCTGGTCGTGCACGTCCTCATCTGAGAACAGTCCGACGAGATTCAAGGCAGGGCCATCTGCTTTCCGCCTGCTCTTCTCGCTCCGGGCGACTGTCGGCGTGGAACTTTGTGTAGATTTGAGCTTGGGATTGGGCTTGAACTCGAGCTCGAACTCAGATGAGGATGGTTCGATGGGGTTTGCACTGGGTACGAAAATCTTGGGCGCAGCTTTGAGATTGGGGACGGCTTTCTTCTTCTTTGTTTTCTTCTTGTTCTTCTTCAGTTCTAGATAGAGATCGCGAACGACCGGACCCTTGACCGGAACGAACCAGAACCTTGCCGCATAGCTAGACGCATTCTCATTCATCTACATCCTCCCGGCCGAGAAAACGTACCTCCAAAGTCGGTCTTGCCAGCCCGTAACATTAGCCTTGATCGCTAGCCGATCTACGTGCTGCCCTACAGCTCGTAACGCCACTCGCAAAGCTCGCGCACGTTCCTTCCGACTCGTATTCGGCGCGCCTTTGAAACTGAGCTGCAGATTGGTGAGCGCAGTCTCAATGTTGGTTGCCACAGCATACCAACTCCTGCAGCACAGGCTTCATCGCTTCGCAGGCCTCTACATCTTGCCCCTCCTCCTCCCCTTGTTCCTTCCTTTGCGCCTCTGCAGGTCCCAAGACGCCGGCCTTCAGCCTGAACATCCGTCCCGTTGGCCGGTCCGCATCCGAGTCTGAGCTACTTGGGATGAAAAGCCTCCTAGTCGGCGGTGCTGCTGGCGAGTCAGACGGTGGTATAACTGATACCCTCGGTGCACTTTCGGAGAAGTCCCCAGTAGTCTTGCTCTGGCGCTTTGATGTAGGTTTCGCAGTGATGGAACTTGGGCCCGCCCCTTTGAGCTTCTCCCTTTCTTTGCCGTTCCCATTTCCCTTGCTGAGGGTCAGTGGCGAAGCGGACCTGCTCACTGCTAGCCTCGCCCTCTTCCGCGGTGGCAACGAAGCCGGTGTTGACATCGCACCGTCGTTCATGTGTCGTCCCTTGCGCTTCTTCGGCGTGATACTGACCGGGTGTGTGTCCAGATCCTCCGCGGATTTAGTCTGAGGCCATAAAAGATGCAGTGTTTCCTTGCGAGCGGGTTCTTTCGGCTGGCTGACTGATGGTGTGGGCATCGGTGCGACTTGGGGTATTTCGGGTTCCGCCGCTGGCTCAAGTCCACGCTTGGACTTGGCTGCTTTAGCATCGACCCACCTCTGATGCTCCCTGTTGCGCTTTTCCCGACGTGCGTCTTCCTCAAGCATGCTGCGCACGATCTCCGTCGGAGTTCCAAGCACTGCGGTTGGTGCGTGTCAGTACAGTCGTCATTCGTTCACAGATTGAAGGGAAGGAAACAGGGGATAAAAGGAGACAAGGACGTAGTCCCCAACAGTCGGTACGCCCGGATTATACCCAAACACCACCAACCACGTAACCAGAGATCGAGTCATAGAAAGAATGGAAAGCAGGAGTTGAGAGACAAAGGAAGAAACGAAAGGAAAACAAGCAAGACAAGCCACTTACCCAACTTATGCAGCACATCGCTCTTCCCTGCCCAACCGGCGAGCCCATCACCGCGGATCCACAAGACGTGTGTGGCGCCGTGCACAGGGTGCTCCACCGCGCTGGGGCCAGTAAGGGACTTGGGCCCGCGCCAGCGGTGCCACGAGCTGCCATTGGTGGTGACGATGCCAGGGTCAGCAGGCTTGTCGACGAACGCATACACCGCGAACGCCTTCGTGTCGATCCAGACGTCGCCCCTGGAGAAAGCTGACGAGGCGGATGCGGCCGTCGTGCTGGGCGGGGGACCGGCGTATCGGTACTCAGTGTACGGTACTTCCAGTGGTGTCGATACGGTTGTTGTTCCGTTCGACGAACGGGAAGATGCTGTCGGGTTGGAACATGCCGATGCGACGATGAACGTGCGAGCGATGGTGGTAGGCTCCGAGCTGCTAAGTTTGGGTCCGGGGGATGCGTTCATGGGACCTAGAATGGATCTCGTGTGAGTAAGAAGGAAGCAGAAAACGCGTCGTCCTGTTGAAGGGAACGAAACAAACGAAACACGACGTCCTTACGATATCACACGATGCCGTATTGGTTTGGTGAAGGGACGATCTGGAGAACTCACTAACTGCTTTGTGGCCCCTGGCGTGAAACTATCCCACCAGCACCGTGCACTGATACACGTGCACTCTCAACACCCGCGGACGCGTCCAAGTTGCAAGTATGATGCGAGTCGGAGGCTAGATCGGAAGACACGCCGCTGAGGTGACTGATGGTTATCCGTGACGTGACGCCTTGCCCACTTGAACGGTCGAGCTGAATTCAGCCTGGCGGGCGAGCCGGCGCCCGGAGTGGTTTCTGCTTTCTTCGAGAAAATCGAAAAACTCTAACCTGCTCAATTGCAGGGGAGATACTGTACCGTTTGGAATCAAGCTTGACCTAGCTGAAACGTCAACCTACACTGAAACCTTCTTGATCTGTTCTGTGGCTTCCTGAGGCATTCATCTAAATGCATATCGTGGCTTTCAATTGAATTTGGAAAATGCTTCTCGACTACACTGACAGTTGTTCGGCTTTTCCCATTCGAGTGCTCTCGCGCATGTGATTGATTACTGCCTCGGGCTGGAAAGCTGAGGGGCCGACGTTCTTTTTGAAGGAGAGAGACTTCTGGATAGACTCTGCTTTGTAATTCAAGCTCATACGCACAGATGAGACGAGGCTTGGAGACTGAAGATTGATCGGAATGGACCCTTGACATAGTCGGATCAGATCAAGCAGAATTTTCGACTCCGATCGAACATTACCGAATCTGCTGCACCGCCTCCATTCAATCAGCGAAAGTGTTTCCACGTTTGTTCAACTCGGTTGCGTTGGGGGTTTTCGACTCGAATGGCGGACCTCATGACGGACAGTCCACTGGGCTCACGGACCCCGAGCCCCTTCTCTGCGCTCTCCGTCCTCGACGCTGAGTCGGTCTCGGTGGCAGGGGCGTCCTCGGTCTCAGAAGCCAGGTTGCCCGTGGTCGCGCCCACCGCCTCGACGACAGCGAGCAGCGGCTTCTACCGCTCCGATGCGACGTTCAACCCCACCGTCACGCCCTTTACTTCCACTGCAAATGCGGACCTCACGAGCCGCGTCGCACGCATGGCATACCGGAGCGTCCCGCCGTCCGCGAGTGCGGCCGGGGGGAAGATGGTCACCCTCTTCGACGCCGCGATACCGAAAGCCCCGATACCGCCATACGACGGGACGGTCATCCACCCTCCTTTCAAGGCACTGCCCGGCGGATTTGCGGTCCCCGACGGGCTGATGAGCTATACGATCATGCACGACCACCCGACGTGGTACCTGGATGTCGAGGACTACGTGACGCTCGATGCGCCGGAAGGGACTATGATGGGGCAGAGGATGGACGGGCCGATGATGCGGGTGCGGTATCCGAGAGATCTCGAGCCGCCACGGCCGAAGAGGCAGAAGGAGCTGCTGCTCCGCTGCACATTTTGCCCCAGGACGTACGCCGGCGTGAACGCGAAGAGCATGTGGACAAGACATGTGAGGGAGAAACACAGGGTTGTGCTGAGCAAGGCATGGGTGGATTCGGCCACGTCGATCAAGAGAACACCCGCCGGTATGTTGTCTTCACCTTCTCCTGCTGGACGAGTGGTTGGGTGCACGTGACATCGATTTGCTCTGACCATGCATCTGTTTCTCTTTCAAACGTTTGCCCTCACTGAACGACCTTACCAGCAAAAAACATTACACCTGCACCACACACAGCCGCTGACGAGGCCCCAGTGATCAAACCTGGTACGTAATCAACATCACGATCTGTGTTCAACTTTGCCTTATTGGTCCGAAAGTAAAACCGCCAGTGGGTGAGAGGACGGTCGATACATCGCTAGACAGCCTTCTCATTTCTCCTAGCTAAAGCCGTGCCGCCCCCGCCACCTCTTGTGTTGACCATTCCAGCGCCTCCGCCTCGAGGTTTGACAGGCTTTCACTTTTGCGCGGTGTGCTGCTCACGAACATGAATTCCAGGGAAACCAGGCCCGAAACCCAAGGTCAAGACAGGCCCGAAGCCAGCCCCAAAGCCAGCCTCAAAGCCGGCTGTGAAACCGGGCCCGAAACCCGCCTCGAAAACAGGTCCGTTCTGCCTGTCTTGCCCCCTTTTCATACCTCATGTGCTGCAGTGAAACCGGTGGCATCGCCAGCGAAGCCGAAAAAAGACAAAGAGAGACCGACCGGACAGAAGATCATCATCCCGGCCCGGCGAGCGGTGGCACCTCCCGAACCACCGGTAACACCGAAAGTGGTCTATGTTGCGAGTACGACATCGCCGCGGGATGTGCCGTCGTCGCCTACACTGCGCCCGACGGCCGTCGTGGCTCCGGTGCCTGCTGAGCCGCCAGAGCTGTGGGTGAAGTCGCTCTCGCCACCGCCACCGGAAGGGATTTTACCGCCGAGACTGCGAGCCCGACAAAGTCTGGTCATCTCTGCAGAAATCAGGGTGTGTCGCAGTTTCTTTTTTTACTACTCTTTCCTGAGCGATTGTGACGTCATTCGCGCAGGAGGAAAGTTCTCCTTCGACCCAGGATGGGATGGACGTCGATCCAACCGAGAGTTTCATTGCTCAGTCGGACGATGACATGGACATGGATCTCGAAGACGACGAAGACGAAGTAGAGGCCATCGTGCAGGATACATCTGCCGACGAAGACGAGGTGGAGAACGAGGACGACGATCCATTCTCCTTGTCTTCGCTCTTCTCGCTCTCTTCTCGGCCACACGTGATCTCCTTGGCGGCCGATGATGTTACCGAAGACATCGAATTTCTGGACCTGGAAGCGGCACCGGCTTCAGATTCCGAGCCGTCTCCGCTGGGGCTCCTCAAAATCTCGTCGATGAATTATCTCATTGACCGGGCGCTCGTGGTTTCCCCTCCCCCGAGCCCAATTCTTCCTTTCGAGCGGGATTTCACTCCCGAATTGGGCTCGAGAGAACTGCACACGCGGGCTCTCGAGGCACCCGCTACCGTCTTGCAGCCAATGGACTCCGATGATTTAATCGGGTTGAAGGTGCAGAACATGGATCCGGCGCTCAAAGCCAGACTTTGGAGTCATCTCGGAGAGCAACTCGGTGTCCGGCCCGGCGATGTCGCAGGACCCGGTAAACGGGACGAGCCTGCGAGGCCTCCTCCGACCTCGCCCCCGTCGCTCGTTGATCATAGCATGTCTGTGCCTCCGGCCCATCTGGACCCCGACATCGCCGCTCTCATCACCGGATTCAGACAGCGCACAATGACTGCCTTTGAGATGGATCTTGCGGCGCAGGCTCAGGCGATCCTTGGACAAGTCGCGGATCAAGTCGTCATTCCACTGCAAGCGATGCTGACTGCGCAGCTGAAGGACGCGGTCCTTGGCTCGGGAATGGGCGGGCTGATGGCCCATGCACTGGCTGTACAGGAGGAGGAGGGCGAAGTCGAGTTCGAGTGGAGAAGGCGTGTTCTCGAGCGGGAGATGCATGTGCTTGGTTATGAGCTTCTTGAAGAGCAGGATGAGGATGAGGAAATGCCGCTGGCTCCGATGAATGAGTTGTCCGCTGTCGCTGGATAATAGTCCGCGAACAGCCTCTTTGTTGCTCACTAAGTATAATAATTGAATGTAATGTAGCAAGTAGTCCTTCTCATTGTTTCCACTGTCGCTCTCCCTCGCACAGCGCGCAGTTCTGTTTTTGAATCCGGGTTGCTGAATAATTTTTCGTTGGAACACATCTGCTGCCTGCGTCCTATACGAAACAGTTGTGTTTTACGCCTCGAAAATTTACCGATTGAACCAAAGTGCTGTTGTTTGACAGTTGTATACGAGCAAAGAGTCAAATGCTGTGTTGAGGGAATAAGATGGCCTGCCTGCCTTTATCTTCCACAAACCCTTTCGGACCTGAACTAGAGTCGCTGGATATTCCCCAACCCAACCCGGCGCTTTCCGTCTATTACGCTGGTCTAGACCCTCGGTTTGTTCGCCCGAGAACCAATCACGTCGCCTGTCAGGTCCACGCCCAGGCCACGTGGCCGCGTCGACGAGCGAGCGACAGCAGCGCCGCACTGCCACACGCCCGTTTTCTCTCTCTCTCAACCGTTGCCATCGGGCAACATCGTCACCCCCTTCACCCCAGTACAGCCATGGCTGACGGAACTCAGCAGCAGCAATCCTCCTCTTCGCGGCTCGACCTCCGCGTGGGCAACAAGTACCGGATGGGCAAGAAGATCGGGGCAGGCTCCTTCGGTGCGTCGTCTCTCCCCTCCGTCCGGGCTGTGTGCCGTGCATGCATGCCACCCGCGCAGGTGCTGACGAGCGTGCCGGTTGACGCAGGTGACATCTACATGGGCGCGAACGTCATCTCCGGCGAGGAGGTAGCCATCAAGCTCGAGCCGGCCGCCGCGAAGCATCCGCAGCTGCAGTACGAGGTGAAGGTGTACAAGGCCCTCGCGGGGGGAGCCGGGATCCCCTTTGTGCGGTACTACGGGACGGAGGGCGACTACAACGCGATGGTGATGGACCTGCTCGGCCCGTCGCTCGAGGATCTGTTCAACTTCTGCGGGCGCAAGTTCACGCTCAAGACGGTGTTGCTGTTGGCGGACCAGATGGTGTGTGTATGCGCCCTCCGCGGCCGTTTTCTCTTTGCCACTCGTCCCTCGCTGACCCCGCGGGACCAGATATCGCGCGTCGAGTACGTGCACTCGCGCAACTTCCTGCACCGCGATATCAAGCCCGACAACTTCGTCATGGGCCTCGGCCGGCGTGGGAACCAGGTGCACCTGATTGATTTCGGGCTCGCGAAGAAGTTCCGCGATCCGCGGTCGCACCTGCACATCCCGTACCGGGAGAACAAGTCCCTCACCGGAACCGCGCGGTACGCGTCCATCAACACGCACCTCGGTGTCGAACAGGCGAGGAGGGACGACCTGGAAGGGCTGCTGTACGTGCTGATCTACTTCCTGCACGGCGAGCTTCCGTGGCAGGGCATCAAAGCCGCAACGAAGAAGAACAAGTACGAGAAGATCATGGAGAAGAAGATGACGACGACTGCCGAGCTCCTGTGCAAGCGGCTGCCGAAGGAGTTTGTCGTGCTGATGAGCTATGTGCGGGCGCTCCGATTCGACGAGACGCCTGACTACGCGTACATGAAGAAGGTGTTCCGGGACCTGTTTGTGCGCGAGGAGATGAAGTGGGACTACGTGTTTGATTGGAGCGTGCAGCGGCCCGAGAAGGAAGCGAAGGACAAGGATAAGCGGACAGCCGATGATCGAGCTCGGAGACACCTGAACGATTCTCTCCTGCCTGCCGACACTCAGAGACGGTCAGTCGCTTCGTTGGCAGTCTAGGCATACATTGTGCGATACTGAAACCCCCGTCAGACACCGTGCGACCACGAGAAATACCCAGCGCACGGGCGAGGGTTGGTGATCGGGCGACAAGCCACGGTTTTTCTTTTTCTGGTTGCATGCCTCCCGTCCGTTTATTCGTTGATCTCGGCTCCACCATTCCCGAGTCAATCAACTCGCCTCCCGAGGCGCCGGGTCGAGTCTCCACGGCGTCGAGCCGACCCACGCCAGATCCAGATCCGCACTCGCGTTATTGGCGAGCATACATTACATATGATACTCATACATAGATCCCCTGCCCCTCCCCATCCTTCCGGCATCCATCCATCCATCCATCCAGCTTCCTCTCCTTCCAGCTACTAATCACATGGAGACATCATTCGTGGTGTCGATCTTGTTGTACTTGTTCTAGCCAGTGACATAATGGTACCCCGTGCGTTCGCGCGTGTTTTGTGCTCCTTGGAATGTCGAGTTTGCTTCTCGTGCATCTATTTACGCCGGATTGGGTGGTGTATGTGTTGCAACGAACAGACTGTGCAGGTGGCTCGGTGCCGCCACCGAACACCAGGCACGCATCCCATCCTTCCGGAACTTATCGTCAAGTCCGGGGAAGTCACCGACTGGCAGCTGTTGGCGATGCTGCTCATGACAGACTGGGGAACCCTTGTCAAGGCGCTGGATGGTCCGACCGTAGATGTTGCGTCGAGCATGGCTGACACATCTGGATGGAACTGGAGAACCTTCTGTTACCAGCACGGTTCCCGGCTGCAAATGAGGAGCCTCAAGATGCGTCGAGAAATCTGGGCTGAGGGTCGAGACCTGTTGTTCAGGTCCGTGACACCCGTCTGAACAAAGATGAGTCTGCTGTGCGAAACGGGAATGAGGTCGCCACGAAGGTCGATCCTCATACTACATTTTAAAAGGCGCGGTTAAACCTTGAAAACATCACTTTTATCTTAATTTAGCCTGCAAGTCGAGTCGGAAATGCGGACCGCCAAAGCTTCAACTGCTCACACGTGATGAACTGTGGTCGGAACAATGGTGTGATCGGATCAGAAGTCTAGATCAGCAATCATCACGGCCTTAGCGCTTCGACTCCGCCCTCAGTCATTCTGCGCCAACAAACGCAGAGCTCCTTCGTCCTCTGAGTCATTCACGGGGAAATTCTCACATGTGCTTTTGAAGGGTCAAGATCGGTGGCGCGCAACGTGTTGATATCGATGGCCAGGCGAATCCTCGTTGATAAATGCTGACCGCCAGTCATTATCAACGAGGCGCTCCTTCTGTGGCGGAGGTTGGCCGATGGGGGAGTTCGGGTGTGCACGAGGTGCTTGGGGGGTCAGCTCCCCCCACCGATCTCTCGCTAATCGACAGGCTACGTTCGACTTGTTTCGCAGTGCATGTTACACCGGTGTTTCGTGCTACACCGCATTATGCTCGTTGCTTCAGCCCATGCTCCGAATACCTCGAGGTGCGAGGGAGTGACCGGGGACGGGGCCGAAGCGGTTTGTGAGAGCTGGACAGCCTAAAGCAACACGGACGGACAGTGCACGCCGCAAAGCCTAGCCTCGCTCCGACTCACTCATCGGGTGTAGATGGAAATACTCGGAACGATCGTTTCAAGGAATCCACGGAACGCGATCAATCGGCTGCTCCCATCGACTGGCGACGACGCACTCTGACTCTCCGAATCGCCGGCCAGTCAGGCTTGCAGGACCGATGCTGTGCAGATGAGCCAACGCGTGCCGGCGCTTCTGGTTGCGCGCGTCCTGTCATGCTAGCTCTCACACTGCCTGTTTGTCGCATCTAAATCCCGAGTCGTCGATATTGCGCAGGAGCGATCAGTATGGAAGATCAGGTCAGCCTGTCCCTGACTCCTCTGCATGCGCCCGGTCAGTCCCAGTGCGCCCCTGATTATTACGCACGTCTTGGGTTGTGGGCACTTAATAAGGCTGGGATGCACAGGTATTCGGCCCGGAGCGTCGTTCCGATCGAGTAGTCTATGTAGTCGGCTGCGCTATTGTTGGCAGGCCTGATTGAACGCCGACGGGCGATCCAATTGAGTTGGCAGCGCACTACAGCTATGTTACGGTACAAAATGGTACATAAGTGACTTATTCATGGAGAAGAAAATACCGCAAAATACGCGTCGTGTGCCAATTGCCACCGGGCGCAGCCGCAGCTTATTCAGCTCCTATGTAAATGATTCCGACACTTGCTCAGTCGCCGCCGAGACGATCTGCGTGAAACAGCGCCGGCTCGGACCCTGCAGGAAGAGACCCTAGGCTGTGTGAATTTCTGTCGCGTCGACCGGCAAGTTCGCTCCGAGAGCCGGTCTCTGGTGTCGCCGTGTCAATTTGGCGAGATGTTCACATATCCGTCGACTCCCGCCTTTTCCATCTCCCCGTCCTGGCCTTGGCGGCATGGAATAATTTGTCCGTTGGGTTGTCGAGGGCTCGTCCGGCCCCTGAAGCTGCGGTAATTGCAATGAAAGTTCTGGTCCTCCTGAGACTCACGCGGGAGTAATCAAGGCACCGCGCGACCTCGCAGACGCCCGGCCGCCCCCGTAGATTGAAAAAATGGCACGACAGGACTGTGGTCCTGATCTGTCCTGATCGTGTCTTGTGTGTCATTTCGGGTGGGTAAATACGGCAATCAGAGACAGAACATCACGCATGTGAATATCAAATGACAAAACGAGTGCGGGGTCCCATGGGGTCCGGAGCTATCCACTCGCTTCCTGATGCAAAGGTAAATTACTTACAGCATGCTGCTGGCTGGTGGGCCTTTCTACAAGTTCGTTCGAGGAAGGGAGGCGAGGCGCTGGTAAAGCGAGTCTCCATCGTTTCAGTCAGTCAGTCACACGCAGAGGAGGGCGATCGCGCGAGACTGTAAATTCTGGTGGAGCCGCGATGTTCGCGCGTGCCCCTGTGTGCCTGCAACGTCTGCGTTCGCAAGGAGATACCTTTTACCTTGCCCACCGTTGCCGTTGATTGCCCACCTCGTGATGCCAGGCCAAGTCTGGACGGACGGCCTGTCACTCGCTCGGGCGCCTAACATTTTCTGACTGGTGAGAGGAGAATAATGAAAAAAAAACTGCGATCGCTGGAGGAGCTGGGACGAAAACGCCGGTCGTGCGCGGTGTTTCGCAACTGGCGATATGCACATTGCACAGCCAGGCACAGCTGTCGGAGCGGAACTTCTGGTCTCGCCCACGGTCGTTCGGCTTTTCGGGCATCGAGGAACAAGCAGATGCATTTTGATCTTGCCGGGAGACCCGACCGGAGTCCGCTGTGGCGCGCGCAAGATCCGCTGCCGAGCTAGCTCAGGCCTATGCCCGAAGGAACGGCCTATTGCCCCGCATCCGATCCGAACCAACTCGACGGGGGTATCCGCCAGCGGATGACTATGGGCGGCGCGGGCCTAGCTCCCCCCCTCCCCCAGCAACGAAAGGTTGGAAGTGCGCTAGATTCTGACCGGATATCGATCAAACAAAATGTGATGCGCGATGATCTGGGAATTTTGGCCATCTGCTGACCTCCTGTCATCCCCATTTGGTGCGGGGTCAATTCAAATCTTCTGAAACCACCATGCGAATCAAAGGGGTCCCCATGGGGTCCCACGTCCTGTCAGAAAACCTTTCCTTCGTATAAAGGCCGCGACTGAATGGCTGGGTGACCCGTCGCCGAGTCCCACTCTCCGTCTGCGCTGCTGCCTCTGCTCAACAGTCTTGCGCTACTACCCAACTCAACGCACACGAAATGGCTGGTGGACCCTCAGGTGGAACTGAAGGAGGGATTGCGAATGCATCCCTCGGATGGGCGATCATCATGAGCGCCTTCGCCGGTGAGCCTGATGCGCTTCTGTTCTCGCCCTCCTCCGTCTGACCCGTGCGTGCTTCTCAGCGTTCGGCGGTATCCTCTTCGGGTATGTTTCTCCGTGCTTCTTCGTTCGCCGTTGCCGACATCTTGTTGCAGATACGACACTGGCACGATCGGAGGTGTCATTGCCATGCAAGACTGGCTGAATGTCTTTGGTACGCTCGACACCACGGGCCAGCTGGGCAAGGACACCCACGGTCGGTACATCACCACGGCTGACAAGAGTCTCGTCGTAAGTTCATCAGCGCAGATGGCTCGCTGGATTTCGCGCTGATGCTTGTCAGGTCTCCATTCTGTCTGCTGGTACCTTTTTTGGCGCTCTCTTGGCATTCCCGATGGGTGACCGCGTCGGTCGCAAGAACGGTCTCATCGCCTCTGTCGTCATCTTCTCGCTTGGCGTTGGTCTGCAGCTGGACACCCGCTGGGCTACTTTCGTCGTCGGCCGTGGTGCGTTGATGAGCATTCCTGCCATGTCTCTGTCTGGTGCTGATTGCTTGCTTGTCCGTCAGTCATTGCTGGTCTCGGTGTCGGACTCGTCTCCTGCTTGGTGCCGATGTACCAGTCCGAGTGCTCGCCCAAGAGCATCCGTGGTCTGATCGTCGGATGCTACCAGCTGGCCATCACCATCGGCGCGCTCCTCGCGGCCATCGTCCTCAACTCGACCAAGAACCGCGCGGACCACTCCGCATGGCGCACGCCCATCGCTGTCCAATTCGCCTGGGCCTTCATCCTCGGCGGCGGCATGGCCCTGCTGCCCGAGTCCCCGCGTTACCTCGTCCACAAGGACCGCATCCCCGCCGCCCGCGCCGCGCTTGCCCGCCTCACGAACACCTCCCCGGACTCCCCTGCCGTCGATGCTGAGCTGGCAGAGATCAGTGCGGCGCTCCAGGAGGAGCGCTCCCGCGGCAGTGGCTCGTACATGGACTGCTTCCGCAACAACGAGATGAAGAACGGTCTCCGCACCTGGACTGGTATCATGCTCCAGGGATGGCAGCAGCTGACCGGTATCAACTTCATCTTCTACTACGGCACGACGTTCTTCCAGAGCGCCGGCATCGGCAACCCCTTCATCATCACGATCATCACCGACGTCGTCAACACCGTCATGACCATCATCGGCATCCAGCTCATCGACCGCGTCGGCCGTCGCCGGCTGCTCCTGATCGGCGCCGCGGGGATGATGTTCTGCGAGTACATCGTCGCGATCGTCGGTGTCACCGCTGGGCAGACCAACGCGACCGGCGGCGCAGTCAACATCGCCGCCCAGCGCGTTCTGATCGCTTTCGTGTGCTTCTACATCGCGTTCTTCGCCACCTCCTGGGGCCCCGTCGCGTGGGTGATCACGGGCGAGATCTTCCCGCTCAACATCCGTGCGAAGGGCATGTCGCTGTCCGTCGCGTCGAACTGGCTCTGGAACTTCGCGATCGGATACGCCACGCCCTACCTCGTCGACACGTCCACCAAGGGCCAGCCGAACGGCGTCGCCACCGCCGCGCTGCACGTCAAGGTGTTCTTCATCTGGGGCTCGACGTGTCTCGGGTGTCTCATCTTCACGTACTTCTTCATCCCCGAGACGAAGGAACTCTCGCTCGAGCAGATCGACCTGTTGTACAAGGAGTCTTCCGGTGCGTTATTCCTCCTGCTCTTGTATACGTGTATCGTGTGCTGACATTCCATCCCCAGTGCGCAACTCGAACAAGTACCGCCAGCAGATCCTCGCCTCCGACAAGACCTTTGCCCACGACAAGGCCTCGTCGTCGCACGACGATCACTCCGCCGAGGTCAAGGTCTAAGCAGTGCAATAATCCCCACGTTTTTTTCTTGGTTTTACGATACATTAATGACCTTTATTCGCGATGGGATAACTAAGTCGTCTAGTTGTACTTTTAGCCGCTTCATACCAGCGCTCCCAAAAAAACAAGCATTTTCATCATCATCATCATCCTCATTCGAGCGTCGTGTCTCGTGCGCTCTGCGGTGATCGCACTGCAGGGTTGAGATGTGACGATGTAGGTATTGCGCACGCCGTCGGCTTGGTTGGTTGGTCGGTTGGCAGCCATCCTAGATTCATGATCACGGTGCTAATCAAAGCCCTGAGATCTGTATGTACCGTTGTTCATTCAATGACCCCATGACAGGTGGAGCGTACAGTAAGTATACCATATACATACCACTGTGTGCGGGGGCTGCAGATCAGATTCACTAGCACTCAGGAGGTGCTCCGTGTGTTCTTGACGAAGCATAGACCCATCAGGATGTGTGAGGTCACCTGACTGACGATCCCCGTATCACCTGTTCTCAAAGCGGGGCAATTGAGACTAATTTGGCACCGAGCTGGAACTGGACCGCTCAAAGTGCCAAGTCGGGAGTCATGTGCACTCCCCCCCGCCTCATGTGACGCCATGCGCAATCGAACAGGCCAAGCACGCTTTCCTTCTCCGCGCACCGGGTCAAATCGCTGCTAGGCGGTAGGGGGTCACGGGACATCTCAAACACGAGGGGATCTATGCGCAAAACGACATGGAATCATGGGGGTCGTCTATCTAGCTAGCACAAATGGGCACTGGTAATCGTGTGACGACGTAGTTTAGGCGACGAACGCCTTGCCCTTTTCGATGTTCTTCTTCAGCTCAGGCAGGCATGCCTCGAGCAGCTTCTCCTCCTCGGCCGACAGCTCGCCAATGGGGAAGATCTGCTCCACACCGTTGACCTGGCAAACGACACATCAGTCGGCTGCAATCAGAGTAGAACACGGAAACGTACACCAAGCTCAACGTTGGACGAGAAGTACTCGATGCCCTTGTCAGCAAAGAGAGGGCTCTTCACGAAAGTGGGTGTGATCACACCCTTCTCGCCGTTCAAGCCACGCAGCACAGCGTTGGCGAACTTGGCGCCCGCGTAAGCCATGGAGAGGGTAGCGCTTCCGGCACCGTCCTTGGCCTTGACAACCTCATCACCACCGAACTGGATGCGGTGCACAATCTTCTCGTAGGCCTCGCCCGCGACGCCCTTGCCGTGGCTGGACTGCGAGAGCAGGGGGACGATCGTCGGTCCGCTGTGGCCTCCAATGACGGTCACACGCGACTCGACGGGGTCCGCGCCGGTGATGCCTCCGAGGAAACGCGCGGCACGGACGACATCGAGTGTCGTGACACCGAAGAGGCGTTTGGGGTCGAAGACACCGGCCTTCTTCAGGGTCTCGGCGACGATGGGGACGGTGGAGTTGACGGGGTTGGAGATGATGAGAACGCAGGCCTCGGGAGCGACACGGCCGATGGCAGTCGCCAAGTCACGGACGATGGAAGCGTTAGTCTAGACACAGAAACATCAATACTTCGCACATGTCAAAAGTCGAAGTGGGAATCACTCACGTTGAAGAGATCATCACGCGTCATCTAAAGAAGATGATGAGCATGAGAAGAATTCAACGGCGCAGGTCGGGAGGACTTACACCCGGCTAGAATCGGAATCAAGTCAGAACATGGGTATCATTGACTGCATTGAGAACTGCATACCTTTCTCGGAACACCAGCGGGGATGACAACAACCTTGGCACCCTCCAAAGCCGCGTCGAGCTGGTCGGCAGCGTATCCAGTGACCTGCACGGCACGCACCACGTCAGAAGACATACGCGTCGAGACCTCGAGCGAAACGCACCTCGCTCGCGGTGTCAACGTGGCTGACATCGGCAGCAACACCCGGGGCGCCGCGGATATCGTAAAGGCTCAGCGACGACACGAGAGGATCGCTCTTCAGCAGCAGGGAGAGAGGCTGGCCAATTCCTCCTCCAGCACCGAGGACAGCAACCTTGGTCAGGCGAGCCGCTGACGAGGAGAAGAGACGCGACGACGGCGCGGAAAGGGTGCGGAGAGCAGAGCGGGAGAACATGGTGGTAAGGAAAGAGAAATGAAAGCGAAGTTTCTTTAGAGGCCGTTTCTCTCCGATGATGGAACTGAAGGTTAGGGTTACGACGTCACTGCCGTTTCGGAACATCTCTCATCCCTCTCATGGCCACGGATTTCTGGTCCAGCTCACACTAGTACGTGTGTGTTGCGCTCAAGGAGGAGAGGATCTGACGGATCCAGCAATAGATGGATCGTGGATCGGACGACGTTGAGGAATGCGCGTGCTGACGACGTGCAGTACGTGGACGACCCAGAGTACCTGGATTTCCTTGCCATCTATTTCGCAGAGCGTGAGTTGTCCGTGCCCTACTGCATTCTTGACAAGATTCGATTCAACCCTTTCAGTTCTGGCCAAACTAGGCAAGAAACTGAACTTCGTGCAGCGTACGGTGGCGACAGCGACGATGTTCTTCCGACGATTCTACCTCAAGAACTCCTACTGCGAGACGGATCCGTTCATGGTCGCTGCTGCGTGCTGCTATGTTGCTGCGAAAGCGGAAGAGTGTCCTGTGCATATAAAGACTGTTGTTCACGACGCGAGGCACATCTTTGCCCGTGAGTCTGCACCTTCTCACGAGGACAGTCTGGATAGCATGCATTATAGAGGATCCCTATGGAGTCAAGAACTTTCCGTCCGACAACTCAAAGCTTGCTGAGATGGAGTTTTATCTGGTTGATGACCTGGAGTGCGATCTCGTCATCTACCATCCGTACCGCGCTCTTCTCGCGCTCTGCAAGCCTATGAACTCCACGGATCCGGATAAGGACGACTTTGGGGTCAACCTGGACGACGGGACACGCTACTGGGGCACAGGCGAGGGCCAGCTCGATCTTCCCAGCAACGGACTGCAAACAGCCTGGTTCATCATCAACGACACATACCGGTCCGAACTCTGTCTCCTGTACCCGCCACATCTCATCGCTATCGCTGCGATATACCTCACCTGTGTCTTTCACCCGCCTACGCAGGACTCTGTCGCGGCATCCATCGCCGCAGGGGCTACTGCACCTGAAGCCCCACCCCGTCGATCGTCGCGCCAGTCCGGTGGGGCGGAGCGCAAGAAACCGGCTCCAGACCCTGTCACCTTCCTGGCTGGTCTCAACGTTTCCCTCCCGCTCGTGGCATCTATCGCGCAGGAGATCCTGGGCATGTATTCGCTCTGGGAGCGATATCTGGAGGGCGGCGCGGCGAGCAGCGTCGCCACGACCCCCGCATCGCCGGGCGAGGACGATCCTGTGACGACCATGGTCACACCGATGACCATCACGCTCGTTCTGGCCAAGATGCGCGAGGCACGGTTCGTGGATTTGCGAGAGACGCAACTTTCGGATGTAGTCCCCAGGAACAGGGTGGTTGAGAGAACGCAGGCAGCAGGATGATGCCCGTTTGTTCGAATTTGTTCATTGTATCTTAACCCAGTGTATGAGCAGACAAGGTCGGAGCCCCGCACAATACGAATAGCAGCGTCCCCCATGCGTCTCGCGTCGGGACGATAACGCGCAACATTGCCATGATGCAGAGTATCACTATCCGTGCCTGGGGAATTCAATAGCGGCTCACTTATCGAGTGATGGTCGCCTTGTGGTCCCGAATATCTCTATTCAAGTTCGCGGGTCTCAAGGAGAGATTGTGATTGTACACATGTTGATTACTGCAGATGGCTATGCGATGCTGCACCTATAAAACCCACCCAGAAACCCACTCATTGGCAGCTCTCACTCACACACCTACACCATGCAGTTCTCCGTCTCCCGCATCGCGCTCCTCGTTGTAGCCTTCGCCATCGGCGCACAGGCCGTCCCAGCCGTTGAGAACCGCCACTGCGGTCGCGCGACCTGCACCATCGTTGATGGCGAGGAAGTTTGCATCCCGTGCTGATTCGTGAGTGGACCGGTCAGAAGGCAAGCGGCTGGCTGATGTGCCCTACAGAACCAGCACATTGCTGGCTTACTCAGCGGACACCAGTAGACTCATTGATAACTTTGTGCGAATCGAACTCACTCAAATACTGTTGGAGAACATCGAGTCACGCGTGTGTTAGTTTCCTACAGGTCGTGTGAGAACACTGTCTGTAAGTCTTTGTCGTAATGCAAGCTCGAACGTCTAGTCCAGGTAATTGTCCAGGAATTGGTCGCCCAAGTGCAAACTCTGGGGCGTGATACATATAATGGTAAATCGCAGACAAGAGATCATTCAGTCGGCGTGCGAGGAGCCTAGTCTCGATCCCGTTCGAAAGCAAGGAAAATGAGATTAACTAGTCACAATATGCTCAACAGGCTACATCAACGAAAACAGAACGATCCCAGCCCAACACCTCTCCCCGATCCGTTACACCTTGCACATAAAACGTGACGATGCCCCCGGCTGGACGGTCAAACGGCAGGTTCGCAGCCGCTACCTCAAACGTTCGAGCGCGACCAGCATATCCCGACGTGCCAATCCAGCTTGCGTCACTCGGCTGCCTCGCAGCTTGGACACTGGCGCGGTACTGCGCAAAGATGTTGAAGTAGAGGAAAGCGGGCAGAACAGCATCGTCGAATGTCGGCCAAGCTGGGTTGGGGTCCTCTGGCCCCGTGAGGGTGAGTCCCGATAGAGGTGCAAACGTCACTGCCGTCTCCCACGTGAGGGTTCCATCGAGCCCAGTCCCAGAGAAGTCGGCCCAGATGAGACTTGGCTGGTGGCATTTGGCACGCGCGACATCCAGCTGCCCCAGGAGAAGCGAAAAGTTGAGTGGTTTGGAGGCATCCTCCGAGACGATGGAGATGACCAGCCCCGCTTCTGAAACAGACGCTGTTCCGGCTTCTATCCGAACACAGAGCCTGGTCCAGCCACCGGGCAGCGATGCCGTTGTTTCGGCAGTCGCGACATCGACGCCCTTGAAAGAAAGCGCAATATCAAGATCGACGTTCGGATCCTCGCGTTCGAGCTTGTACCATACACTGGCTTCATGTACTTCCGATGAGTCGAGGATGACCGAGTGCACGGGGATCCGGATGCTTCGAAAGGCTGGCTCCGCTGAATCTCCCTTGGGCGCCTGGACACGGAGCCTGAGCGAGCTGCCACCGTTCCAGGCATCGTCCAACGTTATCTCCGATACCACCGACGGTAGAGCGATGTCGCATTCACCATCTTCCCATTCTGGCACCGGGTATGGCCAGACCAGATTGCCGACACTCGTCTGCTTATCGAGATCCGTCCAACCCTCCGCTCGTTCAAACACTCGTACGCCATTGACCCACCACCCACGACCGACACCCGGACAGAAAGTAGTGTGGAAGGGCACACTTGATGGGTGATGGGCGAAGAACGACTTCACAGGTAGGAAGTCGCCATGACTGCAGGCCGGTTCTCCAGGCCGATTGGGCTTCACCGGAGGGACCGGGACCTGCTCGCCAGGTCGCAGACCAGTCCAGAGTCGCCGATCGTCGCCGAACCAGCCTTCCCAAGTGAACCCCGCGTCATCTTGTGTGTTTTCCCACGTCCAGCCCTGGCCAAATATCGCGGTGCTCAGGGGTGCGATGTGCTCGAGTGCTTTGTAGATGCCGAAACCGCCGCCGCCGTGAGATCCACGCCCAAACACGTCGATACCGACAAACACGTCCCGCAGCGGCTTGGACGTGGACAGCAGGTATTCCGTGGTTCTTGCGGTGTAGCTTGGGGGCCACTGGGACAGTTAGAGCGTTTCGGATGAATGACACAGAGCCGGTTACTCACGGTGTAGTTCGTGAAAAACCCAGTTGAAGGCAGGAAAAACGGGAGATTGAAGGCATTCAGTCTGTCTTGCCAAGCGAGCTGACCAGTAACAACCACGCTATCATACCTGTGGATTGGATCAGCGGCAGGGATTAGGTGGGGAGAAGATCGCTGACCAGATGACTTCAGAATGCGACCCGACCCGGTCCCTCAACTCTTCTCTCAAGAGTGCGATCCAGGCGGCAACCCCTCGCGTCTGTTCCATCCCTCCCGCCAAGGGACACTCAAAGTTCAGCAGGTATCCGTCGAAACCACGCTGTTGAGCAAGCTGAGCGAGTAGTCGCGCGTAGTGCGGAGAAAGCGGTAAAGAACGAAACTCGGTCGATTGGAGAGCTGGGCCCGTCTTCGATTGCGGTAGCTGGCCAACGAGCAGTCGGAGGCAGTCATTCTCACTTCCTCCCTCAAAGATCCTACAATTGAGATGAGACCCGGCTCTTCGACGCGGTAATTACGCGGTTACAGACAATGTTCCGAGCATTTTGACCCCTTGTCGATGTGCAGCAGTGATCCACCCGGGAGGAGGAATCGTGATACGATGGTGCGAGAAGCTACGACTACGATGACGACGAAACAATCGGACGAGTGGAGAGAGGCGTACTAGATGAAGATGTCTGCCATCCACCAGAAGTTGAACGAGTATCCGAGCGAGAACGGACTTTCTGTGTATCCTCCCTGCTGTGTATGAGCCCCCGATGCGCTACCACACAACGATCGCGGTCAGCCGGCAAACCTTGTAGTCGTGGCACACCTGGGCTCTTCAATACGGCATTACGCGTTACAGAGACTCGTGCGATTCACCAGCAGCTTTCCTGATGCGTTGGGCGCCTCGGAAGGCATGCGAGCAGTGAACTTCAGCACACCATCGAGTGGTGGATGGGGTCTCGGAGCCCAGCTGTCGAGTTCCTCCAGTGATCGGAAGTAGGGAGCATCGTCTCCAGCAGTCTCGTAGATGCTGCCCGTTATTGGCATGAGATATAAGTGATGATCTGTGGAAGTCCGGATCCGCGATTATGGCATCGCGAACGCTACCAGTGCGGCTTGCCAAACTTGGTCACAAAAATAAGTATGAGGATGCTCGAATGTACTTTGATCAGGCAATGAGGGATGGATTTCATTGTTTATAAGTACGATTAAAGTAATACAGTGTTTCGAAACCAGCAGGCGACAGACATTTTGATAAGGTAGGAAGTACAGTACGCAGATCAGCCATCCTTAATTACCGCGCGTAGGGATGGTAGTTGTGCTGGCCACGTTGTCCGACCCGCTGCGGGCCAACACCAGGATTGCCCATGGCAGCGGGACCGCCGGGCGGTGCGGCCGCACTCCCCGCGCGCGGCCCACGAGGCACATTCGGCCCCAAAGAAGCATTATTGTTCTGGGCCATCCCCCGGCCCATTCCGCCCATTCCGCCCATACCAGCACCGGGCATGCCCATTCCTCTCCCCATGCCCATGCCCATTCCACCCATCATGCCCATGCCCATCCCGCCGCCCATGCCCATCATCGCAGGGTTCATCTGTCCGTTCGCCATCTGGAACATCCGCGTGTAGAGCGTGGCCAGTGCCTGCGGGTCAAATGATGGGTTCCCGCCGCCACCGCCGGCTGCGAAGTTGCCCTGGCCGCCGAAGTTGCCGCCTCCGCCTTGGAAGTTGCCTCCGGACTGGTCCCCATCTTCGTTGGGGTAGTTGTCGCGCTGGTACCGTGGCTGGGCAAGTTTGACGTCGATCTGGACCATGGTGAATAAGCAACAGTCACGTCAGAGTCAGGATCTTACATACCAGTTTGCCGTCAATTTCAAGATTACCAAAGCCCAAGAAAGGCTGCACGTTGGTGTCCTCGAACGAAATGAAACCGAAACCCTTGCTGCGGCCGGTCTCTCGGTCAAGCATCACCGTCGAGTCGATGACTTTGCCGAACTGCGAGAAGAACTCGCGCATGGACTCGGACGTGACACTACCGGCAAGTCCGCCGATGAAGAGCTTGGTGGCACGCTGGTGCTCCTGGCGAGGAATCGCACGCTTCGGGTCGATCTGGGAACTGCTTTCAGAGACCTGAATGCACACAAATAGCGGAGACGCTCACGATTTTTCCGTCCAGGACGTGCTCCCTGGCCATCACAGCATTCACACTCGCCGCGTCTTCGAAGGTTAAGAAGGCAAAGCACCGCGAGCGTCCTGCAGCATCTCGCATAATCGTGCATGCGTCGACTTTCCCGAATTGGGAGAAGTACGTGCGCAGTCCCTCTACATATGAAATGAGCTTCCCGTTACAATCGGTGAAAGGGAAATATCTACCGTCTGTCGTGTCCCAGTTGAGCCCACCGATGAACATCTTGCTGCATTGCCAAGTAGATTCAAGGAACGAGCATAGAGGAAGAGCAGGGAAAAAGTGATATTAGCATCCCGTAAGCTAGAACAAAGTCACAGAGATAAAACGGAATGGACAGACTCTACGTGGGGTGCATAGCCTAGCCTAGACAGTACGACCGCAGCTATTACGCAAGCTAGTGCTAGCCTAGACGAGGATTGACTACGCGCGACTCAAGAATGGGCCTTCGACAGCCTCCGCACACCCACAGTAGCCGCTTCTCCCAGTCATCAGCCGAGATGGAAGAAAGAAGTACGCACCCTTCATCTTTCATTTCGGAAGGGCGGACGCTGCGTTCGCCCGCATTTTGATAGTCCGCACCGTTGGTCGAGCCACGGTACTCGTTTTGAGGCTGTTCGTAGGTAGGAATTGATTGCGTAACGGGGGCATACGATGCTATTGGCTGAGCAGCAGGAACGGGGCGGGCTTGAGTAATGGGGGTGTCGTGGGGGGCGGCGAGGTTGGGCTTGGAGGCAGCGGGGACGGGAGTTGTTTTGACCTCTGTCTTGACCGCCGGTTCTGGTTGGCTGGGGACTTCGACTGCTTCGTCAGCGGGGCCACCGTACTCGTTGTCGTCGTTGCCGTATAGGTCTGTCAGCAAGAACGCATGAGAATGAGGCAGAAAGGGGCGAGGAATAGAACGGACCGCCATAGAGATCAGCTTCGAGGTCAGACATGTGTGTTCAGAGCGGACGAGGATTAGGTTGGTGGTGGAGGGGAGTGAAGGCACTGAGACAGCGACCCCAGCCACACAGCAAAAAGTGACAATTGTGACAACTCACGTGCCTCATGTCATCATCGAAAGCCGAAGGTCGTTCCGGCAAAGCCCGCGCCGATCGAGGTTGACTCTTTCGTAAGTGCTGATGCAGGTTGCCCTGGAAGCTTTGGATAGCTGGAAAGGCGCATGAATAAATCTATGGCCTCCTATGGCTCGGGAAAGATAAAAGCTCATCTACCCCTGGGATGGGGTCTGGTTCAGTTACTTATATTTGTGATCGCGCACCATGTTCCGCAACATAGGCAGGAGTCATTAGCTCATTTAACCCTGCCACTGGATTTCACGATTTCAGTCTGAGTCAAGCAACATTTCCGGGATATCATCATTGCTGTTCATAATTGCCATGTCGACGGGCGAATTTTAACTCTGGAGGCAAACTTTTAAGGCGCTGGTTTATGACTCTGAGAAGGTGAGCCTGTGTCAAGCGGATGTCGCCTACGGAAGTACTGACATTTATATTGAGACAAAATAAACTCAGAATGTATGACATCGTCACACCATCAAAATGAAAACTAAGCGTTAAGATATCTTTCCGACAAAAACGACTTTCTTCCGGACTGCTTCACTTCGAATGTTGAAGCCATTACAAGGGAAAGAGGAAGATAATGTGGGACATATAGTTCAGGTCAGTCAATGGAGTTATTCCTACAGCCTGACAGGTATCTATTCGAGCCAAACGACTTGTACATCTTTATCTTTGGGCATCATAAGAATTTCTCCCTGGAACATGACCTGTAGACTCGGTGAGTGATTTTGCGCAATATTCTCCACCACTGCGGCGAGCGATCAACTTATAACGACCTTCTTCTGGCGCTTGGCCGCCCGGAGGGTCCCGTTTAAAGCCTCGACTGCCGTTTTCCGCTGGTCAAGATCGTTGGAGATCAGAGCCAAGTGGACAACTCACGTGTATTTGCAGTCTTATCGAACAGTATCCCGTATGCAACGGAGCTCTGTCCACCGGCGTCGGTGGTCCCATGCTGCTTGATCGCGTCTGCAAGTTTCAGAGTCTCAGGGCCGATGGCTAGGAATCGCACAACCTCGGAGAACGATAATTTCTTCGGAAACATCCACTGAAGAAGAATCCATCTGTGCAGTATAGGCGCTTGAAGGCGAAAACACTCACTGGTGTATGACCAAAGGCAAGTCCCAATCAGGCAAGTGATCAAGGAGCCGGTGGCGGTGCTTGTTTAAGAATGCGTGCGCATGTTGTTCGCTGAGAACGGCAGAAGCCAAGGTTTCGCCCCTCATTGTGAAATGCCTAGAATGTAGTCCGAAGATAAACCAGGGCTATTTCTTTTTGCAATAAGCGTACGAACGGTCATGTTCCATGGTCAGAAGATTCAAACGATACAACAGAGGCATTGGGACGATACCATAATTCCAGGATGGCTTTCTAGGATTCGGTATTCATGCCGGAAAGCGAAATGGACACCGTTGAATAGCGATCAGTAGCGGCAAGCGTTGAGCAAAGAACGAGATGATTCGGTCAAAGCGAGAAATATTGAAAATGACGTAAGATATCAGTTTGATCTCCAACCAGTTCACGATTCGTCTCAGGAGAGGGTAGACGATCGTCTGTTTGAAGCGGGCCTGGCTATCTAGGTCTGTGAATGCTCATGCGATTCAAGGGAAAGAGAAATCCTACTGAAATGATCAAAGATCTTCGGTCCCGTCAGACACTGCTGTCGCATTTCCGCCGACAGCTCACACGACCAGCAATATCCAAGATGTGAACGACAACTCGAGCGAAATCTACGCAAGAAAGGAATCCGAGCCAGAATCGAATTTCACTGAGAAGTACAAGTTTTGTCCTTTCTTGTGTTTCGGAAAAGCCAATTGTACTCACCTACCCGAGTCGTTCGCCCCCAGCTGACCTGCGTCGAGCGTCGCGTCGCGAGTCGCGATAGACAAATGGCATAACACGAGCATACATGTGGCTGTGTATCGAGGTTTATGGCTTCCTCACCCTCCAAGCCGCTAGTCATCCACCTTCCTGGGTCAGTCATGTTCAACGGAGAGCCGCCATTGCGACGTTCGAGTCGTCAAAGCAATCACTCAACCGGTTCCGAATATAATCCTCACGAAACATCTTCGCCGAATGGGCCATCATTCGAGGAGCCGGAGCCAGAGCCACCCAAGGAGATGACCACTACGCGTTCCGGGCGGCGCGTTGCAAAGAGACAGTACGCAGAGAGCGAAGCTACCGACGATGCAATCGAAGGCGGGAATCCGGCCAACCTTTTCGACGGGGACGACAATGACGTGGGACACGGTCGAGCGTCGATGTCTGATGACAGCCAACGGCCACGACGCATCAGGCGGGGGGGCCAAATGAGAAGGGGAAGCTTCATTGCCAGCGAAGACGACGAGCCCCAAGAGCCCCGATACGAGATGCGCACCAGGATACAGAAGAAGCCGTCCCCCACAGCGACTTCAGGCGCCTCGAGACAAATACGGAAGACGAGAACTACGGCCCAGGATCGCGCTGCTCGATACGCTCGGAGAAGTGTCAAAGAAGAGGCCGACTATCAGCCCAACGCACATCAGTCATCTGAAGATACCCACCTGGGCTCAGATGCCGACGCGGACGGCGAGCTCGACCCTGAGGAACTCGAGCCACCTGAGCCGGAGGAGGAGGAGGAGGAAGAAGAAGACGACAACAATCGTCCGTACTCATTGCGGCAGCGGCAACCGGTCAATTACGCCATCCCCCCACCGCTAGAGGAAATGTCCCGTCCGCCCCCGCCTCAACGACCGACCGGCCCCAATCGAAAACGTACCAACAAGGGGCCGGGATGGAGTGCTAGCGGCGCTGAGCTGGGGAGGTGGATGGGCATGAATGGGCCTGATGACTCGGACTCTGACAATCCCGGCAACGCACCTAGAACTCCGCGAAAACCAGTCGCATTGGGCTTTACCACGACGCCGATGCCGATGGGAAGCAACATTGGTGGGGGTGCTGGTATGGGCAAGGTTACAGAAGCTGCGCTTGCAGACGCGGATCCTTTGGGTGTGAATCAGAATGTGACTTTTGACGAGGTCGGTGGTTTGGACGATCGTACGTGTATCCGGATCTCCTGGGGACTTGAAGGACTCATTTTTTTGTATCAACCAGACATCCATGCATTGAAGGAGATGACTCTACTTCCTTTGCTCTATCCGGAAGTTTTTCAACAATTCAACGTCACTCCACCCCGAGGCGTTCTCTTTCACGGGCCGCCCGGTACTGGTAAGACACTTCTAGCACGAGCCCTCGCTGCTTCTTGCCGTACAAATGGTCGTCAGATCAGTACGTTCTCTGGCACCTATGGCAGGAACTTACTGACCACTTCCCAGCATTCTTCATGCGCAAAGGAGCTGACATCCTCTCTAAGTGGGTCGGTGAAGCTGAGCGCCAGCTTCGTCTGCTGTTTGAAGAGGCACGAACACACCAACCCAGCATCATCTTCTTCGATGAAATCGACGGTCTTGCACCCGTGCGGTCCTCGAAGCAGGACCAGATCCATGCCTCTATCGTTGCAACGTTGCTGGCATTGATGGATGGCATGGACGGCCGAGGGTCTGTCGTCGTCATTGGTGCTACGAACAGACCAGATGCCATCGATCCTGCATTGAGGAGGCCGGGTCGGTTTGACCGGGAGTTCTACTTTGGCTTGCCCGGCAACGAAGCGAGGGAGAAGATTCTCGGCATCATGACCAAAGGCTGGAAAGGATGGGGTGTTGATGGTGATGCCGAGCGACTTAGAGGTCTTGCTGCTCTCACCAAAGGGTACGGGGGTGCTGATCTCAGGGTTCGTGTCCCTTGCTCAAGCGCAGCTTGCATGAGCTGATGTTGAAACAGGCATTGTGCACAGAAGCCGCGCTCAATGCGGTGCAACGCCGATATCCGCAGATTTATCAGACTTCCGACAGATTGCTGCTCAAACCGGAGACCATCGAAGTGGGGCTGCGAGACTTTATGATTTCAATAAAGAGTTGGTATCTTCTTCGTCCGATTCGTCCCGCGGTCGTTTTCTGATACTATCACCCAGAGATTGTCCCTGCAGCAGCACGATCTTCGTCCTCGGTTGCTGTTCCCCTAGCTCCACAATTGGAACCGCTTCTTAGCACTGCTCTGGAACGAGTCAAGAGCGCCATCACCCGTGTGCTTCCCGTCGACAAGAAGTTGTCCGCTCTCCAGGAGGCCGAATTTGAGGATGCCGGCGGTGAAAGCGGAGCTTTGGAACGAGAGTTGTTGATGCAAGGTGAGTTCATTTGCATCCTATCATACATATGCCTTGACGCATCTCGCTCAGCGATGTCGTCTCAAAGGGTGTATCGTCCACGTGTTGTTCTGCACGGTCCTTCCGGCATGGGTCAGACTTTTGTTGGTGCCGCGGCGTTACATCATCTAGAGGGGTACCATATACAGAGTCTCGAATTGGGAGCCTTGCTCGCTGATTCCACTCGGGTGCGTCTAGCTACAACATCATTTGACAGTACCAACTCTCCTCTAGTCACCAGAAGCAGCCATCGTACAGCTATTCGTAGAAGCAAAACGGCATGCACCAGCCGTCATCTATATCCCAGCGCTCCGAACTTGGTGCTCTGCAGTCTCTGACACGGCGCGTGTGACTGTTGGCACAATGCTTGAGACACTGGCACCCTCAGATCCCGTGCTGCTCCTTGCTGTGGTCGATGGTCCCCTGAAAGCTCTTCCAAGGGACGTCCGCTCTTGGTTCGGTGTCGGTGAAGCCGGTGCCCGAGTCGAATTGACAGGACCTGACGTCGATTCGCGGGTCAAGTTCTTTGCCAGTCTGGTGAAGGATCTGAGGCGACCGCCAAACGAATTCGCTGACGGCGTTCCGCGGCGCAAGCGGGTGCTGGAGGTGCTGGAAATCGCGCCCCCGCTAGAGCCAAGGAAGATGAGCGCGGCCGAGTTAGCTGCTCAGGAGGAGAACGACCAGAGAGTGCTGGCGCTTCTGAAGTACCGCCTGGAACCTATACTGGCTCTGCTCAAGCGCAAGTTTAAACGGTTTACGAAGCCCGCTGTGGTCTGTTCTATTGCTTGTGGCGTGAGTCGTATTCACTGACACATCGTTTCAGGAAGAGTACGGTTTTGCAGCTATCTTTGGACCGGACCCTTCCGACGAGGCCGTGCCCGTTGCTGCTGAAGTTCCTGTCGTGGTGCCCAACGGCGATGTCGTCATTGCGGACGGTGGATTCCCCGTCGTCCCCAATGGAGACGTCATGATGGTCGATCACCCCGAAGTTGCTATCGTGCCCCCCGCACCGCAGCCAAAATTGTTCGATATCGACCTGGAGCGGATGCACACCAACTTGTACAAAGGGCGGTACCTGACGCCAGCGGATTTCCTTGCTGACGTCGAGAAAATGGCGCTCAATGCAGCTGCACGTCGGACGGAGGATCCGGATCGGTCGTACCGGGCTCAGGCTATGCTGACTGCTACACAAGTCAGCATGCATGAGTTTGATCCGCAGCTCAGATATGAAGCTGAGCGCATGGCCCCAAGGGAACGGGCGAGGCGAGAGGCTGTGCGTGAACAGGAACGGGCGAAGGCCAAGGAGAGGGATAAGGAGGAGAGTGGGAGTGAGACTGGGGTCCGGCGGAGTGCGCGACATAACGGCCAGGCGCCTGAGTTGACCATCACCGATCCCGTTCAGTTAGAGCGAAGACTCAAACGGCAGAGATCTGGTGATGCCGGATCGGAGCCTGGCTCGAAGCGATCTCGGACAGCGGAACCCGTGGATGGGTACGGATCTGACGATCCACTGAACTCGCTGCCGTCGCGGCAGGAAGATGCGATGGTGGTTGATCCCGTCGATCCCTTCTTGAACCCGGCTCCAATTCCACTGCACCCGACGGCAGGCTTCGACCCAGCCTTGCTGAACCCGGCTCCGGTGAACAGACCGTTCATTCCTTCCCAAATCCCTATACATTCTCTGCTATCGGAGCCTACAAACGAGCCAACCCCTACCCCTGTAAAAGAACCGACCCCTCCTCTCAAAGAACCGACACCTCCAAAAGAACCGACGCCTCCCCGAGAACCCACGCCTCCGATCCCAGCACGGTCGCCCACTCCCCCACTTCCTGAGTTCAATCTCGACGAGGGTCTGGTGGGCAATCTGGAGAGCCTCCTACGGGACTCGACTGCCGGTCTCACCGTCGAGCAGCTTGAGCAACTTCGCGCGACTTGCCTGGCTGCGGTTTGGCGCCACCGCACAGAGTGGGACCGGAACTCGGCAGCTCGCGAACTGTTGGATATCGTCCAGGAGTTTGCTGATGTTGTTAAAGATGAGAGCGAAGACGAGATATAAGGTCTCCCATTTTTTTTTGGCATATCCGCATTTTACACTTACTTTGTTGTATCAGTCCCCCCAGTCATTATTACTATTGTACCCACGCCCAACACCAATCTATTTTCATCTACCGGTTGTTGCCAGGAGATGTGATCATCCCATGGAAGGAAGACTAGAACCGGTCCGAAAATTCTGCCATCTCGAGGGAAGGCTACTTAACGCCCAGCCGAACAAGCTTACCAGGTTTGGAGTTCCAGGGCCCTAGTGCTGGCATGGCTTATGAGCCATGCTGCCTTAATGCAATGAGCCAGCCCCTTCCAGGGCCTTCCTGCGTGATGTCCAGCCCCTTAAGGTGGTGCCAGTGGTTGACGCGTGCACACATCCCTCTCGACATCGGGAGGTCTGAAAAAGATTCTGGGGTTCCGCAAGTCACATATTGTGATGTGGTTTGCGGCGAGAAGCTGGAGGCCTAGCAACGGGAAAATGGCCCCAGAGTCCCCCGGACAAAGTCGGGGAAAATCTCATTATTTTGGCGCCTGCCGTGTAAGGCATAAATCAGTCATCGGAGGTTCTTTGTTGCTCCGAGAAGAAGCCGAATAGTTCACACGCGATCTGCCGAAAAGTTGTCAGGCTCGTCGAGCACCGTGATTCGTGTATACATGTGCTCGTGACATGTGAGGTCATACCGGAGAGTTTGCACGTGCAGTTTGGAACGATAATCTCACGTCCTGCTCTCAAATAAGTCGCTGTTAGGCCAAGACAGAGTCCCAACCGTTTTTTACTATAGCGGGCCCGAGATTTGGTCCAGTTTTCCATTCAAACAGAGTAGGTCAGATTCAAATATATGCATCGGGATAAGCCGCGCAGATCAGGAATTGATTCGAAGATTCCCGATCAAATATGTCATGCTTGGACTTCCTGACTGATAACGGGTGACCGCTTAATCTTTGCTCTCCTCTGCCCCGCTTCTAGCCGCTCGACGCCGTCCGCCAAATTCTCACGCCGTCGCGACGCGTCCCCGGCAGCATTCCTGACAGTCGATATAAAAGTGGAGATGGTCACAGCATTCTTCTCAGCACGCCTTCCTTTCACGACATGGCTACCTCCAGTTCCTCCTCCATAACGATGCCTGGTCTGACGGAATCACATCCTGTCCCCGTCAAATCACACGATGACGCTCCTGGCGCTCCCGATCTCAGCTTTCCGTTCGAGACGACGGACACGGCAGAGGGCGGTGTCACGAACGAATACCGCGCCGCAACGAGGACTGGTCTGATGTCTGCAACTGATGCTCTGCGACCTGTACCGGCACACACGGCCCCCTCTCGACCGCACGCACTCTCTGACCCTGAGAAGGCGAAGCAACTCGAAAAGTACGAGTTTGTCACCTGGAAAGTCAACGATCCAGAGGACCCTCGGAACTGGTCACCTCTCTGGCGGTGGTGTGAGTCTCTCTTTCAACTGAGAGTCAACAGTGCTGATCTCTGGTACTTAGATATCACTGGTGTCGTTACCTGTGCCGTTGTTTCCGTCGCCTTTGGAAGTGCTGTCGTCACCGGTGACTTCAAGGACATTCAAGCTGAGCTGCACGTCGGCGAAGTCGTCGCTGCCCTTTCGGTCTCTCTAATGGTCGTCGGATTTGGGTATGTCTATTGCCCACCTCTCTCAAGCCAACGCTTATATGATTGGACAGCCTTGGCCCTCTCGCATGGTCGCCGCTCAGTGAACTGTACGGGCGGAGACCCCTCTGGTTGATACCGTTCGTGTTCTACGTCGGTGCGTTTCTTGCCTGCTAGGATAGTGGGATCGCAACTCACAATACTCCCCCAGTCTTCAACATCCCATGTGCTCTGGCGAAAAATATCCAGACGCTGCTCATCTCTCGATTTTTGTGCGGCTTTTTCGCTTCTGCGCCGCTCACTTTGGCTGGCGGTACGATCTCCGACATCTGGGACAACAATGAGCGTGGGCTGGCCATCGCCTTCTTCGCTGCTGCACCGTATGGCGGACCTGTCCTCGGGCCGATTGTCGGTGGATTCGTCGGTCAGAGCGTGGGATGGCGATGGATCCTGTGGGTCAACATGATCTTCGCCGGCGTCATGTACGTATCCCTCTTTCTCCGAGTGATTTTCGTGCTCATCGCTCTCTTAGTCTGCTCTTCTGTGCCACCATCCCGGAAACCTTTGCACCCGTTCTGTTGCGCAAACGTGCTGCTGCATATCGTGCCGAGACCGGACGAAGTGATATTGTCACTGAGCAAGAACTCTTCAAGAAGTCGTTCACCCATATGCTTATCGATACCCTCATTCGGCCTTTCCGTTAGTACTTCCCGTGTTCTCCAACTGGACCGCATGCTCACTTCGCAACAGAAATGATCGTCTCAGAACCGATTCTGCTATTGATGTCGCTGTACATTGCTCTCATCTACGGTCTCCTCTACGCGTTCTTCTTCAGTTTCCCCGTCGTCTTCGGCGAAGGGTATTCGTTCAGTGACGGCCTCGTCGGCCTCACGTTCTGCCCTGTCCTCATCGGAGTCGGACTGGCTCTGGTTGCGACGACTCAGCTGGAGAAGAACTATCTCCAGCGTGCTATGGCAAAGGGCGGCCGTGCTGATCCCGAAGATCGGTTGGTTGGAATGATGCTTGCTTCGCCTTTCGTTCCCATATGTGAGTCTCCCGTTTGATGCACTTGAGAATCTTTTAACTGATTGCTCTCTGCAGCTCTCTTCATTTTCGGATGGACTAGTCCCCCGTATGTGATGCCGGGTGGTGGCAACTGGGTCGGACCTGCCAGTGCTGGCATCCCCTTCGGATTCGGCAGTACGTTATTTTTGGTCGCTGCTCTTTCACCTTGACTTATCAATATTCAGTGGTCGTGATCTACTCGTCTGCCAATGCATACCTGATTGATGCGTTCCCCGGCTACGTGGCCTCCGCTCTGGCTGCCAAGACGGTCATTCGTTCCGGTGCTGGTGCGGCCATGCCTCTGTTCATGGTGCAGATGTTCCACGGCCTGGGCAACGGATGGGCTGCGTCACTGCTTGCCTTCGTCTCGCTCGCCATGGTCCCCATTCCATTCCTGTTCTACAAGTTCGGCAGTTCCATTCGGGCACGTTCTGAACGAGCCGCCTAATCGATTTCTCATTTAAAAAAAGCAAATGGCATCTACCCACCCTAGATCTTTGTGGGTTGTATATTAATCCTTGCAGTGCGCCTTGTAATAATTGTATAACATCGGATAATCCAAAATAATTGGCGTCGAGACTGCGTGACAGTCACCCCGCATCGTCGAGGCTCAACTCAGTCCACCCGGCTACCTTGTCATTGTCGGCATCAGCGCTACGCCAGCCAAGTTTTTCATCTCGATCATTTGGAATTCAATCACTCTCCGCTGTAATGACCTGCATGCTCGGCAGCATTCGCCAAGCCCAGCCCATTGGGGACGTCAGAGTCTCTGAGAGGAGCTACAGTTCCCATTTTCTCACTGCGCACTCGTTTCCACTCACGGTCGCGGCTCCCACTGAAGATGCAGCGCGTGTGGTCCGTATATCTGGATGGAAAGCGCGCGACTCATAGCACCCTCGGACCCAGTCATGGTTCGGTACGGTTTCTTGCCAACTTTACGCCTATGCAGCAACGGTCTCATAGTCCTCCCAGCGAGAGTCATCGTGGGCATTGCATCGCGACCAAGACCACCAGTAGCACTGACTGCTTCCACAGCACATCCATGACGTCGAACATATCCGCATCTTCCACATACCCCATCTTGGATAGGGGCCGTGTACCCGAGGAGCACACACTCGAGCCACCGCGAGCCCCGTTCCTCCACGACGACGATCGCACGCCGGGCTCCAGCCGCAGCAGCTCCCCTGGCCCGATATCCGACGGGAGCACGGTGTCGCTGCAGGTGAACTATGTGCCGGCCAAGTTCTCGCCTGCCAGTGTGCGACGGAGGAAGGGGAAGACGGACGCCGGGCTCAAGATGGGCGGGGGTGTCGAGGCCTTTCGCGCTGGCGAACATCGCATGCCCCTCTCTACGGACCGGAACTACGACGGCGTGGATGTGGGGATTGACTCTGGGAGAGCACACTGGAACAGGTTCAAATGGGCGTTGGTGATCTCCAATACGATAGTGCGCATGCATTTCCCCTGATATTCTATATCGACTTACTCTCGTTCAGTACACCATCGCTTCTCTGGCAGGACTTGTATTCCTCCTGATCGTCTGGTTCGACGTGTGGAAGCATGCTGATGTTGTGCGAGCAGCGAACTCTCGAGAGCTCGTTCTCTCAACAACGGCACTGAGTTTGGCGCTGCTCACCTGCTGCATTGGCTGGGCCGGCATCGTCTTGAACAACCGCGCCTTCCTCGCTGTCTACACACTTTTCCTGTGGATCACGTTCGCATTGATCGTCGCACCGGGGTACATCACCTACAAGAAGTACGCGTTCAATCTCCAGGGCAAGCTCAGTGTGCAATGGTCCAGAGCGCTCGGCTCTCATGGCCGATTGCGCATTCAAGATCAACTGCATTGCTGTGGGTGGTACAGTCCTTTCGTCGAAGCGACTGTCAGCACCACCTGCTACGCTCGTAGCTCTCTGCATGGATGCTACGGTCCCTTTTTGCAGTTCGAAAAGCAGCTCCTTCACGTCTGGTTCACTGCCATCTTCGCAGGCGGCGTCCCACTCTCTCTGGGTGCTATCTTCGCTGGCCTCCTCTGCTCTAACCACATCACATACCGATTCGGCAAGGGAATGATGCCCAAGGCCTATCAGATGTCGTCCCACAGCTTAGCTGTTATTGCAGCTTCGTACGCTGTAACTTGTTCGTTTTGTTTCCAGCACTGACAATCATTCTCCAGACACAATCTCAATACCCGAGACATCCGCTCGAGCCCCTCGACCGCGGATGTCAGCGCGCCTCTACTGCCTGCCATCAAGTCGTGATGACCCGTAATAATGGCTTTATATTGTGTAATGCGCATTCTTGTCTCGTTGGTACTTCTTTTTCTGGTTGTAGTCATTCAAGTACACGGCAATATACGAGAAACGAGCGTTCCTGTTTAAATTAGGCGCTGATATTCTCTAGTTGCGCTAGGTCTCGAGTTTTGGATTCCGGGTCCCAGTCCGATGACCCTGAATCTCACGATTCTTGGAATTGAAAACCGAACTCTTTAGCGAGATAATCCTTCATGGGTCCAGTCTGCATCTCAACCCATTCAACGTCTCTGCCTTCCTCACTGCCCTGTGCTTCAGGCCCGCCAGTCGTGTAGACCTTGGCCCGACGTGGCATCCCCTCCTTATCGGCATACATCATCGAGCGTCGGGCGCCCTTCCCTCCGGGAATGAGGCGGGTGACGAGCCAGAATGCGGTGAACGATGCGTGCTGATGAGTGGCGGAGAAGTGATGGTAGAGCATCAGATCTGCGAGCGGGACCGAGAGGAGCAGGAAGTGGAAGAGAGGAGACCAGTAGCCAGGCGACTCGGAGGTGATGGGGAGGACATGGGGAGTGCCGACCGGTGCTATGCGTCGGTAGAGCGTGTAACCAGGCATGCTGTCGATGGGCCGCGCAACACCGGGCGACAAGGGCAGGGGCTCGTGGACAAGCTTGTATGCCTCGAACTCATTCAGGCCGATGATAGTCTCGCCTGCCGGGTCCGTGGTGAGTTTGATCCTGAGTAGAGGTTCATTCAGCTAGGAGAATGCATGGACGCAGTGTACGCACGGCTTAGCCAGGTTCGCTGGGCCCCAGGCCCCATCGACCAGGTATCTGTCCGCCGATCCAGCCCACCCCACGATCATGAAGCCATGCGTGATTGTGCCCCATTTCCACCCTGCTTCATTCGTCCTGGGATCCTGGCCGAGGGCTTTGTAAGATCGGCTGGCGACCTCGGAAACATCGAATCCCCAGAATCTGAGGAGGGCCGAGAAGGTGGCGTTGATCGAGAAACAGAAGGCGCCTTTCTTCTCGCCGACGATGCGGCCCATGGCCAATGCGCCCAGGGGCATGCTAGTGAATGCGCTTCCGAGCTGGATGGGGGTTGATGGGCCGCGCCATTGCTCTTCCGAGACGTGGAGAGGGGTCGTATCCTTTGGGATCTGCTCGAGATGAGCGAGGAACACGCTGGATAGGAGCTCTAGCGACGGCGGCGAATCGAGAAGCGCGTGAGGGAGCTTGATCCGGTCAAGATATGCTGCTACCTGATCCCGGGAAAGAGTCTTGGCCTCGAAAGCGTCAGTAGGGTACGGGTCCGTCATGTTGTGCGTGGTCTGAAAGGTGGATCCGAGTCATATTCGAGGGGTCTGCAGCTGAAAAGCTAATGACGGCACACGGACAGCCGTCGGTGATGCCCATCGTGTCAGCATCCATTTGACAGTCACGACGTGACAACACATCATCCCTCTCAAGTTCAACGTCGTTCATCATAATCACAGCCTCAATGTTGCGAAATGCAATTCGGAAGGGGGTCGCAGGATTGGTAATTATTCTCAAATCTTCGCTCAATTCCTCACTGAAGTCTTTTCAGGCTGCAATGCGTATGCCAATTTCATCTCGTCCATTACCCCGTCTCGTAGGCCCTACTCGTTTGACCGCCGCGAAATTCTCAACATCACGCCGCTTCCTGAACGTCGACTCGGTAGAAAATCCGAATTCCACTGAGCAAGCAGCTTTGACTCATCTCGAGTCATTCAATGCAAGCGTCAAGAATTTCCAGCCACTGAAAGACGAGGAAAGGCTGATTCTTTCTTTCGGTCTGATATATGAGATGGTCAATTATCTTTCACGACATGGCGAAGACGCTGAAGCGTATTTGTCGGTGCGGCCTTTTCTTTACCAGCGATTTAAATCTATGACTTGATATTTTTCAGGTTTTCATGCGATCCGAAGCCACAGAAGGCTCTGATCTGCTTCGTGCTCGTCAAGTCGTGTTTGGACTTACACGATATATGACCGACCTGATTTCCAAGACTCCCTCCAAGTCTCCGTTACGCACTGAACATTCTAGCGTCTTCAATCTTGTTGGAGCGCTGGAGCCACAGTTCATCCTATATGCTGGGGAAAACGACGCAGAAAAGTGGCGGGAATTCTGGGAGAGAGTTCAGCCCATTGTGCTGGACCTGGCCGGAAAGTTGGAAGAGGCTGGTTTTGGCAGCACTGCCACAGAATCCCAAATCTCCCAGTAGCATTTAGTAGCCATATTGGAAGGTCGTATCATGCGTGATTTCATTCTCTGGTGAATAGAAAGAGAGAAATTATACCCAAGAAATAATCACGAGATGAATCGACAAAAAATAAGGATTTTGGCATCGGAGCTCAATTCGTTTGACGATTAATGCTCTCCAAGAACCGGTTTTGCAGACACGATGTCCGAGTGGTTAAGGAGATCGCCTGCTAAGCGGTTGGGCTTTGCCCGCGTGTGTTCGAATCGCACTCGTGTCGTAGTTTTGCTTCTCATTCAATCTCGCTTCTCGGCTTCTCCAGCGCAGAACTCCCAACCAGTTGCTTCTCTTTTTCTTCGTCGCTCTTATTTTGTGTTCGCATTGCAGTATCCGACATGAGCTTATCGTTAATAACTTCATATCCTAAGTGTAAGCCGTAGATGCAAGTCACCAGCACTTTCAGTTCCAACCAGCACTATGGCGTGTGCTGGACTCTTGATCGCATCTCCCACATTCCCGAAATGTTCTGTGACGCATGCCCATGATCAATCACTGTAGAGCGTGACATCGCCCATTTCGGAAAGTCGATTGATTACGCCTCTCTTCCACTCATGTACAGACTCTGTTGGGTGTAGACGAGTCTCTAGCCTAGCCTGTCTTGCAACTGACACTGAATCTGTGCTGTTTCCTCTCGACCTCACTCGAAACTCTCGAAACTGTGCAACAAACTGGGTTCCAAGACTCAAGTAACACCATGCAACCGAGTCCAAGACCATTCAAAAGGATACGCGTCACACCGCCCGGCGATACCACGTACACAGTGCATGCCGCCGTGCCCAGACTAAGTGGCTCTCAGCTCCTCCTCGCGCTTCCCTCTGTGCTCGTCCACCCACCCACCCACACAGCCCATAAGCGCACACTGTATCTCTCCCTGCTTTCTCTCCGACGATGTCTGTGCCTACCGAATCCGGGTGGAATAAGGAGGGGTGATGGATCTGCGGCGTGGGATCTCTCGCAGACGGACGAATGCCGTGCATGGTGCGCGTTAGCGGAGATTGGGTTGATTGTTCTAGAAGGGGGATTTGGAGATGAGCCGTGGGCTTCTGGGATTGAGTCGGAGATTGACAAGGCGCTCGGTAAAGCTGTGCGTGCGCTTAGAGAACTGGTATACTTCTACCTACACTGACAGTCGTCCTAGTCCCTCATTGCCTCGAAACACCCAACACTCTCTGCGTTCCCGCAACATCTTTCGCTCCTCTCCGCACGTGCCGCTCCGCATCGCGCTCGGCAACTACTGAAGCCGGTACCGACCGCATTCATCGTCGGCGGCACCCTCGCATTCTATTACGCTCATCTTTCTTGGTCCGACCATCTTCTGCAGGGGCTCATCCACAATGCCGCTGCCCCCATTGCACGAGACATTGTCGCCCTGCGCACGGCCCTTTCGCCTCTTCTCACGGCGCCGCACATAAACATCGTCCACCTCGCACGACTGATAGAGCTGCGGGCGCTGATTGCGCTGGGCCGCTGGGACGAAGTGGGCCCCGCTCTAGAGCGCGCAGAGACTTCGATGGGAATCGCGTTTGCCGCTCCCCCGGCACCGCCGGGCCTGCACACGACGTCGGCATTCCACGCAGCGCTGGTCGTCCATCTTCTCATCCTGGGCATCGTTTGGCTTTCGTATTCCGCCGGGGGAACGGCACAGACCTCCGCACGACTGACGCTCCTGTACACCGTGCTCGATGCTGGCGTTTACAATGGCAAGCACCGGCAAGCGGACATCGATGGACGATTGGGGCTGGAGAGTGAGGGTGTGCTGGAGGTCCCGCTTGATCCAACGCTTCCGCCGTTGTACATCAAGTCGACGCATCCGAGAGTGCTTTATGCGTTAGGGTACTTGATAAGCGCTGTCGCGCGGCGCGACTTGGTCGGCCGTAAGCCCAAGCGCAAGACATTTGTCTTGGAGGGACTGGGTGTTGTTGATCGAGAGGCGTGCAAGGAACTACGAGGTGCGCCAGTTTGTTTGACATGGCTCCTGTACCTTGCTGATCTTACTCAGTGCCGCGGTGGGCAAGTGCCAGCGACGTGCGAGCGATTGAGCTGCAGATGGCGAAGATCAAAGCGGATTTGATGTGTGAACTTGTCGCAGTGTCGATCATGCGCAGCGAGTTTGACGAGGCTGAGCGGGTGGGTCGATATATTCACGCTCCGGGTCTTCATTCATCAATACTACAGACATTGAACAACGTCATCGCACATGCTAGAACATACAACCTCTTCTCCGGTGCACTTGCTCCCCGGATCACGTTACTACATGGACAGTTGGCCCATGCCCTCGGTCGACACGCAAGGGCTCGTCAATGCTATCGAGTCTCTGCTGCGTTGGCTCAGGAAGCCGGCGACGTCGAAGGCAATATAGCAGCCCGCGTCGGCGAGGTCGCGCTTCTCATTGGCCTGCAGGAAACCAACTCGGAACTAGAGCAGCTAGGACATGAGGTTGCTGCCGCCTGCGGGGGCCTTAGCGGAGCGATGCGAGCGATCGGAGAAGTGATTGAAGGGGTTCTGACAAGCGAGATCCTTAAAGCCAAGTATGTTCTCCCAGTGTCCATTCTTCGCTTATGTGTAACGGATTCCACTTACAGGCAGCATCTGAAGAATGCGCTCAACTACGCGACGGAAAGTCAAGACAATCACCTCCGGGCTCTGATATTGGCTCTTATCGCCGCACATTATCTTCACACTGCGGGAGATCAGGCGCAGATGATGCTCGGGACGTGTGAGCAGCTCGCTGCTGGGCTTGGCGCACCGACCAGGAAAGGCAATGAGCAGCCGGACGCGCTGGGCAACGCACCGTTGCGGTTGTGGGTGGGGGAGCGGTTCCTGGGTGAGTTTCGTCCGTTTCGTAGACAATCTGAGCTGATGTCTGTCCTCAGAATTGTACCGACGAGATGGCCAGACGGAAGCTATTGCGAAGCGGGAGGAGACGAATGCTCTACTGAGGCGGGCGGTTGCATCCCTTTTTGCACGGGAGCGCTAAGACTGGTCTTCAATCCATACCCCTTGGCTTGTGTCATGTGATATCCATTGCTTTACGGAGCATCCGAGAGCCCGGGTCGGATCTTCAATGAAAGAAACAAACCGATAACCAGGTATGTACCTCAACGGGAACGAACGAACTTCTACCTGAGATCAGATTTGGCCTGATTGATCCGGTCATCGTGACATGAACCACACCGTGGTCGTTCACTAGTCAGTTAACTCTTCTTCCTGACGGGCCGTAAATTTCCATTCGACAGCTTCCACACGAGGAGTGTTTAGTCTTCTTTCGGCATGCGGCATCTGCTTTCGTGGGACACCTGAGGAGCAAGCACGTCCTTAAGAAAGCAGGGTTTTCTCATCAGCTCCCTATTCAGCCATGTTATCCCCCACCGTCCTAGGCTTATCCGGTCTCCTCCTGCTCGTGTACTTGTTTCACCGGCTCTCATACAAGGGTGGCTCCCGCACGACTCGTCTCCGCGGGCCGCCCAGCAACGATCTGATATTCGGGCTTTCGCAAAGTGGACTGAAGACCACGGACGCCAGCGACGTCTACGAGCAGTGGGCGGCAGAATACGGCGCCGTTTTCCAAGTCCCCATTGGTCTCGGGCGGCGCAAGATCGTCCTGACCGATCCCAAGGCACTGCTGCACTTTTACAGCTCGGAGCGCAGCGTGTACGTCAAGACGCGGAGCAGCCGTGTCTTTATCGCCGAGATTGTGAGTGGCCCATCGGGTTCTTTGACCCCACTAAGCCCCCTCCCCCTGTTATTTAGTTTGGTCGAGGCCTTCTATGGGCGGAGGGAGATGTGCACCGACGGTCGGTTTCCAGGTTATTCGGATCCACCGGCAGCTGACGTACAAGACGACACGACCAGGCAACGCAAGGCCTTGACACCGGCGTTCAGCAACGCGGCGATCCGCAGATTGACGAGCGTCTTTTTCGACTCGACGTACAAGGCACTAGCTCAAGCCGTCAACCTTGTGTTCTTGTGTGCTAATCCTGCAACAGCTCAAGACGCTCTGGGACAACGTCATCGAATCGCAATCCCAGAATGAGGCCATCATCGACGTCCAAGGATGGTCAGTACATACCTTCGAAGTTCATTTGATGCAGACTCCTGCTCATGCGGATACAGGATGAACCGTGTGGCGTGAGCGGATAGTTCCCGTGTGCCAAAGTTCGCGGGCGGCTAATCTTCCCAACCGCTGCAGGCTGGACAGCATCGGTATCGCAGGATTCTCACATGACTTCCACTATCTCGACGGCCACGAATCCGCGGTGACAGTTGCCTTCGAGTCGCTGCAAGCGACCGAGCCAGGTTCGCTCGCGGGCGATGCCGCGCTGATCATTGCCAACACGTTTCCGTTCGTTCTGAGCTTACCCACGCAGCGAATGCAGATGTTCCGAGCGCTCGGCCGCAGCCTTGACGTCATCGCCGATCGGCTTCTGCAGAGCACAAGACGGGAGAAAGACGGAAATATGACCGAGGACATGACAGACAAGTCTGTCATCGGTCTTCTCCGTGAGCGACAACATATCATTTCCGAGGCGAGATGTGACATGCATGGCCCAACAGTGAAAGCCGAGATCGCCGATGCCGAATTGTACATGACGAAGGAGGAAGTAGTGGCCCAGGTGCGATCGTCTCCCCCTTGTACATCTCGGTGAGAATTCATCCCCGGCAGATGGTGAGCATGCTTTGGACACATGATGAGATCCTCTGACGGCAGCAGAATGTTCTTCTGCTCGCAGGTGAGCGCCTTGTTTCCGTTACTGGACGTTCGACGAATCGCTCCTGGCAGGTTACGAAACAACGTCCGGTGCGTTACCATCCCATTTTGTATTTCTGATCTCACCCGAGTGTCTCGTGACAGTCAGCCTGACCGTGAGTGGTGGACACGCTCCTGATCGGCTCGTGATAACGTCTGTCCAGTGGGCCCTCATCGAGTTGGCGCGAAACCCGACCATCCAGAGCCGTTTGCGGGAAGAGCTGCTTAGCCGGTTCAGCAGCTCGGATCCTACGTGGGACCAGCTGATTTCGCAGCTCCCGTACCTCGACGCAGTCGTATCGGAGGTGCTTCGCACTCACCCTCCGGTGACAGAGACTCCGAGAGAGGTGTGTGCCCATCTTCACGCTTGTGCGAAGTGATTTGCTACCATAGCACCGATCCCCAGGCCGGGGTAGATGACGTGATCCCACTGGGCACGCCAGTCGTTACCCCATCCGGCGAGGTCATCTCGAGCGTCTCTGTTGCGCAAGGAGAAATCGTCCTGGTGCCTATACGCTGCATCAACCGATCTCAAGCCTTGTGGGGACCCGATGCCGCCTCGTTCCGCCCCGAGCGCTGGTTCGACGAGATCCCAGAGAAGGCCGGGGAGTTGCAGGGCTACCGACACATATTGACCTTCCACGACGGACCCAGAGTGTGTTTGGGCAAATCGTTCGCTTTAGGTGGGAGATTCTCTTCCTCTTATGTGGCATAATCTCACAGTTTCACAGCGGAGTTCAAGGCGAGTCACAGCTTCATTGCGGCTACGATGAAACTGAGCGGTGCTTACTAGGCAGCTCTCTCGGTTCTCGTGCGCAACTTCGAGTTCGAGCTACCGGATGGGCCCGACACGAAGATCGGAACGCATATGGCCGTTGTTCCGCGTCCGAAAGTGGAGGGCCAGGATGGGGCAAAGGTGCCTTTGAAGGTCAAACGCGTCGACGTTTGATGCTACGAACTTCGGTGTCAATTCGAGTTAAAGTAACTTTCACTGTTCATACGGAAATGCAACAGTGGTGAATGTCCTGCTCGTTTACAATCTTTCTCTCCAAAGTCAGGGCTAGTTCAACTCGGTCAAAATCGTCTCCGTCGTATCGAACAGCTCTTTCTGCAGCCGCTCGTCAAGTGCGTACTTCGACGGTTGACTCAGCGCGGCCGGCGGGATCAGGTAAGCGCCGCGGTATTTATCATTATCCTCCACGACCTTCGCGCCCGCGGCAGCAAACACGACCGGTATCGCGCCGTTGCGCCAGGGTCCGAAGAAGAGGGGACCGATGTAGTCTCGGAACAGCCATCCGAGGCAGGGCACCGCGCCCAGGAAATGATCAGACCCGGTGGTTTTCACACTCCCTGGATGGACCGAGATGCACGTGATGGGGACCGAATCGGCGGCGAGCCGTTTTTGAAGCTCCTTCATGTGCAGGATGTTGGCCAGTTTCGTGTTCCCTGCCCGTCCGATTCGAGTGAGTAGGCACCCTGGCGATGCAATGCGGAGCTGGCGTACCATATGTGTTGAGAGTGCCCATGACGGAGTCTCCGTAGTTTTTGTTCAAAGCATCTCTTGTCGCGAATGTCGTCGGCTTGACTTGGGTGTGCGCGACAGAGGATACCTGCAAGGAGTTATCAGAATGGTCGCCTTCGGAGAGCGATAACGCTCACATTGACGATCCGGACGTCGGAGTTCGGCCGCTTGGCTGTCTCAATCATGAGCGGAAGCAGCCCTTGTGTCAGCGCAAAGTGCCCGATATGACTGGAGAGATCATCGTCAGCGCGAAGAGGAAGGCGACCACTCCACGACGAACTTGACAGCCATGATATCCAGAAACCCATCATCGTTCACTCGATAAGGCCCCGGGAACGTCCTGGATCCTATCAGTCCACGCGCTTCAGCAATCAGAGCAGAGGGTGACCGACTTGGCCGCGTTGTTCACGAGTACATCCAACCGCTCTTCTTTCTTGCAGAAGCTCGCCACAGCTTCTCGCACTCTGCGAACGTCGGAAAGGTCGAGTTTCAGCCAGTGCACACTCCCGTCCGAGATCCCCTCGGCCTCGAGCTGCTGTATCGCAGCTTCCGCTCGTTCTTGGTCCCGCGCGCCCATGTAGACCTGAGTACGTCGACCACCGTTCATGGCTACGCGCACGAGAGCTCAACACGCACCTTGGCCCCCTTGCGCGCCAGCATCTGGATGGTGGCATAGCCGATTCCGGTGCTACGAGTCCGTCCAAGTCAGCGTCGCGGTCGGTCGCTGTGCTGCGTTCTGCCACGTACTTTCCACCGGTCACGAGAGCCACCTTGCCGTGCAGGTCGACGAGGTCGGCCTCGGATATTGAGCGCATGACGGGGAGTGTCAGGGAAGTGGGCCGCTCCCACAGTTGCGGGGCACTTCGCTCGCCCTCTTGTGTGCATGCATCATGCGAGGCATCTACCCGATCGGTCCAGGGATCTGAGGCTGTGCAATGTGCCGCCTCGGCAGGTGTGCCGAGGTTGTGCACAAGTGGGGCTGCATGAGCCAAAATAATCTAGGGAGGTGGTCTACGTAAGATTATTGGTAAGTAACACACTGTCCACGGTGTCGTTCTTAGAAGTGAGATGTCTATCACGACGGTCATAGACCAAAGCAGTTTGATCAAGCGAGAAATCCCTCGAGAAACCCGTTCCCGAAGATATCTTGCGTTGACAGGGTGGTCAGTAAGCTGACATTTTCACATTGAGGTTCCAACATGCATCAATGTTGCATTCAGAATCATTCGAGCTCTGAAGCCCAAGTTTGCGCGCCTGTTGACCATTTCAAACAAAACCGGTCGTTCGTTGATGGCGCGTCAACACGTGAACTCGAGGTGACTGTTGTCTACGACGTTCGCCTTTGTTTCGAAAATGATTTCGATACCACGGTTCACTGCTGATTTTAGGGCCAATGAGATAACTGATGTTATCTGAAACTGGGGCGGAACGACCCGGGACAAGAAAGCGCGACTTTTCGAACCTGGCCGGCCGCTTTCCGAAGGACGACGAGCCCATCGGGCACGTTTGAGATGCTCGGAGTTAGATAGCAGGCTTCCTTTAGGTTGAAATGGCGTGATTTCACATCCACATATCTCATAAACAACGGTATTTTACAAATTGAACTTCAACTATTCGAGCTCTGCCAGTATTGCCTCGGTGGTATCAAACAACTCTTGCTGGAGGCGCTCATCCAGTGCATACTTTGATGACTGGGCCAGAACACCCGGCGGCCCCACATAGGCGCCACGGTATCTCGCATTGTCCTCTGCCACTTTCGCACCTGCCGCGGCAAAAACGACAGGCATCGCACCACGGTGCCAGGGCGCATAGAACAGCGGCCCAATGTAGTCCCGCAACAGCCACCCGAGGCAAGGCACAGAGCCCAGGGAATCGTCCGCACTGCTCGTTTTCACGGTCCCTGGATGCACTGCAATACATGTGATGGGGACAGACTCAGCAGAAAGACGCTTTTGAAGTTCCTTCATGTGCAGGACGTTGGCCAGTTTCGAGTTCGCTGCAGCCGCCCAGTGTGAGTGCGCGCACCGGTGATCGTGGTTGAATTTGCCGTACCGTATGTACCGATAGACCCCAAAAACGAGTCTCCGTAGTTCTTATTCAAGGCGTCCTTTGTCGCAAATGTCGACGGTTTCGCAGAGGTGTGCAACATCGAGGTCAACTAGAGAGGATCAGCATCCTAGCACATCAAGAACTGGAGAAATGCACACACATTGACTATCCGAACGTCGGAGTTGGGGCTTTTGGCCGTCTCAATCATGAGTGGAAGGAGACTTTGGGTCAAAGCAAAGGGCCCGATATGACTGGGGGGAGAGATCATTGTCAGTGCGAAGCGACATGGGACCGTGCCACAGCGCACTTGATAGCCATGATGTCTAGAAGCCCGTCGGCGTTTACAAGAAATGGTCCAGGCAATGCCCTAAGCAGATGTATTCAGTTTACACTTTCAGGCAGCGATGAGAGAGACGCGACCAACTTTGCTGCGTTATTGATGAGGATGTCCAGGCGCTCCTCTTTCTTACGGAAGCTTTCTGCGGCATCTCGCACTTTGCGGACGTCCGAAAGGTCAAATTTGAGCCAATGCACACTCCCATCCGAGATCCCTTCAGCCTCGAGTTGTTGTATGGCTGTTTCTGCTCGTTCTTGGTCCCGCGCAGCCATATAAACCTACACCGCGTTCTCAGCGACTCTGGACTTGAAGTTGAGCGAAATGGAAGCGCGCCTTAGCCCCCTTGCGCGCCAGCATCTGGATGGTAGCATAGCCAATGCCAGTGCTACGTGCACTCGTCAGGACACAGGTTCTCACACAGCGCAGATTCTGCATACTTTCCACCAGTCACGATAGCTACTCTGCCGTGCAAGTCAACTAGGTCGAGCTCCGAGATCGAGGGCATGGGAGGTAGAAACTAGGATATAGACCAGTCCCACGATGGGAACCCTTCTCATGTCGTAGCCAGGAAGGCGATGTGATCGGGAGGTTTGATTCATTGGAGCCGGCCATATTTGATACCCAAGCTAAAAACAGTTTTACTGAAGCGACTTGAAAGTCGGTTTCCAAGTCAAGAACGGGGGCCCATGGCCCATGTCTGCGGAGGAAACGGAATTAATCAAACAGAAGAAGAGGGAAAAAATCGGAAAAAAGAGGGAGGATTACCTGATATCTCTTACTTATTGTCTGAATTCGCAGCTTTATCGGCCAGTAAATGAGCTCGGAAATGCGTGAACTCGTCTGAATCCCCAGTCCTGAGGCTGTGCGAGATCTCTGATTGACAAAACGGCAAGTCAGAGCCGGACAACTCGGGCGATTTCCTCCCGGAGGCTAAGGATGATGGCTGTATGAATTCTCATTGGCTGGCAAACGAAATCGCATCGTTTACGGAAAAGCGTCATATTTCCGATCACTTCTGATAACGCCGGTAAGCGCGCTCGCCCGCTTGCGTCTTTCCTCCTCGTCGTTTTCCGGCAATACTCAATCCTACGTGTTGGCCGACACAATTCCATTTTCGTTGCTCTGTATCAGCATACAGGACGACTCTCTGAACTTGCTCCTACCTCTTTCTCTTGTGACTCGACTCGACTTGTGGGAAACTGGGAATGGCTGTAAAATGCGAGTGCGTGTGAGGATGGGACAACATGGACAGAGATTTCGGTTTCTCGGTGCGTTCACCTTACCAATGCGGAACTACTTTCTCGTCTGACACGCCACTCTTGGACGTCAGTGTTTTCCGACGTCGCTACATTGACAGTTCGCGCACGCGACGCGACATTCATCCCCATATTCTTATCGACGTCACTGTGGCCCTCGCGGCTGAATACTGGCTACCATTTGCAGTGGCATGTTGTCACTGTACATGCAGTCTGTATTATGTTGTGGGTGGTTTACAGTACATCGTCATTCTACTTTCGACGTCTTCCCTGCGCCGCCGTGCGCGCCGCAATGATCGCTTCGGGCCCTTGTCGAATGGCCTCCTCGATCACGGCCTCTGGAGTGCGCACCTTTCGACCTGGCGGTACCACAGGAGGATGACTGCACCGGCAGTTCTTCCGATTGCCTTTTCCGGGGCATATCCATCGCCGAGGGCAGAAGTCGTTGGTGCAGACGGCACAACGATCCACACCCGAACCTCCTTCCGGCATTGTTGTTTGTCCCCCGTATGGATGATAGCGGACAGCGGGGAGGGTGGTTTGTTGGATGGGCATAGACGAGGCAGATGTCATCGGATGACTTTCGTGCGCACGTGGGGTTGTGTTTGCGGGTGGAGGCACGGGTGCGGGTGCAGTGGCCGCAGGAGTTGACGGTCCCGGAGATGGGAGATCTGGCTGCACACCACTTTCCTGTATGACAACGAGGGGAGCTGATCGAATGTCGGAGAAGTCGAGCTCTGGATCATACGCGTCGGATTCCGGAACACCCGCAGTCGGGTTGAATGAAGTTTCGCTATAATAGCCTGCAGAACTGTCAGCAAACAGCAAGCCACGCAGTGAAATATCCCATACCTCCGATTGATGTGTCGAGCTCACCGTCCCACAGATCTGCGTCCTCAGTCGGAGAGAAAGTGATGGCTCCGGGCGCGCTCATCGCAGCCGTGTTTTCGAGCATCTCAAGGAAGGGCCGCCGCGCAGCAAAGTTCCCGCCAATGGCGAGTGTCGCAAGTTCGGAAGAACGAGCGATAACATTCTTGTGATGCGCTTCGAGTTGGGATGGGATCTTGTAGTACAAGCGTTGATTTGAGTCAAGGATTGTCGGGGACTGAGCGGCAACAAGGCTATTCCAGAATTTAGCAAATTTCTCGAAATCCACATTCCTGTATCTCTCGTGCACGGGATAAGATCCATCACCCTTGCGGAACGCAAGTGAGTCGATATGAGCCTTGAAAACTGAATATTCCTTTCGTGTATGGACGGGAAGGACGGGTGACAGAGTGAGTTGCCGCAGCTGTAAATAGCGATATTGGTTCGTCGGCTTTGTGGAGAGGTGTGTCAAGATGTTCACGGGAGTGTCGCGATGATGAGGGACTCCCGTAATACGGGGTCGTGGAAGAGTCACCATGTCAAGCTTCTCCGCTAATGTTTGAGAGATCGGAAGGATGCCGATCGTTTCAGTGGTTGCGATCCTGGTCGAGAGAACGCGAGGCAGGGGGAATGACGGCTTGACGCCAACAAGAGCTGCAAGCTCAACGATCTCATCGCGATCCCAAAGCGCGAAATGGCCGCGGTACTTCTTACCGGTGCGGTTATGGAAGCCGACCTTCTCGCAGCTCAGTTCATGAATTAACTTGGCATGGTGCATTGAAACGCACCTTGACATTTCGCCGTAAGATCCAGTTGATCAGAAGGCATTCAGCCAGCTCAGGCGATGCTCGTAACGACCCAAAAATCCGACGAACAGCCATATGGAATCCACCCTCAATCGAGTTCATGCCCCGAACAGTGCGATACAGGTTCAGTCCGTCGCGATCCTTGCCCATGAGATAATAGAGTGGAATCAAGGGAGGATCAGAGAGATATCCCTGCTGTGCGGTACTGCGCAGATTCTTCCACATGTCACGGGCCTCTGCAGTAAAGAACGGACCTGAGCCAGACTTGGTCGAGCAGGTAAGGTCAGCATATGCGTCGAATAGCTTGTCGAGACGGATAACAAGAATCTTGCGAGGAGGGATGATGCGCCGAATGCGCCGATTGAGAATGGAGGCCTTGGCGCGTTTCGCATATTCCCAGTCAATCCCGTATTTCTCCAGAACCGCGCGCACTGCAGCTTCATCTGCTTGATCTCGAATGAAGATGGCTTCGCTGAAGTCATGCGCAAACGCCTTGAAAGCCGAATTCTTCTTTGACAAGAGGCGAAGCAAGCGGTCCATGAAATGCAGGGCGTCATCGAGGACACGGCTGGGAAGATCGGGCTCGTTGCAAGCTTGATTGAGAAAGCGGACACCAGTATTGAAGTTGTTGATCAATTTGGCGGGTGTCATTGACTGCGAGTTGCGGTCAAGGTTCCGTTCTACGCATGGATCAAAGAAACTTGTACCTCATTAATCTCCATTTGTACGGGCTCTTGCGAAGGAATCGAGTTGTATGTGAACTGCCCATATTGACCTAACTTGTCCTCGGCATCTTCGTCATCTGTATCCCACTCCATGACATCGTCGGAGTCTCCAGACGGTGAATTTGCTGGTACATGAGGCACGAACTCCGGATATTCAACAAGAGGATTGGGAGGGGCAGGGATTCCGAGGAGGCTCGTTGGAGGACGGATAGGAACAGGGTCTGATTGCCCACGCGAACGAAGCTGAGAGGTTGTTACTACAGCCTGTTGCCCATGAGCAACAATCCACTCGATTGTCTGCTTATGGAGATTGAGGATGGCGCCTGGAGTTAGAATCTACGTGCGAAAAGGCTGGGATGAGTCAAGAATTGCATCAACGGGAATATGCTCTGACCTTGGTAATGTGAATAAGCGATCGCGAAGCTGTAATGTTGATCTGTTTACTGCTTCCTTGTGAATCCATGGCGGCATTCAAATAGCCTGGATGCTGTCCAACTATGTATCCTTCCGCAACTGGCTTACAGCCGAGAACAAGAGTGACGAGTGTTCCATGACTCGTCACTTGCTCAGGAGTCAGTGGTAGCCCAACTGCGTCTTTTCCGTGAAGCGCAGTGAATATTTGCCACTGGCAGTCAATCATGTCAGAGACGCCAATACCAATTTGCGATGGAGTGAATGAACGCTTCAGCACTGTTCCGGCCAGAGCATGCAGAGATGCATTATGGTCATTTACCACGCCTTTGAGCCTTGCCAGCTTGCCCAAATCCAAGAATGGCATTGTTCGGGACTTGAGCAGGCTCTCGATGTCCACCAGCGAGAAAACTGCAGCGACCTGCTGAAGCGACTGTCGAACACAGTACCCAACTTTGATGATGGAGGGATTGGTGAGGATCGCAAGTAAGGACGGCGGAAACTGAGTGCGGTGATCATAGTCCGATAACTAGAAATAAATGAGCTCAAATCTCACGGCTGAACAAGAGGTAGCATACCTGAAAGATAAGAATGCGGTCATGTGTCCGGAGCTGTACATAATCTATGCGCATCCCATTCTCATGCTCGTTAGCCTGAGCATCAATGCACCTCAGTTACCACCGCCATCACCCAGTTGCACCCCCGCGGGGGTCCTACTGGGTACCCTCAGACGTAGCTCTGAGGGTACCTAACAGGTACCCCCCTGCGGGGCCCGCGGGGGGGATTTGGTCCATTTGGGGGCGGGGGCATATGCGGGGGTCAGCAGGGGGGGGTCTGTACATGTCATGTGATTTATCATTGGGAGCGGGCAGGTGGGCGCGAAAAAAAAAATGAATCACATGACACATCCAATGGGCGGGATGGCGGCTGATGGCGGGGTAAAAAAATCACGTGATGCACCGCATGAAAATTATCAAAAATGGCTAGCAGGGGTTGGCGGGGGTTGGCGGGGGCGCTACTGGCCCCCCGCACACCATGGCGGGCAGTGGGCGCATTATCACGTGACTTTTGGGGCACCTTTTGTGCACCATTCGGCATGATTTCGGAGGTGTTGCTTGATCCATTGCATGCTGTGGCAGACAATGGGCGCATAATCACGTGATTTTCCGCCCAAAAAAATGGAAGCCTTCCCCAAATCATCCTGGTATCATTTCTATCGGTAAATACACTAGTTAAGCATGAATTTGAGCTTAGAAAGCCCAAAATGCACCCTGCACAATGGGACTGGTGATGCACTTGATCCCATCATTTGGCGGGGTCTGCTGCGGGGGGTGCCACGGGGGGTGCTGCGGGGGGTGCTGCGGGGGGTGCCGCAGGGGGTGCCACAAGGGGTGCCGCAGGGGGTGCCACAAGGGGTGCCGCAGGGGGTGCCACAAGGGGTGCCGCAGGGGGTGCCGCTGGGCCCGCTGTGGGGTCAACCACAGGAGCAGGGGTAGGGGTGCATTGCATCATATTTTGATCTATCTATTCTCGCTGTGGTCATAGCATGCAGCATAATTATCCTTCATTTTGCCAGGAGTTTGGAGGCTGTGTCTGGGGTTGGTCTGCAGCTACAGCCATGTGACTCCCTGATGCTTTGGCAGGGGCTGGGATATCAAAACTGTGCAATATTGTCTGCATAATCCAGGCATGTAGGGTTAAAAAGAAAGTGTGATTTGTTCATTTTTTGGCTGGCAGGGTAGGTGGGCTGACATCATGGGCTGCATCGGGTCCACTGTCAACTCATTGATTGTTTTGTCTGCTCATTCTATACACATGCCCATTGGTAAACTGATCATGCTGTAGGCACAGTCTAATCTTACCCTGTGGATAATACCACACGTTAATTACGCACCTAATGTCACACTTCCTGTCTGGGACTCATTGAAGTTCATCTGTTCTGTGTTACTTTACAAGCAGTTTGCTTTAGTTGCAACATGAACAGATGTAATAGAGTGGATTTGACATGCCCTGAATTGATTCCTAGGTGGAATATGAGACAATGGATTCACCAGCAAGTTGCCTCACAATAGTCAGAGATTGGTAATATTTGAATTTCAAATTTCATATACAACACTCTGTGCACTCAGAGCTCGTATATTTGCAAGATAGACTGTAGAGACATAGATGGTTACTTTTACTACCTCTGGGGCTGCACACATCCTTGCCATGACCCACTGCCTGCACCCCTGCTGGCACCCCCGCTGGCACCCCTGTTGGCACCCCCGCTGGCACCCCCGCCGGCACCCCCGCCAGTCTAGCACCCCCCGCCGCACCGGTGCCTTGCCCCTGTGATTTTCTTATATGTAAGATTATGTAAACTGACAGCTCGGAACACGTCAAGTCACTAGCCAATCAGAACCTGTATAAACGTCGTATTTAAGTGTTTACTGCTCTTCTAACACTGTTCCTACAGTTATGCAGCTGAAAACCATCGGAATAAGGTCTCCTTCTGCTATTCTTGTTGAATATGTAGATACTTCATATCATTTGTCCACCTAAAATTCAAAACATGAAAAGAGTTCACCATTGCTCAAGGTTCCTATGTAGACAATGGTTCAACATGGTTCACTTTGAGTATGGCAAAAAATATTTTTTCTACATACAAGCAATTCAATACAGCTGAATGATATACTCTTTGGCAGTGTCTGAAACAAATTCTGAGAGCCCTGGACCCTGGAACTATTCAAAAACTTGAAATGAGTCCGAAAAATAGGGTCTTGATAAACATGAGATATGGGCTGGTTTGAAGAGACATGGGCCACCGGTCATGTTGAATATAGTATTTTACAATGTTTCGGTGCCCTACCTCTCATCACATGGCCTCATTTCCCACTAAAAAGGGTGCATACACACTCAAGCTCATAAAATCAATTGTCACCCAGAAACAAGAGCAGTGAAGTTGTTTCACTGGGATTGGGTAAAGGTTACCTAGAAGTCACTTGGGTTGCAGTACAGAAGCTTTGGAAAGTGATTTTGTAGTTGATCCACATTTGGTAGGCTGGCAGATGCTTGTGCACCCCCACGGCACCCCCCGTGGCACCCCCCGCGGCACCCCCTGTGGTTGACCCCCCCCAACCCCTGCAAGGATTTAATTGACAAATGTCCTGCTCAATCCATTGTAAGAGTCTACAGTATTATTGGATTCAGTAAAGGGCCCAAATGGTGTGTAGACAAGAAGTATGAAATCCGGAAATCAACAATTATGACACCTCCACGGAATATGCTGCAAATGGAGAGAAAAAATTGAGTGCAGACAGACTACCTGAAGCAAACAGACAGAGAAAAGAAACATTAGCCATTTCTTGTTGATGATGTTGGCTGTCCCTGGAGCATGTACTTGGGAGATTTGCCTAACAAATCAAGTTGCACATTTTTCAAATTTTTAGTTTGACCTGACAGCTTGAGCAGACCATGCTAAAATGAACCAAGTCATATATATCAGTGCCCCAAGCCAAGCCAAAAGATTTAGGTAATATTGCACAGTTTTGATATCCCAGCCCCTGCCAAAGCATCAGGGAGTCACATGGCTGTAGCTGCAGACCAACCCCAGACACAGCCTCCAAACTCCTGGCAAAATGAAGGATAATTATGCTGCATGCTATGACCACAGCGAGAATAGATAGATCAAAATATGATGCAATGCACCCCTACCCCTGCTCCTGTGGTTGACCCCACAGCGGGCCCAGCGGCACCCCCTGCGGCACCCCTTGTGGCACCCCCTGCGGCACCCCCCGCAGCACCCCCCGTGGCACCCCCCACAGCAGACCCCGCCAAATGATGGGATCAAGTGCATCACCAGTCCCATTGTGCAGGGTGCATTTTGGGCTTTCTAAGCTCAAATTCATGCTTAACTAGTGTATTTACCGATAGAAATGATACCAGGATGATTTGGGGAAGGCTTCCATTTTTTGGGCGGAAAATCACGTGATTATGCGCCCATTGTCTGCCACAGCATGCAATGGATCAAGCAACACCTCCGAAATCATGCCGAATGGTGCACAAAAGGTGCCCCAAAAGTCACGTGATAATGCGCCCACTGCCCGCCATGGTGTGCGGGGGGCCAGTAGCGCCCCCGCCAACCCCCGCCAACCCCTGCTAGCCATTTTTGATAATTTTCATGCGGTGCATCACGTGATTTTTTTACCCCGCCATCAGCCGCCATCCCGCCCATTGGATGTGTCATGTGATTCATTTTTTTTTTCGCGCCCACCTGCCCGCTCCCAATGATAAATCACATGACATGTACAGACCCCCCCCTGCTGACCCCCGCATATGCCCCCGCCCCCAAATGGACCAAATCCCCCCCGCGGGCCCCGCAGGGGGGTACCTGTTAGGTACCCTCAGAGCTACGTCTGAGGGTACCCAGTAGGACCCCCGCGGGGGTGCAACTGGGTGATGGCGGTGGTAACTGAGGTGCATCAATGATAATTGCCCACGAGGAGGATGTTGTTGAAGGGGCAATCAGACTTTGTAGAACCTCGTTGGCCATTGATTCAATAATAATGGGATCTGACAGAGTCTGGGGTAGGATGGTGAGTGTTCGTTCAAACGCGGGGAGGTCGGTCCAATCTGTGACTGCCGAAACATTGTCGCGAAGAGCGGAGTTGATCTTCTCGTGGAATGAGCGTTCTACTGTGATGAATTGTCAGAGATGAGCTGCAAGTTCGCAATGAATTAATGCACATTGAGGCGAGTCTGTGTACAAAATCTGTGTCACCGCATTCTGGCAATCTGTCAGGCCTTGGAGAAGACGAGAATACATCTCATCAACAAAGGATAAAGACTTTGTCAATGTCAGGGAATGTGCTTGAACTTCCTCGAACTCGTTCAAGATGGTATAAGCCGCTGTGAAGATACGAGAGCCCTTGACACCACCCATATGCTTCAAAAACTATAAAAGAACTGTAAGATGAAAGAAACATGCAAAACACTGCATATCCTCACATCAAAAGTGTGATCCACCTTCGCAATGGTGAGCGGAAGACTTGCAATAAAGCGGTCGATGAAGATCCGATGTGCAGAGATGTAGTCGGTGAACAGCGCCTTCAGATACCCAACTGATGGCAATGAGCCAGCGTAGCGGGTGCAATCATCAAAGCCAGAGAAGGGCTCCATCGGCTTAACGCCATAGAAGTTCGCCGCGCTGAGATAAATCATCTCATTGTCAGCATGGGCACGGTGTTGGATGTCCGAAAAGAGGTCCAAAAAAGGAGCAGGCCCGAATCGAGCAGCAAATGTATTGGACATCTGGCGCATGACAAGCTTCAAGATTGCCCCGCGCGCCGAGAGATAGGCTGGACTCGATCAGCTTTAGAGATGGTCAGACAGAGAGATAAACATACCTGGAAACGCAGCTTGAACAAATCTGGGAAGTTGGCCAATGATATGTGGGTCAGTGCCTTGAATATTCTGACCGCATCCTGGACTTCCGTTCCGCCGTTTATCACAGGTGTACCAATTCGTGAGAATGAAGAAATCATTTGGCATGGAGCGGACACGTCGAGCAATAGGATTGTCATTGTAGCCTATGTGTAGTCGTCAGTGAAGCTCAAAATCACAGAATGACTAGAGCTTTTGGTACCGTTTGAGGATAAGTATCCACCACATTTACACAAAAATCTGTCAGGATGACCAGGCAGATACGACGGAAGCCAAAGAAAAGTTTCGCAGAGATACAATGGGCTGGGATCAAGCCCAGTGGCAAGGCCGAGTGTTGCGCTGCGCTGCATGGCAAAGATGGGATGCACGGGGCGGTCAAATAATTGCCCTCTTTTGTAACACAGAGGCATGCCATGAACACGAATCTCATCCACAATTCTCTTCCGAAGTCCGTAATGGTGCTGGTCGTGAATTGATCCATTCGCAGCCTCGGAATCCCTCGTCTCCGCCTCTAACACCGCGTCACTATCCATCTCCCCGTCCCTCTCAAAAATCTCGTCGACCATGGACTCTTGGGAATCCTGCTCCCGGCGGGCAAGAATATCGGCATGTTCGTCATTGCCTTCGATGAATTCGAGACCCTCTTGTAACGAACGAAGGTCGGAGTCGGTGAGCATGGGAGCTGAGTAGAAATCCAGCCAGAGAAGAATTAATGAAAAATGAGACACACCTTTGTTGCCATTCTCAGTTCGAATCGCCGCCGCCGCACCGGCGGCCACACGAACACCAGACCAGAAGGACGCCTGCGGATCTTGAACGGGACCACGGGATGTCGAAGTGGATGGTGTAGTAAACGGCGAGTGAGTTCCGAGTGGAACGGGCCGTGAGATATCTCGTGGTTGGAAGAATGCTGGGATCGCAGCCCCAGGCGCCAATTGATGCGCTTGCGAAGTCTGTGTTTTCTTTCGGGGCTTGTGTTGACCTTGGCCGGGCTGTGGCTCTTTGCGTGGCCGTCCTGCGCCGGGTCTAGGACCGCCGCGGCCAGGCTTCTTCTTCTGAGATTCGGGTGGTTTGGGGGAGGGCATGGATCAATGTATTGAACGGTGGCAGAATCTGCCAAACGGTGTGGGTACAAGAAAGTGTGACACGGTACATGCGATTCTATGACGTACAGGCGTCGGCGACTCGAGGAACAGTCGGAACAGTCGGATATGATCGGATATCCGCACCGCCTCTGTCCCCTGCCCAAATTGGACACTCGGGCTCCACTGATATAATCAATGAGCCAGAACGGGCACTCGAAGTGTTGATGTGAGCCATCATGCGATCATTTCGAAGACTTTCCACGTGACCCACCTGTCGAGAGGTCTCTTGCTAGCGGTCACGCTGAATCTGCCCAATCGCAGGAAAAAAGGGCAGCCCACAGTTTCCATCTGATGAGCAGTAGATCCAGAGTCATTGCGCCAACCGGATATTGTAGATACAAGCCCTCTCCTTTTCTCAGCCTCCGGTACAATCTCTGTTTTCTTCACACTGGCTTAGTAGCCTAACCCCAGAACCTCTAGATACTCTACTTACACAACTAGACGTCTACACGGAAGAGAAGTTTGAAGACGAGCAGGATATGCGTGAGCGCGCGCGCGACCTGATGAGTCGATCGCAAGAAAGGGGGTCATCGGAGTCGACGTTGGAGAACCTTCGGACTCCGCGTCGAGTTCTATCGCTGATCGAGAGCTCGATTCTCTTAGGACTCAGTATGAGGGACTGAGCAATGAGGTGATCACACTTCTTTCTGGGGAAAGTTCACGGCTGACGAGGTTCCACAGCGTACGGAGCTGAGGAACAAGCTAAAATAGGTAAACCGCAGAGATGAACACGCTGAACGCTGAAGAGTCTACCGCTGAATCCGCAAGTTCTCAACACCAATTCCAGCAGTGAGAGCGGGCGTGTCCCGATCCCCTGTCATGGCCGTGGGCTTCGCACGGGCGACATGGGGGAGCTAGTGGCCTTGCTCGAGCCGCTGTTCATCGATGTGGTCGAGAGCGTGCGGAGGCTTGGTGTGTTTTCTAGACGGGTGGGTATTCGTGCGGAGCACCCGGCTGCTTTTGCGCCTCGGAACAAGCCATGACGGGCTATGTATGTGCATTGGTTAGATTCCTCCCCCGGATGGTTCCGACTGACTCATTGCAGTTTGATGTCGAGTCCGATGAGCATCGACCGAAGATCCTCTTAGACGCGGCTGTGTTACACGGGCCTAGCATCATCTCCTGGTGGCTCCAACCGACTCTTCCGTCCCCAGAACCGGGCATTCTGGGTGGTTATCACTGGTTCTCGGTCGAAGATTCCGACTCAGACTGGCCTCTGGTCATCGTGCAGCTCACGTCCGCACTCACAATGTCTGGCTTGCCGTCATGGTGTTCTCCTGCCTATCCCTTCTGGGCGGGGCGACTAACGCAGCTCTCGATGAGGCGGACATGCCTGAGGAAGCGTCCCGAGTGGACAAATGACCGTCAGCACCGTCCTATCGCGCCACCACAGACGGCGTCTATGGTCGTGATATGAGATTTTCTCGGATGTAGATAGTAGGTCCAATATCCGCTACTAGCATCTAGGGTCAATTGATGATGTCGTGCCAACCAGCAGACTTCACGATTGAAAGCTGAGCAGGACACACCATCCTCGAGCGCTGGGTCTGATGCAAAAGTGTGCGGGCAGGCAAAACCGGAATGCGAGAGAAGCTGACAATCGCTGTGAGATCTGGAGATTCGTGTTCGAGTCTCGGCCCGTTATTACCTACCTAGGAGCCTCAAGTGGTCGGCCGGGCGAACACATCTGAAAACATGCAACAATGTTGAGCCCAACTCGAAAACCACACCACTCAACTCAGGATTATCTTGCCCAAGCCGTTCCGGCAGTTGCACAAGTCCTAGCTGTAAGCCTCGACATCGAAACATCCTGCTTTGTGTGCTTAATGGCGAGCGTCCAGGCCGATGCGTCAGACAAAGCCCATGCTCGAGAATAAGATTACAAATGTGGGTCCCATGATTGAGGTGTAGGAGTCCTAGGAGCTGATCGGGCGATTCGATACCATCAGTGAAACATTGTCAAGTGTTATCGACGTTGGTTGCTTTCGACGTTCTACTCTGGGCTAGTTGAGCGTCTATACTTGGACTCCTGGTCTGCACTCGCTGGAACAACACTCCTGAACTGACGAGATAGACTACGGGATCTTTCCATGCGCACCCGTGCAACTGTCCGTTTGTGGAATGCTATCATCGAGCAATAGCTACGATCCGACCACCACAGGGTCTATTACGACTTGCAAATCAGGACACAGCTTTACACGCTTCCAGTCTTCACGCGCCAGTCTGCAGCATCCGGAACTGCTCGGATAGAAAGCTCTCGACGATCGAACTGAGACAAGGGAACAGATGTATGCGCGTCTACTGAGACTCCCGTCTCTACCCCTCGCTCTTCCTACCATTGCTGCGCACAATCCATCGTTCTCTTCACAATGCCACCATCCACCCCAATCCGTCCGCGCTCTCTGCCTTCTGCGCAACTGCCTGATCTGACGGGGACAACGGTCGAGAATGGCAGGCTCCAGCTTCTCGCGCTCCTCGGCACCGGCGGCTTCGCCAAGGTTTACAAAGCTTTCGACACGCTCTCTTCAGACTATCATGCAGTCAAGTGTCTGGCCCGCCGCGAGCCGGGCTCGCGGGGCGACATCAACCTTCGACACGAGATCCGGAACCACACGCAAGTCTCACATCTGCCCGGTGTCGTTACGCTCCACCGGTCATTTTTCGAAGGCGCGTACATCTTCATTGTGCTTGAGCTATGTAATATGGATTTGCACCGGCTCGTCATCGACCAACAGCGGTGCGCTGGGCGTCCGGACGTCGCGAAGCGGATCTTCCTAGAGATCGTGGATGCGCTGGATGCGTGCCATGCGGCGGGCGTGTCTCACCGGGACCTGAAGCCGGGGAACATCTTGTGCGATGCGGATGGGCGCAACATTCGACTGGCCGACTTTGGCGTAGCAACCCGCGCAGCAGAGTCGACGCAATTTGGCGTGGGCACACCTGTGTTTGCGAGTCCTGGCGCGTCACACTTCTCTCATGTCTCTCCAAAGCACTGTGTTGACAGGTCCCGCAGAGAGTCTGGACCGGGACCGAGAGAGTTACTCGACGCGCGGCGCCGATAGCTGGGCTCTGGGTATCATCTTCATCGCATTGCTGACGAGCAGTCTGCCGTGGAGAGTCCCAGTCGACAGCGACCGTCGATTTGCCGCGTACCGATCGGACCCCGCCAATCTCCTCCGCCGCATGCTGGACCTCACTCCCGCATTCAGTTGCCTGCTCAACCGCATCTTCCATCCCAACCAAAGACGCAGACCGGGCCTCCAGCAGTTGCGCACGGATGTTCTGTCGATGGATCGGTTCCTCGTTGGGTCGTCATCTAGACAACGCGTGTCCAAATCGCACCCCCGTTCTCCACATTCGTCACCTAGGATTGGCGCGATCGTATTCAAGCCGAATCCCATGTACGCCGTGGCTGCTGTAGTCCCCCCGCCGGTGAACAGCGAGCAGCCTTCCCCTCTGGGAAAGTCCAATCCTATGTCCGACTCGACGTCCGAGACCTCAGTCAGCTCCCGTCGCTCTTCAAAGTCGCTGCTTGCGTTGACGAGAAGGCTGAAGAAGCTGGTTCTCCCGTCGGGTTTCGGCAAGTCTGAAGACTTCCGCTCTGCTTAGCATCATGTTTTGTTTCATTTCATTGTCTCAGTACAATGCATGCTGTCGAATACCACTTTCCTATGATATATTCTGCAGTCGATGGTTACTGGGTCAGAACAGACATGAAACGAAGGCGGCATACGTGCCACAAGTGGACAGGGACTTTAGTATGATGTCTCTCCGATAGATCGAATTCGTATCGCGGACCTGATGCAGTGCGCCGTGAAGCCTGCGATTGTAGTCAGTCGCTAGCTCTACATGTAGCTACATTCAGATCATACTCCATCACATCGGCGCATCGTCCTGAATGGACCTGGAGTCGTGGAAGCCGTAGAATACGTCGCTAAGCAGACGGCAGGTCCAAGGCCTGGACACGTCGTCGAGAAGTTGCAGCGGCCATTAATGAGCCGATCCAGAGGTGAGCCTTAACAAGTAACAATACGGAAGGTCAGGCCGCTCACCAAATCGGATGTTTGACTCCCTCCACAATTTTGAGTACGTGGCTCAGCTTAGGGCATCATCACATCGACACAGAATCGCTCTTGCACACAATTGCGCGCAAAGAACTGAGGCCGCTGCGAGGAATGTCCCATTCACACTTTGACCGGTTATCTGCCGGTGCCTCGTTTGGCATAAGAAGAGAGCCGGGCGCGCCGTATCGTCGATTGAAGCGCAATACGACTGCTGCCACGGAAGTGCCAGGGACAGGCCTAGGCGCGTGAAGACACTTGATACTCCGTTTTCACTGTCGTGGGATTGAGTAGTGAGTCCACGAGGGTCTCGAGATCATAGTTTCCAATTCATTGGGACTCGGGAGTGCAGGTCGATAGACATGTGCAAGCAGACCTTATGTTGAACTGATTAACCGGCCAAACTAAGACTCACACCATAGCACAGCTTGACTTTTTACTGTCGACGACCACCAGGCCGTACTGCTCGTCACGCACAGGACTTCACAAGTCCTCCTTCGCCGAGGGCGACTGCCTGAGCATGTCCTACATCTTCACCTGCTCTGTGTCGGTGTGTTTCCAGAGGCTGCGTCCCCACGGCAACGCGTCATCGGTGTCTCAGAGACCTCTCTCTTGAGGGAGCGAGGGACGCGGCGCGCTCGGCTGCGGACCAGTCTCTGGATATCGCGAGATCCTCTCCTATGCTGCTTGCATGCTGCCGTGTGTTTGTTCTCAGCGCTGGACTTGTCGCTTCGGCGAACGGTTGAGGATGGTTCGGAGTTGCTCCCAACTGTTACTCTCCCGGCATCTTTTGCCCAAAGAATCCTCGCGCAAAAGCTTTGCTATGATATTGCCCCGGGGCGTCCCAGAGATTTGACTTATCGGTGTTTCCCGGGCACACACGAGTCTTGTCTGGCTGGGACATGATGCTCCACTCGCAAAGAGTATCGAAGGTTGTTCTGCCGAGGTGGGTAAGCGTCGCGAGGCAGACTACGGGTCTCGCTGTGCGCTACTGGCTTGGGATAGGCTTCTCTCGCCAAGTGCGGCGTGCAATGATTCGTTCATTGCATATCCACCGCTCGGGCCTCTGTGGGTGTTTGATGCAATTTTTGGAACCTCTCCATGTGCTGCTCTTCGGAGTGGCACGCCTCTCGCTATTCGCTGGGCTCGTTAATGAGTCTCCACTTCCATCCTTGTAATCGATGTTGCTTATGCCCTATCCCTACGTTCAGATGCTGTGTCGCTGTCCTCGTTCCCTTCTAGCTCAGATTCATAAATCGCTACTCATGTGTCATCTCATTATCGTATCTATTATCATGTCTCTGTATGTAAACCTAAAAGCTGATGGTCTTTTGCTGATCAACGCCGAAGCTAGTTGCGTCCAGCTTCATGTCGGTGACTGCTTGCACTGCGACCAGGGTAGCATCCAAGAACACGACCAATCAGTCAATCCTTAGATAGGTATCGAAAAAAGAGTTGCATTGGTTCCTTGTGGAATGCAGAGGTGGAAGAGAGGGTGAGCTGTCTCGCACTGCCACCACCTTCCTCATTAACTTTCACGACTCGGATCGCTGCCCTACGAGTCGCACAGCACCACCTTCACCCGGTCAGACATAAATTTTACACTTCGGGTCAGAGCCCTCTTGAATTGGGCGCACCATCCTGCAGATTCGCATCCTTCCGTTCTCAGTACCTCTCACTGGGGCTCACACGGACTGCACCGTACGGCTGGCATGCTTTATCGACCAGCAGAATATGACTTGAGAGCAACTGCAGGTATCCGCTCGTGCAGGCGTATCTGATCCGAAAATGGTCCAACCGAGCGTGCCGGGTGATAATAGCTGTCTGCATGATATCTTTTTTGCGTGCAAGGGCTCACCACTGACTCTCGGATTTTGCTCTCGGATTTTGCTACGAGCTGGTTTTCAAACGCTGCTCGCGACCATCGTACATGTGTCAGCATGTTTGACTTCGAGGTGGGCAGTTAGACTCCGGCTCACAGCTGTGCCCGGGCCAGCCACACGGTGATCGTTCGCATATGTATAATCTGTGATGCAGAGCTCACTAAGCGATGGATCATCTGGTCCCCATTATCTAAAAGCCAAGTACTAAAAGCCGTGCGACGCGCAACTTCTTGCTCGATGAAATGATGATCGGCTCACTCGGGCACCTCTGGTGTGCTCAGACGCTGCTCGTGAATGCTCATTCTCGCTGGACAGATTTGAGCACGTCCATTACATCGCCGTCGTCCATCCTGTAAGTGACACATCAAGCATGAATCACACCGACGAAAGGGCATATAAGGGCATGGCACAATCTCCATGTACATGCCTTCCTTCACTCTTCCCAGCGGAGTCGTCTTCAGCTATACCGACAGCGGGATTCCCACGTCCAACGAGACAAACTATGTTACGCTGGTGCTCATTCATGGAATCATGTTCAACAACGGTGAGTGTCCTTCCGTTTGTCGGGACGACACCTAGAGTGTGAACTGCCCCAGGGACCTTCCAGTCCTTGGCAGCACTCGGGCCCTCCAATGGCGTCCGCGTCATCGCCCCGAACCGTCGAGATTACGATGGGTCAACTCCGTTCCCGGACACGTCAGAGTTGCTCGTGAACGGAAGCGAAGCGGAGAAAGAGGCATTCATAGCGGAGATGGGACGCGACTTCGCGCTGCTGATCGCGGGGCTTGTCGAATCGCTTTCTCTTCCGGGTGGAGTGGCTGTGGCTGGTTGGTCGCTGGGATCTCTGGTCCTCATGGCCGTCGTCGCGTCGATGGAAAGCTTACCTGAAGATACGCGCCGGACGCTCAGTAGCTCTGTGCGAAGCGTCATCGTCTATCGTGAGTTTCACTTCTCCCATTCCGACAACACTGATGGTCTCTCGTCTGCAGAGCCCCCCACCGTCGTGTTTGGTATCCCGAACCCGGAAGGGATGTACGTCCTACCGGCGGATTCCACCCTCTCTCAGACCGAGACGGGACCGTTCTTAGCGCGTTGGCTGTCGAGCTTCTTCATGCATGGTGACCTCTCGACCCGCGATCTGCGAAATCTGACCTACTCTCGCACTGACCCGAATCGGCCGCCCACCATCGAGACTATCCCAATGGGCGGCATACTAGACTTGACGGCGGGTGCCAAGGCCGACGCGGTGATCGTCTCTCCGAGTTTCGCCGCTGCCATGGGGAAATTGACTGACAAAGCGCTGTTTGACACATACGTGCGCGGTCAGCTATGGAAAGACAGCAAGTTCTATCTCGTGACTAGCTCCATGGATAGCTGGAACTCTATCTACGCCGGGTGGAAGATTGAGGAGCGGAGTTTCGCGGAGGCGAAGCCTGAGTGCGAGATCGCCTTTGAGTTGGTGGAAGACGCCAATCACTTCGTACGTTACGGTTCCTTTCGAGATGGCCCTTCATGTTGATCGATCGTGCTCGCAGTTCGTAATGGAAGAGCCGCAGAAGGCACTGGACTGTTTCAAGCAGTGGTTTGGCCGTTAGCTTAACTTCATTCTGTCCGATTGTGGAGAAAACATCATCCCCCGAGCTCCAGTCATGAGAGCGATACTGCGCAGCCTCCTCTAATGCAATTGCTGCTCTGATGCAATAACTTTACTGCAGCGTTGTTATTGATAGAACTACTTGATATCGCTCGTTCTTTATCTCAGCATCCACTACAATCTTTGTCTTCGCATATGTACTACTCTCTGGCCTAGTTCCTGTGTCACGCTGACATGGCAGGGACTCCGCATTTGGGGCAGCTCTCTACATGGCATCTGGCGCGTCAAAAGACAAGTATGAATGGTGCGAAAGCTGATGCGCACCGGCAAGCCCTTGCGGCTGTCGAGGAACATTCACAATCGCAGCCTGGGCACCTAGACCCAATGTGGCAATGGCCAGGACGAGGAGAAGGTTGTAGATGAACTGCATGGTGCGGCGTGGGTCAGTTGGACAGTGCAGGCTGGATGATCGAGAGAGGCTCTTTATATCGCAAAGACACAGCAAACCCATCATTCCAGCTGCTCCGCTGCAGAATATCACCGGCGTTTCCACAGCTTGTGTTTCAATTAACAACACAGCACGGCTCCACGGGCAATCACGTCCAGTTGGGCGCTCATCCAAATCACTCTAACGCGCATGCCTGCCCTCGGAAAGTATCAGATCCATCCGCACTTCCTAGACTGCATCCAAAGGGATGATGAGCCACAGGGACCATCCATACGGTCAAGTCAATCTCTATCTTGTCCTCGGCCATGAAGATGCGAATACCCACAGAGATTACAGGACTGGAGCAGCCACAACGATGATGAGAGACCGAACTGGATGAGTCGGTTAGATGTCTTTCGGTAGACCGGCGCAGTCTGCATAGGCAAAAAGAACCTTTGTTGGAATCTGCAAAGGATCTCGATGTCTCAGATGGTATGATAGAGGTGCCATAAGCAGCGCTGGACCTGCAATCCATTATAACGTCTGATTACAGTAATGATATACAGGCCATGCTCTACGAACAGTCAGCATCAGTTCGACAACTAAATCCACAGCGATCAGAACATGAGCTGGAATCGAGTCCAGCAGCCGGACGTCGATCAAGCAACTTCCCGAGCACGACAAGCGTATTCGAAAGCGTCATATGGCCCCGGCGGAGATCATCACCACACCCACGATCAAACGAGACGCACCTTATGCTAGACCTTCCCCTCATCGTCCGTCAGCTCCTCCCCGCGCCGCACACCATGGTGGCCGTCGTATCCTTCTCGGCGGGCCCAGGACCGGCCATCGGTGTAGGGCATGATTCGGAATGGTATGAACAACGTATAGTAGGGGCTGATCGCGTTCAGCATGATGCTGCGTCGCAGGATCAGACGACACGCACTATCCATTCTCTCCGACATTGAAGAACACCTGGAGGTTTCGACGCTTGCCCAGGTCGTAGGAGTTGACGAAGGTCTGGATGCGGATGAGATGAAGCTAGTGCAGTGCGACTCTGGCTCACCTCATCTCGCGATTTGGCGACCTTGCGGTATACTTCGTGATCCTGGGCCTCGACAGTCGTCTCTCCATGCGCGACGGTCCAGAGATGATAGCTGCACATGATTCCGACCGCAAGACACATCACCAGTGCGAGAATGTACTCGAGGATGAACATGACCTGCGGCACAAGATACGGCCAATCGATCTATCAAGCACGATTAGATCCAGCGGCCGAGGTGCTTCGGAAGGAGAAAAGGAACCTCGTAGGTGTAGGATGCTGAGACTCCGAGCGCGAGCATGACATGCGGAAGGCCAGTGATGCAGAATGCCGCGCAGGCGATGATGAGGTAAGCCATGAACATCACGAAATGGCGCTCATTGTGTAGGCCGACGCATTGATTTATCCCTGTGGATACAGTGTCAGAGGAAGCGTTGCTTTGCGACGGAGAGAGCCCGCACACTGGTTCACCGCATCAGCACGCTCACCAAACGCGACATACTAGGAACGACGCACTGGACAATGATGGTCATACTTGAGAACGCAACGGTTACATATCCGGCAATGGTGTGCTCTCTTCGGGATGGTCAGCGGGAAGCGGAGGAACGAGATTCGCAAAAGCATACCTCGGGCCTGACCTGACCACACTTCCGACATTTCGTCGTTGCGGCCGGCGTGACATTGAGGTCAGCCGACCAGCGGATTGAAGGTTGCCTCTTCGACGCCCAAAGTATCCCGTGTAGAGAGTCTGGGGGCGGGTCGTCCACGAACCCCGGAGAAACGGTCACCACGTAGTAGTAGTGCAGCACGAGGTTGAGGGTGATTAATATGCACACGGGAGCCGTAAGGAGCGGCCAGTTGAGGTCCGGGAGTATGATGTGGTCTTGAACAGTCAGCTAAGACTTCGGTGAGATGTAACTTAATTGCGCTCACAGAAACAGATAATCCCTGCACCGATGAGAACGACCGCGAATGTCACGAAGAAAGGCCCTGCGGCGCCTGTGAGTCGGTCTCCCAGCCTCTCTAGGGCTTTGAAGCACCGGAATACGGCGCGAGAACAAATCATAACGGGCTGAAAGCAGAAGCAACTGAAGACGGCGTCATAGCCAGTGGGGAAATCTGTGTGTGACGGTTGTGACCGAGGAATGCGATATGATGACGAATGAGCACGAAACGTGCGATATGCTCCCGGTTCAGACGTGGTATGTATATACTTATTATCCCTATTATGAACGCCAGGTATACGACTACATAGGTAAAGAAAAACTATACAGCTCGCTGTGCTCTAGTGCGAGTGGAGGCTACAATACTTTTTAGATGACAGACGGGGCACTAAGCCGCACGCTGAGAGCGAGCCCGAATCGAGCGGCCAAACTTGTAGAACAGGAACGGAATGGGGACCATGGCGAGCGAGACGAAGGCAAGCAACGACGCAGCCCATCCGTTGCCCAGGCCGTGGAACATCTGCACCATGAACAGAGGCATGGCCGCACCAGCACCGGAACGAATGACCGTCTTGGCAGCCAGAGCGGAGGCCACGTAGCCGGGGAATGCATCGATCAGGTATGCATTGGCAGACGAGTAGATCACGACCACTGAATGTTGATCAGTCAAGGCGAAAGAGCAGTGAGGGAAAAGAACGTACTGCCGAATCCGAAGGGGATGCCAGCACTGGCAGGTCCGACCCAGTTGCCACCACCCGGCATCACATACGGGGGACTCGTCCATCCGAAAATGAAGAGAGCTGCAGAGAGCAATCAGTTGAAAGATTTTCAAGTGCATCGAATGAGGGGCTTACAGATGGGAACGAAAGGTGCAGCAAGCATCATTCCAACCAAACGATCTTCAGGATCAGCACGGCCGCCCTTCGCCATAGCACGCTGGAGATAGTTCTTCTCCAGCTGAGTCGTCGCAATTAGAGCCAACGCGACTCCAATCAACACGGAGCAGAACGTGAGACCGACAAGACCATCACTGAACGAGTAACCTTCGCCGAAGACGACGGGGAAACTGAAGAAAAACGCATAGAGAAGGCCGTAGATGAGAGCAATGTACAGCGACATCAATAGCAGGATGGGCTCTGTGACGATCATTTCTGTTGCGAAGTGAGCATATAGATTAGCGCGAGAGCGCGGAGAACACTAACGGAAAGGCCGGATGAGGGTGTCGATAAGCATATGGGCAAAAGATTTCTTGAACAACTCCTGCTCAGTGACGATGTCGTCCCGACCAGTCTCGGCACGGTAGGCGGCAGCACGTTTGCGCAACAGCACAGGCGCGAAGGTTTCCGGAATAGTGGCACAGAAGAGCAGACTATGAGACCGATGAGCACCGAAAGCGCTGGCAGACAGAAGGATACGCACACGACACCGGCAAAGATCATGTTGACCCACATGATCCAACGCCACCCAATGCTCTGACCGACGAATCCACCGACGATGGGCCCGAGGACAGGTCCGCCATACGGTGCAGCAGCGAAGAATGCGATGGCCAGCCCACGCTCGTTGTTGTCCCAGATGTCAGAGATCGTGCCACCGGCGAGAGTGAGCGGTGCAGATGCGAAAAAGCCGCACAAAAATCGACAGATGAGCAGCGTCTGAATGTTTGTCGCTAGGGCACATGGGATGTTGAAGACTGCGGGGTCTTTGTGAGCGTACTTGCATAGATGATCGATGAGGTAGGATACGCACCGACGTAGAAGACGGAAGGTATCAACCAGAGAGGTCTCCGCCCGTAAAGTTCACTCAGCGGCGACCATGCGAGAGGACCAAGACTGTTCATTCTAATAAGCGTTGACTTAAGAGAAGCAGACAATAGACGTACCCAAATCCGACGACCATTAGAGAGACTGATAGGGCAGCGACGACTTCGCCGATGTGCAGCTCAGATTGGATGTCCTTGAAGTCGCCCGTGATGACAGCACTACCGAAGGCAACGGAGACGACGGCGATTGTAACAACACCGGTGATATCTGGAAACCAGGCATAAGCACTCGATACCACGAGTCGAAAGAAAGACTTACACCACCGCCACAGGGTAGACCAATTTCGGGGGTCTTCCAGGTCGTTCACTTTCCAGGTCACGAACTCGTATTTTTCAAGCGCCTTCGCCTTTTCGGGGTCAGAGAGCGCATGGGGCTGCACGGCCGTGTGTGCGGGTATGGGCCGCAGAGCCTCCGTTGCAGACATCAGACCGCTCTTTGTCGCGGCGCGGTACTCGTTCGTCACACCGGCCTCTGCGGTGTCGGTCGTGTCGAACGGGAAGCTGAGATCGGGGGCGCCGGGGGCGTCATCGTGAGACTTGACACGGACGGGTTGCAGATCCGCCAGGTGAGGGGACATCGTGAGCGAGGAGGAACTGGAGGCAGCCATGGTGTGAGGGGGAGATGTGTGATGAGGTAGGTGCCGTGGCCAGCTCGCTTTTTTATATTCTTGGCCGAGGAGCGCGCCGGGTCGCGTCGCGGCGGGGTCAACATTTCGCGGACGGCGCGAACGGCTGGATGCGGGGCGGGAGGAAAAGAAAGATCAAGCGGCTGGAAGGTATGACGTAATTGATCGGAAAATCTCGAATTCGCTTTGCACCCTCACGGTCCGTCCCGATCTCTGTCGTCTGAATGCAGCGCAAACTTGTAGGAGTTCAGCCCATTTCTCATAGAACGTGATAAAAATCTGAGCGGGTTCAGCGGAACGCGACCACGACCATCGTAGACGTTCAATTTGAAAGTGCAATCGTCGAGCGCAGTGTCACGTTCCATGACACAAGCGGTGCTATCAGTCACGTGAACCTTTTGCCCTCACAATCAATGACATTGTCATGTGGTGATTTTCCGAATGCCTCCGCCCACGGCGCGCACCTGACGGAGTGATCCTACTTCATCTGAGCCTCCGATTTCACTCGAAATGTGAGCGCCACTATCTCTTTATCCTCAGTCTCATCGGCAACTCAAAGGGGAAAGGCTCAAGGGCATCCGCGGACCGTCGGCGGACCGTCGACGTACCGCTTTCGCACCTGTGCTGGTCTCGTTCTGACCGCCATCATCTCGGCCTCCCTGGCTCTGCTCGCGCAGCACCACCGTAGTGCAACAGTGCCACCCCGATGTTCAGCTCCTCTCCCCAACCTCTTTGATCGGACTCCGCTTAACGCTGGCTTTCCGGGAGTGTCGCTCGCGCTGAAGAACGTAGATCGGCTGGTGGAGGCACAATATGCTCGGGGTGGGATCGACGGACTGATCGTGGCGATAGTCACTCGGGACGGAGCGATATATGAGCGCGCGATTGGCCCTCTCAAAGCGAATGAGACGGATGTGGGAAAACGGGGACACGTTGACAGACACAGCATCTTCCGTTTGGCGTCTGGCTCCAAGCTTTTCGCAGCGTTAGAGACATGGGTGTTACGAGAAAGGGGTGCTCTCAACCTGTATGTATAGGACCTCGTCCAGGCTTCACTGGCTTGATCCATCGAGTTTAGGGACGACCCGGTACACAAGTTCTTTCCGGACTTTACCTATCTGGCAGATGGGTGGGGCGGGACCAAGGACGGTCGGATGGCTTCAGGCCCGATAACTGTCCGGCAGCTTGCAAGCCACATGTCGGGTCTCACGCGCGAGTTTCCCCGTGGCGACATGCTCCATTGGCCACACTCTCTGGAAGGCACGGGTCCACCACCCGACAACGGCCGCGGGTTCCCAACCACGGAGGAGACGATCGAGGGGCTCAAGATACTGCCGCTCAATGTCCCGACCTACCACTATCCCGTGTACTCGAACGTCGCAATGGGGCTGCTGGGACAGGTCAACGTCGCAGCTAATAAGGCCTTCGAAGCCGACCGCCACGACACTCCGAAGTCTTGGCCGGAACTTGCCCAACGAGATCTGTTCGACCCGCTCGGCCTCAACGGCAGCTCGTTCCTCGTGACACCTGAGAACAGAGCCCACGTAGCTGTCGCTTCCCGGCTCAGCGAAGAAGTGGTGTGTGCATTTCGGCACACGGGTTTCGGTCTCTCTCTGACATTGATCCATCAGGACTACGACTTTTTGGATATCATGGCCTGTTCTGGCGGACAGATGAGCTCGCTGTCGGACTACGTCAAGCTCATGCAAACCTTTCTCGACCCAACTCGCCCCGAGAGCCTCCTCCCTCCGTGGGTCATACGAGAGTGGATGCGACCCCTGCACGGCTGGTGGGCGGACGAATCAACGGAGATCGGAATGCTGTGGGAGATCGAGAAGATCCGGGATTCGCACAACCGCCCACGGCGCATTTTCCAGAAACGTAAGCAATTCTAGTGCCGCGGAATCCATCTCATCTCGTCGGCTCGTGTAGTTGGTACTCTCGGTGCCTCTCGGAGTGCGTTTGCGATCAACCAGGACATGGCCCACGGGGTCGCAGTCCTCATGACTGGAACGACACCCATCAATGATCTTGTCCTAGACATCTTTCGCGAGATGCAGCCGGTCCTGGATCGATTACTTGCGGCGGATGCCGCTGAGCTGTATTCTGGCGCATGGACTCCGATCGACGGTAACGACAAGTCGAAACTGACGATCAAAGTCATGGATGGATCGCTCTGGATGACCGAGCTGCGGCTCAATGGCACTAACGTTCTCGGTGTGATTTTGCCAACTCCAGAGCCAATCGCCCTCTGGTCCACAGGTCGTTTACACGAATTCCGGTTGGTGTGCTTTCCAGTGTTTTGGCCTTCTGCTTATGTGCTCCACAGCATGGTGTTTGCCTCGCCGTCCAAGAACTGCATGTCTTCTTGGACAGCAATTGACGATGGGTACTCGCAGGGTCATCCCAACGACCTTGTCTATCTCACGGACGACGGTCTGCTTCACGTGCCGTCGGTCGGCACAGTCTTTGAGCGCCAGTAGGCATAGCAAAATTCATATACCACGTCGAAAACACTGCCATCTCGTTCATGCGCACTCTCGTCGTGGCCAACTTGCGTCAACGATAACCAAAGCGGGCGCATGGTTGTCCTTACACATGATTGTCAACTCGAAAGGGAGACGTACGTATCGCAAGCCCAGACACGAATCCGATTGTCCCATAATAGCGACCTATGAAATGCAGCTAGAGCGTTTGGCGTGAAAGATGTGCGACAGGAGCCGGACTGCGCCCACTTCCCCACCCAGGTCAATGATTGTTGGAACGAACTAGTGTTTGCTGTTGCGAGGGTGACTCCACCGCGCGTTTCGTACCTGTGTGAGTAGGTTCCGGAAGCCTCGTCCACTCGCGGATGTCTACAGGATGCTACCGACTCGGATCAGCACCGCCTCTTACTCTTTAAGACTCTTTGACAAGGAAGGTCGGTCGAGGCGTCTAGATCCTTGCTATGCCGATTGACTCTCTCGCCATCCACGAGGACGCGTTATTCTCGAATGGGAAAGGTCATCCACTTGGTACGGGACGGCCTGGTACCGACCGATTTATTCCTCGCGTACCCCTCGCGTCCAGCATCGGAGCCTCATTCGCATTGCTAACTGAGTTTACTCGGGTCTCACGGCCGCTTTAGCGCGGCCGTCGACCCCTTCGCCACCCACCCTCCTCCCCCCTTCCTACTCTCATGCACGGCGACGCGCTCATCGTGACCCTGGTCAGCCTGTGGTTCGTCTACACGTGCACCTTGATCATCATCGTATGGGCCGTGTTCTACACCTGCCGCGCGCTCCGCTGCCATTGGTGCTCCACGGCGCTCCAAGGACCTCCTGACAAAGGGGAGTCAGTCGCCAGCTGCGCCGCGCGCTACGGGCCTGTGTTCTCGGTCCCGGTGCGGCTCTGGACCCGCAAGGTCGTCTTGTGTGACCCCAGAGCAATAAGTGTGTAGCCCCTACAGCTAGGAGGTCCGTGCTGAACTGTCCCGATGATCAGCGCACTTTTATGCGAATGCCGCTGGAATCTACCGTCTCGATCCTGGAACTCGCAAGATCACAGAGAACCTCGTGAGCACTGGGTATTCGGCGGAGCGGCCGGTTAATCCATCGGGTGGTTAGGTCGGCAGGGGCTTGACGTGGGTGGATGGGGCGGACCACAGCGGGCGAGTGCTTTTCCCTGAGATTGCGCATATTCGTTTTGTGCTCAGCGGCGTGCAGCCATAAACAAGCCCTCGCGCCATTTTTCAGCGCTTCCGCGGTTGCAGGTTATTTTCCCGCATTCTGCGACACGGTGGCCAAAGTAAGGGAGCCTGTTGCACGCTCGCATCCTTGGATCTCCCGCCGATACTGTTGTAGGTCTACAACAAATGGGGGAGCGCGCTGGAGTCGCAGCCTCTAGGAATTGTAGTCGAGGCCCATCATTGGTACGCCCAGTTTTGTCTAGGCAGAATCGCGCGTTACTCAGGCGCGGTCCAGGACAACCAGTATCGTGTTCGTATACGCCCCTCTGTCTACCTGCTTGTCTTGATTCTCCTCAGACTGGACGCGCTGGGCGTCGCGTGCTTCAACCACAACTTTGATGCGCTGAGCGGCAACTACAACGTCGTTATCGCCGCGTTTTTCGCGCTCCGGCTGCCCGCCGACTGGCTGTTCACCCAAGCGCTCAAGCACCCGTGGCTCCTGCGCATCCCGTCTGCGAAGCACAAAGTCCTCAAGAACTTCGAGGGCTACGTCGACCGGATGGCTGACGATATCCTGAACGGTTATGAGAAGCAAGACACATGTATGATGAGCTCGCTGAGTGAGGGGAATGTCTCTCTGATCGTGTCCTGGGCTCACGGCAGTCAGTCGACTCGCTCGCCAGGCATCCTGCGGGCGAGTTCCGCTTGTCAAAGGCCGAGGTTTTGGCGCAGGTGCGTGCTGAGACACGCTTCCAAATGATTCTTCTGAGCTTGTATACAGATCGTGAGTGCCTCCATTCCAAGTTACAACACAATTTTACGCAGGAACAGAAAACGATCCTATTTTCTGGTGCGCTCGGCCGGTACACATCTTCGCTCACCACTAACCCTGATAGGCTTGGAAACGACATCAGGCGAGGACTCCGAATCCGCGCGAGACTGAGCCGAGCTGACCATTGATTAAACACGCAGTGACGCTGAGTGCAAGTAATTTCCGGCGCTATCCACCCTAGACTTATCCGGGATTCCAGTGGCTCCTCGTCGAATTGGCTCGGAATACAGCAGTACAGAACAGGCTGCGCTCTGAGCTGGGGACGCTCCGCGGGAAACTTGACCCAGAGACGCTATCGAGCCTGCCCTACCTCCAATCGGTGGTGAGCGAGGGCCTGCGCTTCCACCCTCCCATAACCGAAACGGTCCGCGTGGTACGCGACCACCTCTCGCTTCCGCTGGTCTCGCGCATTGACTCGCCCCCAGGCCGCCGAGGACGACGTGATCCCGCTCAGCGCGCCGATCGTGACGAAGAGCGGCGAGTCCGTGACGAGCATCCGCGTCGCGAAGGGCACCGCCGTCGCCGCCCCGCTCGCCTTCCTCAACAGCGCGCCGGCGCTCTGGGGCCCCGACGCGCACCGGTTCGACCCCGACCGGTGGTGGCTCCTGCAGGACGCGCCGGGGTTCCCGGGCGGCATGCACCTCGCGCACGGCGACGGGCCGCGCATGTGTCTCGGGGCCGAGATGTCGGGCGTGCTGATCAAGGCTGGTGTTGCTCCTGCCGCCGCACACGCACCGCCATAAGCTGATATTGGAGCGCAGGTCGTTCTGGCTGTGCTGGTGGGCAGCTTCGCGTTCGAGCTTCCGGGAAACGCACAAGTCGTCGAGGATAGCGACGGGCGTCCAAAATCGAAAGGACGCGGGGCAGAGCTGTTGATGATAGTCCGCAGGGCGTAAGGCGCGAGAAGACTTTTATTTCGAAGCAGGATGCTGCAGGAGATCAAGAGAGCCAGCGACGCGTGGATCGTGTTACGTGTAAGTTGTACTTCATGGTCGATGGATGGACCGCACAGGTCCCGGTGTGGAATAGTCGAGTTTTGTACCATTTCGAACACAGATAATTTATCGGGCTCTCAGCGATGGCACTTGGAAAATTTCAACATTTCTGCAAGGATTCCAGCCTTGAAAGTGACCGGGAAGCATTTCCTGTTCAGATTTCTTTCTTTGGACTTGGTCCAAAATGGCCCAAACATCCGGTAATCGTTAGTCTTTGTCTGCATGCGAAAATGACACGATCTGCCTCCGGCTTCCTTCGAGCCGCACCCGGGGCCACACAGCTCGACCCTGGGTACTGACACATTTAGATGACTACCGTTGCCGTCAACCCTTGCCTTCTGAGATCTCAGCGCCGGCCCCGAAAGTTTAACTCAAGTATCAGAGGAACATTCTAAAACCAGACCAACCTCTGTTCCTGAACCATCATCCACTGCGAGCCGCGACTCCAAAAACCCAGCCTCTCGACAAAGTCATCGAGACAGTGAATGCGTAGCTCATGTTCTGCTTTTGTGCGATGAAATGGATGGGCTGTCGGGTTCGAATGATCCTCGCGTGAGCTCATTGAGACGTTCCCACACCGATTGATAGGACCGATCATGCCGCATCCTTCTCTCCTCCACCACAATCCTCGCTTGTGTAACAGGCATTCTCCTGGCTGTCCAGAAAGGCTTTCTTCTCGTGCGCAGCAGAGGTGTAGTAGCAGCGAGACATCGCAAGTGAATATCAACTCAGCAGCAGATTCATTTCGATGCCGATGCATGCGAGAGGTGCTGAGCATAGGAACGGGGTCTTGCTGCAGACAGCGACTGCGATGATCGGTCGAGCACAGATCACGTACAGTCTCACCGTCCACGGACTTCCAAAGCTCGTGGTTCGACACCGAGAATCCGGCCACGGCACACGCTCGGCAGCAGTTGTGTATAAGATCCTAGTAGGCACCGGTCCCCCATAGTACATGCACCCTCCCCCCACGCAGCATCTATGCCCCGCTCGGACCACACCCGCAAAGCGTACACAGACGAGGAGATGGCGTACATCGCGCGCATCGTTGCAGACTTGCCTGCGAAAGCAGATCTCACGCACGTCGACACGTTCGGGGCGCTCGGGCTCGGCGGCGCGCATGTTAGCACTCAGTGTCCTCATTTCGGTGGCATACTCACTCGGTGTTCCAAGTCCAAACATCTGTGGTCTCGCGGGCACAAACCCCAGGGCTGGACGTATGCTGCCCAGAAGGCGGAGGTTCTGCATAAAGCCATCGGGATACTGAAGAAGCGCGCGGAGTACGCTTCCCTCGATACTGACTTGTTGGTCCAGTGCTTACTTTGCTCTCGTTAGGTGGAACGGTTCGTATTTGTTGTCTCGTCTTGCTGGATTGTTGGAGACCTCTGTTTCATCACAGTCGCCGGCGTTTCTTTCACAGTCGAAGAAGCGGTAAGCTCGCTGGGTACTCCCTGAGAGCCGCATCTCATTCTTTTTTTCTTCTTTGTTTGCACACAGCGACGCACGATTCAACGGTCGATCGACGACCTCGCCGAAGCATCGGGCCACCCCAAACGCGACATCGCCCAAATCCTCAAGAAAACCGGCGACGTTGGGGCCGCCCAAAGTCTGCTTCTCAAGGAAGGCGCGTTTCCTCCGTGTTCAAGTTGACAACATCCGAGCAGTCCGGCTCACGCCCTCGCTCGACAGCAGCAGCAGCAGCAGTGAAGCCATGCGCCAAGCGCAAGATGAATGCGTGGGACCAGTCGGAAGACTCTGAGGAGAATGAGGGAGACGCGCTGAACACCGAGTCTGAGAGCGAGTTTGAGGAGCCACCTAAGAAGCGACGGTGCCGGCGGAAATCAACGATGAGTGCGTGCGGTTGCCCAGCCCAGTCCAGTCTCCTTGGATCACCCTTTCTTCCCCCTGCTGACTGACCCATTTTGCGATCGTAGTGGTTGACTATTCCGAGTCGCCGCCTGCTAGCCCCGTCAAGAAGCCACAACGCCCTCCCCGTGAGCAGTGCGCTCTGACAAGTTACGAGGATAGGGGCTTATTGGATGTACAGAAAGCGTCGTCCGTGTGAAGCGGGGGGAGCAGATCGTCATCACGACCTCGCCATCTCCATCGCCGCCGAAGAAGGCGCGGAAAATCTACCCTCGTGCGTCTTTATCTTCTGTCCTCCCTCCCTCGCGTGGGCTGACTTACGGTATACTATATCAGGCTCGGCCTCCGTGAAGCCGAAGAGCACCCGGTACTAGTCGTCTGGAATTTTTCATGTACATTCTCTAGACGTACCAAGTACCTGTCCTGTACCGTGTTTTCGCAGTTGCCAAGCGCCTTCGGCAAATGCCGACGTTGCGGATCAATCGGAAAGACTTGTTGGGGCGCTGATCTTTTCCTTCAACCTGCAAGGCGGAAAGCTAAGTACTGGGGACCCTATGATACTGTGTCTGTGGGCATCAACGCCTCTCTTCCGAAACACCCCTCGACCCTCACCACCCACTCAGACCCGCAGCTCCACCGCGATCCCGTGCCAAAACGCACAGCGCGCCCGCAGATCGCCCGGGACCGGCTCCAAGCGCATCTCCGACGGATTCAGCAGCAGACGCGGCGAGCCGTGGGCCGACGACACTGGCGCCCAGACGACTGCATCCGCCGCGGCGGGCGCTCCGTCCGTGACGAACGACGTGAAGTAGCGCCGCATCGCATCGATCAGGGCGCGGTCTGCTGAGCCGAAGGCCGACGTGTCCCAGAAGAAGGCGGCGAGGTCTGCGGCGTGGTGGGACCCGAGCGAGGGGTTGTCCCAGCTGCGAACCAGTCAGCAGCAGTCTGCCGGTGAGCGGTTTTGCGCTGCATCCAAAACACACACCGGTAGTGGTACGCCGGCCTGGCAGACCCGGTGACCAGCACAGCCGTGCAGATGTACCGCAGCTCGCCGTACATCTGCTGCGCCTGCAGGCCGACGGACCCGCCGTAGGCGGCCAGGGGGTAGTGCAGCCGGACGGCAGTGTCGAAGGACTTCTGGCTGAGCGCCGCGTACTGCCCGCGCAGGAAACGATACACGGTCGCCTGCGTCGCGTTGTGCGACGATGTGTTGGCCGCGCCGTCTGCGAGGCTGGCGCTCCAGCCCGCGCCCTCATCGGTGTTGGAGCCGAACAGCACGGGCACCTGCGCGAATTGACCGCGGGAAAAGGCTTCCACAGGGCGCTGCGTGAAGAAGGCGCCGTCAAAGACTGGGGCGAAGGGATAGAGCGTGGCTGGGTGCGAGGCTAGCACCTTCTGGCCTGCGGCAGCGATGGTGTCTGCGGGGACCGAGCGTAGGCAATCCAAGTCGAGGCAGCCCCTAGACAGAATGTGAGTTTGCGACTACAGCCTTAGTGAAGACTCACGCGTTCTGAGCAAACTCGGTAAAGAGCGACTCCACGTATGGATCGTCGTACGCCGGCAAGTAGTTCAGAGACGGGCTGTTGCCCATCGCCTGGTGGAAGAGACTTGGATCCGATCCTATCAGATGAAACATCGTCGCACCCGCACCCCCCGACTCGCCCCAGATCGTCACCCACGCAGGGTCTCCGCCGAATTTGCGGATGTACCGCTGGACCCAGCGTAGAGCTGCCTGCTGTTGTGCCCTGTGAGCATGAGATTGCGGACCTGAGAATGGCATCGACAAACCTGGTCTAAGAGCCCCACATTGAGACTGCCGTGTTTCTTTACCGCAGCACCGCCCAGGAACCCCAGCGGACCCTGCCGGAACTCGAATGTGACGAACACGAGCGGATTGACGGACGACTGCATGATGTGCTCGGGTGCATAGTCGTGCGTGCTCCCGTCCTCGAATCCGCCGCCGTGGAAGTAGACGAGGACCGGGAGCGGATTGTCGGCGGTCGTCGTCGTCGGTGCGTAGATCTGCGCGTGGTTTGAAGTTAGTAGGTGGAGCGATCGTCCTCTCAAGGCGCACTTGCATTCCCGAACAAGCAGTCCTCGGAGGTTCCCTCTGCCACCGTCGTCTGTGTGTTCGAGATGCACGCGCTGCCGTACTGGGACATGTTGAAAGAACCGGGCATGTAGAGTTGATGCGCGCACCCACCGTGGTGGCTTGCACATGTCCCAAATGCCTGGTCGGCGGAGACACCGGAGCCGTCCATCGCCGGGGCGGATCAGCGTATCGCACCCCGCGAAAGTAGACGATGCGCTGCTCGAGATCCACCAGGCCGGCGAACGTTCCGTCTGAGGCAAAGTCGCAGTACATCCGGGAAAATTCCAGGCAGGAACGCACAGTCGAGTGTCACTGATGCGGCTTCGAGTCCCAGACCAGCGGCGAGCGAAGCATAGAACAGGGCGGCCGATAGAGACGAGATGGAAATCATAGCCAAGGTGAGATGATGATAGGAGTGTCTCGGACTCGATGTCTGACAACTCAGTCCCGGGCGATGAGCGTATCAGATGTCTGAAACTTGTCAGCGTTAGAAATCAGAAGAATAAAATGTAAGTCACTATGTACTGCAGACCATTGGATGGAAAGAATCGGCCTGCTCGCACAATCGGGCGCTGTAATTACTGAATGGAGGAAGAGCAACACGATCCCGTGACTGCTGTGAGAGAAAATGTTCAACTTCCGTCCAAGCGCTCCGCATGACGGTGTTTCTCTGGTGACTGATTGTGCAACTCCGGTAGGCACATCGCAAGCTTATTTTGGCGGCGGTTGGCCGGTAGCACGACGTGCCTAGACTCACGCCAGGTGTGCGACCCTGCAGATCCAAGCCCCGTCTTCTGGACCTTCCGCGTCGGCGGTAACTCGGCGTGTGCAACGTGATCGAGGACAAAAGGGAACGCAAACGCCCCAAACACCAGTGCGGCTTCTGATGTGATTGGCATCGTGCAAGCGCAGAAGCTGATCCCAATGTTGAGTCGCTCCCATAAGCTCAAATACGGGAAACCGCCTCTGATTGCGCGCGATGGGGGGAACAGGAACCGCGCACAAGGTTCAAAGTCCGACAGGCGAATGTGGCGGTACCGTGTGGTTCCGGATATATTCTGCGGCGAGGGAGGGAGAGGCTCTCCATCCCTTTCGTCTCTGCGCCCTTGCACTCCCACTGACCACCCACCATGTCCAGTGCCCTCGATTCTACGTACGGCGTCTGGCTCGTGTCGCTCTTCATCGAGACTATGCTCTTCGGCGCCGGCGCGCTCCAGGCTTGGATCTACTGCTTCAGCTGGAACAACGACACCGCGTACATCAAGTCGACGGCGAGTCACTTCTGAACCGCGGTTGTGGAATTGGGCGACTCATTTTTTCTGCTTCTTCTCTCTCTCTCTCTCTCTTTACAGGTTGGGGTCGTCGTGTAGGTCGTCCAGTTGAATCCGCACCGTCGCTGACGTTGCCGGCCAGGGTTCTGGAAATCATCCAGGTCATCTTTTTCTTCAAGTCGTCCTACTCGCGGTTCGTCGATCTCTTCGGCATCCCACAGGGAGAAGTCATCTGGCGAGTCGAAATTTTTGGGTGCTTTCGCGTTGCTCATGGTTGACTTAGGGAGGACTCGGTACCACTCTATTCACGCTATTCCTCGCTGCACTGACAAACGTTCTCTGGCGCAGCTTCAATTGTTGTCCGCTGTATGTCACTGCTTTTTCTTCTGGACTTGCGCTTATGCCTCTGCAGTATCTCTCCGCCTTCTGCGTTCAGCTGTGTGTCTTTCATGCTCTGCGCACCTCTTGTCTCTGACAACCTCGATCTAGGTTCTTCGCCTCGCGGGTGCACAAACGTTCGTTCCCAGCGTTCGTCTCGTCTTCAACCCCACACGTCTGACTGGCCGGGATAGTGACCCGCGGACGTAAGCCCTTCAGCCTCGCTGCCATCGGCATGTATTTCATCGGCCTCTTTGCCTTCCTCCAAGTCGGCGCCGGGATCGCCCAGGTCATCGTCTCGTACGTTCTTTCCATCGCACACACCCCGTTTGTGTGTGTTCATCGCTTTTATAGACACCAAGTCCGGTTCTACGCGAACCTTGACTCGACCAAGGTGCGGACCCTTGCGTGCTTTTTCGGCGCTTTTTACATAATACTGATCGCTGCGCAGGCCATCACGACGTTGCAAGGCGCCGCCTCGCTCGCCTGCGATCTGCTGATCACGGTCTATCTCTGCATTTTCTTGAAGCACCAGAAGACCGGGGTATCGAAGCGAGTCGTTTTTTCCGGCGTCGAGGTGTTCGGTCCGCTGACTGTTGCTTTCGTTGCAGGACCAACTATATGATCGATCGCCTGTTGTACGTGCCGTCTCGGCTCTATTGTACCTAGTTATATACCGGTTCACCGCAGCTACGACGCGATCAACCGTGGGACGCTCACTTCGCTCGCCTCGGCCGCGACTATCATTCTTGTGCGTGCTTGTTGGTTCCAACCGCCGCCGCCGCTCATTTCTTGCACCAGTTCCTAGCTGTTCCCGACACGTTCTGGTTCTTCCTCGGGCTCGCTCCGAGCAGCAAATGTACGATCTTCCCTCCGCCCATTTTCACCACTGACGAAGCATTCATTCAGTGTACATGAACAGCATGCTCGCTACGTACGTACCGCCCGCCTCCCCCCGCGCCCGCGAGCTCACGACTCGGACGCGTCTGATCCAGCCTCAACACCCGCAGCCGCCTGCGCGACCAGATGACCTCGCAAGACAAGGGGTGGAACTCGATCAGCATGGACACGGTCGGCTCGAGCGCCCGCAAGCGGCTGCAAGTGCAGGTCACCGTGGATCATGACTCTGATGCGGTGCGTAATAAATATCGTTGTGTCTTCTGGCACTTGCTTGGTGCATTCGGGGTTGGCTTGCTGACGCCGGATTGCTTAGCAGTTCCACAAGAAGAGCCAGGATCTTGGGAACTTCAACCCGAGCGAAGTGACCGCGGTTTGAATGCTCAGAAATAGCCCGTGATTGCATTATCCCCCCGTGCCAAAAAAAACAAGTTCTCGTACATACCATATACTGTCTCTCCTTTGATTGTTGCACCGAAACTGTCGCTAGTTCGAATATCTTGAATTTCTTACTGTCGAACGTCGATTTTGTGCTTGGACTTCTGTGCGGCCGATGTATATATAACACCAAGTCGTAGCGATCATCTGAGAGCCCAGAATCTGATCAGATTCAGACACAACGATGGCCGATAAAGAACATCGCAGTAGGAAGAATTTGTCAGTCTGTCTCCTCTGGCCTTCAGACCCAGGAGAGCCCAATACGACACAGAAAGCGGGGCACTCACGAGGGCAGTGGAAGCATGGCCGGCAGACGGGTCCTAGCCAGGGTTTCGCCGCGAGGCTGAGTATAGGAACAAAAACGCATTCATCGCATAGAAACTCGCCACATTGCAAGGGGACTATCTCCAGTCGGCACACGTGTCACGCTCGCTCTGAAACTTCTCGTCAACCGCCGCACTGGGACCCGTCGCGTGTCTCGAAACCAGAGGCCTAGATCATGGTCATACACGATCTCGTTCTCTGCAGCATACTACGACTTGAGATGTCATGTCTTTATAAGTTCCACATAGTGGACGGCCGACTCGGATCATCATCAAGTTCATCGATCCCAGACGACCACCGCACATCTGGCGCAGCAGCAGCGAAAGCGTCGTCCAACCAACTGAGCAATATAGTACGATCAAGTCCATGAAAGGTATGCGTAATCGAAGGGAAGAGCTCCTCCAGCTGGGCGCGCATAGGGGGAACGCAGTGTGTAGTCATGCGCAGATATCTCCGGTGTTTCCTGGATGGGTTGCAAGACACTGGTCCGTTTCTGGTGACCCCCATGGAGTGAAAGCATCGATTCGAGTTCGAAGAGAGGACCAAAGCGTCGGGGGACTTCGGAGGGACTTGGCTGTATAAACGGAAAGCGGTGTCGCGCGCGATAAGATTCATGGACTCTCACTGGTGGCGGTGCTTCGGTCTCTCTCTCTCTCTCTCTCTCTCTCACCGCAATCACTTTGCACCACCACCGGCATGCCTCGCAACGACTTTCTCCCGGAAGAAGAAGATCGACTCGTCGAATACCTGGCCGGGATCCCGCGCAGCAAGCGCTCAAGCATGTCCTCCTTTGCGCCGTTGTCCACGGTGGGCCTGCACCGCGCTCGGATGGTCGTTCTGTGGTTCAGGCGAGATGCAGCTGTCCTGGGCAAAGCGACACTCGACGGCCTCTTGGCTCCAGCGCTTCCTACGTCTCCGCACTCTCTACGATGCGCGTATCGACAGATTGGTGGCCGAGAACGAGCGCGAGGATCTGGAGCATGAGCTAGTACGGCAGGAACTGCTACCGCAACAGGCGAAGGAGGGCGTAGTCGCTTTTGGAGACTCGGTTACGCAAGCTGAAGACGACGCCGAGGCTTACGGCGGTGTGATGTTGGAGGTAGAGAACCTGCTCATGGGGTGCATATACTCATTGCCGCCTTCTCACTTCCTTCTTAGACCTTCTGTGCTGGTAGAGCTAATGAGTCGTCGCATGCACAATCCGCAAAACTATCTCTGGACCCTGACCCTGACTTCTCTCGATCATTCATGGAGCTGACGATCGTCGACGACACACTTCCACGGCCGGATTCGAATCTCAGGTCCGGGTCAGCCTTTGTCGTGCCCGAACGCTCATACCGAAGGTTCCCAGTGTTCTCGACAGCTACACCACTGCACCACCTATCTCACGCTATGCTATCTTCTCCGCTCTCCCATCTTGCGACACGATCCCTTGCATACAAATCGCCGCGAACTTGCTGGCAGACATCTACGATGTGGACATTCAAGTCGTTCTAGACCTCTGGCGCGAGACGTCCAGCATACGCAAGACCCAACAGCATCTCTCGGCTCTCAGAGACTGGTCTACGGCCTAGCTTCATCTTGCTCTCTCTGCTCTTTTCGTGAATGCTCTGTTTCCGGATCACTTCGTACACGTGAACTTTGACTTCAAAGCGTGTCAACTCTGGTATGTCATCCAAGCAAAAGCGTTCACGCACTCAGCATACCACCGTCTTCTTCGATGGATGCGGTGCTTCCGTCATATCTCTACTTTCTCTTCGTGTGCAGTCTATTGAAGTTGCAACAAGATTTGCCGCCGATCTACTTTCTCTTCGTGTGCAGTCTCTTGAAGTTGCAACAAGATTTGCCGCCGATCTGCTCCGCGTATGTCTGAGCTGCACTCTAATGGCATTGCGCAAGAATGATAACTATGTGTCTTGGCTTCGCCGGTCTTCGCATGCCAAAGCGTTTCGATCGGCTTCAATTATCACCGTTCTTGGCCGAATCAGATATCATTTTACAAGTAGATAATCGAATATCCGTGAACAAAGACACTTTAACAACACGACATCCTCAAGCGGACGCAGATCTGGGCCAAAGCGCGTGGAGAACAAAGCAAGCGGGATTTCACACGCCGAAAGAAAGCCCCGACGCATCAGTCAGTCGTCAGGATCATCATGCGCCATAAGCGCCACCCCATGGTTCTCGTGCTTGCGCTTCTTGTGTCTGTGGAGCGACGAGGGGTCCGCCGTGGCGAAATCGCACTTGAGCCCGTCGGTGTATATGTATGTACACTGCAGAGGCCGCATATTCGTGCTGTGGACCGGATGAGATCAGCGCCCGTAGGCCGAATCGACGCGGTGACTGACTGGGTGCGGATGTGTGTCTCAAGATTCGACCGCTGGAGCGTGCGGTGCTTGCAGTCCGGATACGGGCACTGGAACATCCTTTTGTGATTCGCGATCAGTCAAACGCGGGGGGAGGGAACAAAGACAAGACCCTTACAGCTCTTCTTTGTTCTTCGCGTGTGTGAGCATGTGGCGCTGCAAATCGGACGTGCGGCCGATACTCGCTCCGCAGGTGGAGCAGATCGAGCGCCGCGGGGGCTCGTTCAGCTCTGGTTTCTTCTGCAAGGAATGAGGGCAAGGTCGGAGTGCGGGATGGAGGACGTACGGGAGATGGCTTGAGTGCGTCGCGCGGCATGGATGAAGGGAAGACAGGAGAGGGTGGCGAGAAGAGAGATGAACGGCGACACAGACGACAGCATCGGCATCCCAATCGTCTTTATACACCCTTCAAAAGATATCCGTAGCGGACAACAAACATCTTTAGCGATAGTGCCGAAAGGGGATAGCATCGAGCACATTCGACGCGATGGCCAAAGCACTCTTTTGTGTGTTTTGACGTTTGGAGGGCGATCTCGCAAAGCGCTAAGCGATATCGAGTGGCGCCTCGCCGCAGTAAGAAGGTTACAACGCGGTAAGATGATGAATGGGAAGCCGAAACCAGAGACGGTTGTTGACAAGGCGGAGGATTGACGGCCACAGAACAAAGACAGCCTAGATGGAGGTGGTGGATCTGTATCCGAGAGATTCAACACTAGCTCTTGCGCAATCAGATAACCTCTCCTGCTTCTCTTGCTGGGGACCGGTTCGCGATTTTGGGGCGCGACGAGCGTTGGGCGGGGATTGAGAGCACCGATGTTTTCTCCAACCCGCACAATCCTGCCTCCTGCTCATTTCTCACTTCTGATCCCAAGCGGCGATGCTCGAGACGGTTGTAGCAAGCCTGTTGGGCGAACGAAAAGACCAGCGGTGGCACTGGTGACTCACGTTCTCACGTTCTCACGATCAACAACTCATCTCATCAGCCAAGTCCAGCTATGAAGGGGGATACCATTGATGAGTAGCGAGCTATTTCAATCGACCCTTCGCTGCTTTTTCTGTCTTCTGCTATCGCCTGCGCAGGCACCCGAACCACTGGCACTGCGTTTCTGCGTCTCCCTCTGCGACGCGCTGACCCGAGTCAGCGCATTTCGCAGAACAGCGTCGGATCCAACGTATTCCAAACCATACGCCTCGGCAGAGTCGAGGGTCCGCAGGCATCTGTCCTTGTCCTGATCCCCAGTGGCGAGACGCCAGAGACCGTCGGGCTGATGAGGTGCATTACAAACGAGCAGAATGGACAGGAACGAAAAGTCGACTCACGAATCGATAACCCTTCGGGGATCCCAGATTCTTGGGATACACGGCCGCAAGATTGTGCACTTTGTGGGACCCGATATACACGATATCGTCCGCCTGGTTAACGACGACCTCGATCGTGGACCCAACCCAGGCCTGGAACAACGAGCCGGGAATCCATTCGTTGTGCGAGGCGTCGAATCGGGATGCCGGGGCGAAGAAGATCGAGCGGCCGGGTGAGACTGGCATGAGGACGGAATGGAGATAGACGATGCGCGGAATCAGCTTCTTGGTTTCGAGATTCTGCAGAGAGCGGATCAGGACATCATCTGGAGAAAGTATATGCAGGTACATACAGCGGCAAAGAACATGTACGGGTCCATCTGGGATCGACACACGACGATTGGTTGGGCCACTGGCGATCTCGGGGCTGCAACTTGAAGCATGTGCTCGCGACAAGCTTGCACTTTCTGGTCCTTCAAATTTGGTCTACAGCAAAGTTAGACAGGCCTCAACAGTGAAATGCGAACTTACTCAGTGGACGGCGGTACCTTTGGCTCTTTTACGACCTGCAGAGCAAGGTGATTCGTCAGTTTTATTGTCAGAAGCTACATCGAAGGACGTCACCTTCATCTCAGCTTGTAGCGTACGTAGACCATTCTCCAGCGCTGACTTTTGCTTGGACAGTTTGTCAAACTCCTTGCCAGGAGTAAATAAAAAACGTCAAAGCTAAGTGGGGCTCGAGCGCAAACCTTCTGGAGTTTATCGAGCTCGACCTGGTGGGTAGCCTAGAAGGATAGCACAGTCCAATGCAGTGCTTATCCAAATAATTCGAATGGACGTACTCTGAGGGCATCTGAGTACGCACGGGGTTCACTCAAGATCGAGTGGAACTGGACCAAGTTGTCGTGCAGCGCCGACAGTTCCGTTCGTGTGGCCTTCAGCTCCTAGTGACTCGTCAGCCTGATTGACGAAATGCAACAACACCACATACGCTCTTGAGAGACTTCTCCTCTTCCCTGAGACTTTGGAGTTTGCTTTGTAGCGTTGATGCAACCTGGATTGGTTTTAGATGAGCTATCATTCCAGTTTTACATCTTGGAACTTCGAACCTCGTCCGATTGAGACTTTGCCGTGCTTAGTTCTAGCCGCTCCTATCGACAGAATGAGCCCCAGGATTTGCAGCACACGGCACAAGGATCTACCTGCTTGAGCTCGGCCACATGACGCTTAGCAGCCTCGTGCTCCTCCCGCATTTCTTCGAGTGTCTAAAAACCCGCCAGATGAGTCGATCTTGACGGCGAACAAACTCGAACCTTTTCAAGCCCGATTGTCTGCAATGTGCAACAAGCGTCAGCCGCTAGTAGTCGGTCGCGCGCTAAGCGAAACTGACCTTAGCCTGAGCAAGGCGCAGACTCTGCTCACTCTGCGCGGCAGCCTTCTCCATCTGAACATAGACGCGGATGCTTCCGCGAGAACATGGGCACACCTGCTGCAGATCCTCCGTCCTCGCTACCTGGCTGCGCACCACCTCGCGTGTCTCCTCGAGCGCGGCCGCATAGTCCATCGTCGCAGGGATCTCGTGCTCTTTGCTCTTGATCTTCTGCAGTGGGAGCCATGTAAGTAGGCGGAGGGTGGAAGGAAAGGTGGACACACCAGGTCTCGATTCATGTTCAACTCGGTCGCATTCAAAACGTTTCCCGCTGCTAGCATCAAGTTGAGCTTCGCGGCCTCAGCGTCGACGGCCTGAACAGTAAAGTATATACATGGTGTTGTCAGGCCCCGTAGCTGACTCGCACGACTTTGGGGACGCACCTGACGCGTGGCCTCAGCCTCTACAGCTCTGAACTTGGCTCGCACGTCCTCCAGCATGGAACTGGTCGTGCTCCTCAAAATGCGGCGCGTATTGCGACCCGGTGTGTCCGTGCCCGTCTCACTGGTGTGGTGCTCCATGGATGGTTCGATGGTACGAAACTGGGAGGGAATGTACGGAAAATGACGTTCGAACCCTAAATGCGACCCTGATTTAGACCCTCTGTACTCTTGTTTTTCACTCGAGAAGCTGTTCTCTCTCACACACTCTATCCACCGATGTCAGAAATCGAAATAGGAGCCGAAGCTGCGGTTATCGAGGTCACTGTCTCTCCCATGTCTTTTTGTCATAATTTCCGCATGTCGTTTCCAGTTCGAGAAATCTGTTTTGGTTCAGTGGCGCGATTCTGTTCTTGTGTACACAGCCGACTGACGAGGTCGATAACGAGCAGATAGAAATAGCCTATATACATTATAACAGAGAATATAAAGATAGATTACCGGCGCGTAACACCGGGCCAGTACTGCGCCAGGAATCTCAGGAGATGCGATAACAGCGTATCTGCCTCTTGCTTCGGAAAAATCTTTCTATGCTCCCGAGTGTACTTCGCAAGCGCCGCCTCAGATTCGAACTTCCGGACCGGCCGGCCGGTGCGTCCAGTATCTAGTAGATCAACGATGTTCACATGCAGGGCCCGGATTTCCTGCAAATCTTTCAGCAGACGCAGAGCTCGGGATCGAGTGAGCCGTACCATCTTACAACCCTCGATTGTCCCTGGGACCGGCGAGATGTCGAGAACGACACACAGACCCTGCCAGTTGCGCAGATCGTACGCGTCCCTTCCAAACGGGCATCCGGAATTAACCGCGGGACGTCCGCTGGGTTGGCCCAGCGGAGGCCCAGCGGACCCCACTTTTTGACAGACCGCCGCTCTCAACGACGACAACGAGTACGGCTACGGTGTGTATGTCAGTATGTAGTTACATGTAAGTTGTTCAAGTACGTCGTAGGTGGCAGGTAATGGATGTTGTCGTTCCCCGAAATTGAGGAGGTGTTAGGTTCGAATCCGGCGGAGGCCCACTTGAAGCGGCGCCGCACCCAGCGGAACTCCAGCGGATGTCTGGCGGATGTCTGGCGGATGTCTGCGGAGGCCCAGCGGATGTCTGGCGGATGTCTGTGGTGGTGTGCGGAGGCCCAGCGGATCTCTGGCGGTGGTGTGCGGAGGCCCAGCGGTGGCCCAGCGGATGTCTTGCGGATGTCGCACGGCCGGCGGTCCCACCAACCCACTTGTGACTGTGACCACCACGCGGCGCCCCAGCGGCGGCCCAGCGGAGCTCTTATTGTTTCACCAAAACAATAATTTGAGCTCGTCGGGTCTTAGCATCGCAACGCGCGTGTTGATACTGTGCACAGCCACTCCATCACTCGCCAGCATCGTCGTCGACAATGAGGACAAGACTCAAATTTTAAGCATACTATTTTATTCCATGAGGAATTAGCTCTGATATACACCTGCCACTTGTCACTGACCATTCTGAAGTCCAATACTTGTGTCATGAGATATTTTCATTTTATATCAACTATGCAAGCTTGATGATGCGTGTCTTGTCTTGTCCCAATCCTATGGAGGCCAGTAATATGCACGGGCCTGGAAGCCGGCTTCTTGGCACTGGTTGGTTGATGCCAAGCCACATTAATTTCCAGTGGGATCCAAGCTACGACCCAGTGGATCCCAGTTGAAGTCAAGGCCTCCCAATGGCTTTGGGTGGTATCAAAGCCCCTTGAACCAACAAAAACCGCTTACTGTTAACCATTGGTTTCTGTTGGTTTCCAACCCAGCAGTAACCAATGGAATCTAGTGGCACAGAACAGTTCATATTCCAAATGCGGCCGCTGGTTTCCAGTGGCAACTGTTGAATTCTTGACCCAAATTTCGGTCTCACAATGGTGGCTAGGTAGAAAAATACATTCATGGTTTGAATTTGAGGGATATACTGTCTGGAAACTACAAAAACCAGGTTATCGGTCTCACAAGCTATTGGTTGTGCAATAAGAAAAGCAGTCATAAGTTTGTGTAAAGTAAAATCTGGTTATAAGCATGTCTGCAAAGAACCAGTCAGAGAAATAATTGTCAACACAATCAGGTTATAGCATGCACAGACATAGTAAGAAAATCATGTTAATTCTAATACTCATCTTACATCTGGTTAATACCACTTTTCAATGCAAAAAAAAGTTGTTAATGGGCTTGTAGTATCGTTCATCCTACAGCCCTTGCCCACCATCACCAGCAAAGGTTGTGGTAATATACGGCCTGGCCTGACAACACTGTGGTTGATCAGAAAAGGAGCTCACTGAACCCCTCATGCAAGCAACCTTAAGTTCAGCTGTGGTCCTTATTGTACTGTTGTTGTCATGGTTCCTATTGTTCCAAGCAGCCTATTGTTCTATCATTGCCATGGTTTCTATTGTTCTTTTGTTCCTATTGTTTCAAGTGTCTTATTGTTCTTTCATTGCTATGGTTCCTATTGTTCTTTTGTTCCTATTGTTCCAAGTGTCTTATTGTTCCTGTATCCAATAAATAGTGGGACACCTGGCAAGGAGAATCTCCAACAGGTTTCAGCCTCAAAGTTGCCTTTACAATCTTCTTCTCTTTCATCCTTTACATCTTCCTCCCTTTTCTCTCTAGCTATGCCAGAGAGATTGGTTCTCATCTTCTTTGCTCGAGAGGTCAACTGGGAAGCCAAGAATGCATGGAAGACAATCAAAGCTCTACCACTGCTGGATGATGGTCTGATAGGTGTGTCTTTCCTACTTATCTGTCCTCTACTCCTTGTTCATTTTCACAGGCTTCTTGTCCTTTCCTCATTCTGGAGTCTGTCATGCTCGTAGTGAGGGACGAAGACCCACTATCACCATTCACCAATCTCTTCCAACCGACCCATTTTTTCTGCCTCTTGCATTCATGGATCCTTTACATGCCGGTTTAGCCCCCAACTTCTGTCTCTCCTGTCACCATGTACCTGGGGCACGCAAGCCATCAGCAAAGCAAGCATTCTCAAAGACAACTGTGACATCATCAACTGCACAGGTTGATAATGCAGTGGATGTGATGCTGAATGAGATTGCAGCTGAAGGCAGGGTAGAAGAGGATAAGGAGGAAGAGAATCCAGTTGATGAAGAGGAAAATGGTGATGAAGACAATGACAGTGAAGACAATGAAGACAATGACAATGAAGATGATGGATTCGAGGTAGTGGATCTGACTTCACGCATGACACCAGTGAGATTTTTCTTCCTTTCTTTTCCTTCTATGATCTCACTCACTAATCAGCCATCCTCTGCTTTCGTTGATGCCCTCAAGATAAAAGGTGCTATACATGGTATTGCACGTGGCAAGGAGCTTCTGCTCTTTATTGTTGATCCACATCAGGGTGACTCAGTGAGTGGCCTGTGGCTCCCCTTTCTAATTGTTCTTAATATTACTGCAAGTATGCTATCCGAGTGACATTTGGTCTTGAAGGCCATTGTTTTTGGGTACCTAACGCCATGCTCGACGACATCCTTGCACAGCCACCTGTTGCTCGTGGAAAGAAGAGTGTGGCTTATCGCATTCCCACCAAGCACACTGATCAGTTCTCCGACAAGCCCACTACACATCTTGTTTCAATACAGGCTGTGTTTCGTCGACCAACACACTCGCTATGCTTCATTGACCACAACTCTATGATACAGATGCATGTGATGCGTCTCCGAGAACGCTTTGACTTTGCTAGCTTCAAACCTTCTTCTCCAGTATGTGGCACTATTCACTTGACTTGCAGATGCTGATCATCATTGACCTCTAGCTCTGGTCCCACCTTTGGAGCAGATCACATGGGCCGGTGTTTGATCTCGAGCCAGACAGTACGCGACTGTATCTGCGGAACTGGCGTATTGAGGTGCTTTCTCGCACAAGACGGATCATGCAACGCAAGGCAGACAAGTGGCCAACTACGCTTCCCACCATCTTTCAGGCCATCAAGTCCAATCAGCAGGCCTTCAATGGTGTTGGAGCACAGGAGGGAACTGATCTGCTGTTATCTGCTATGATCCACCCTCTCACTCCCGACTACTACGTATGTCTTGACGATGCCATGTTCCAGCACCTGGTGCAGGCCATTATATCTTGGGCTGAAGACGTCTGTCTGCCAGAGTCTGGGCAGAAACCTGGATTCAAGTCTACAATACCCCATGTCTCAAATGACCGCCCCTTCTTCTTCAACTGCAGTGGCCATGCAAAGTATCTCGCGCTCATCACCTGCTACCGGCGCAAGGATGTGAAGTTTTCGGTTGACAGCCTCAAGGTTGCTGAGTCATTGGGCCTCTTCAATGAGTTTGGGGTCATTCAGCCAGATGGATCTGTTGTCGGTGCGATCTCCATGATCTTTCTCAATCTCTTCTTCTCAATCTTCTCTAGTTCCATCGCGAATCAAGGATGAGAGCTCTACAGTTGTGAAGCGGGGACGAAGTGGATGGCAGAATATGCCAAACTACCAGTATGCCATTGAGGTTGACAAGAGGAAGTTACATGTGTACTCGCCTTTCACTGCAATTCCTGGCATTGGATTCCCATGGAAGGCCTTTGTGTGTCCATTCTCCTTTCTCTGTTTCTGTTTTTCTCACTTTTATTTCTAGGTGAAATGGCATGTGCAGAGTGACGTCAGCAAGGACATCAACAACACTACACTGGGGCTGTTCTCCTTTCGTGTGCTTGTGGACCTTGTTGTCACTGTCCAGAAACTCACAGTGATTGATGAGGATACTGGTGAACAGAAGGTCATCATTCCGCATCAGCGGGATGTGATACAAGTTGGTACTGCTCAGCGGAAGCGCCCATCTGCATCAGATCTGCATCGTATGAGTCACCCCAAGCAAGCCCGACTCAATTTTGTGGAGCGATTCACAGTGGAACTAACAGACAGTGGGAAACCACCCTTGCCTGCACCGCAGCCGCAGATTGCAAAACCACTTCATCCTGCCAGCTCAAAGGGTAACATCAGCAGTTATTTTCCTGTCAAGTCCAATCAGACCAAGCAGTGATAAAGTATTTACATCTACATATCTGAAACTGCACATGAAATAAATTCTCTTGAAAGGCAGAAAGCTGTATTTGTCCTTTATTTGGTCAAGCCTCCTGGGTGACCAGGTCATCCAATTACGCTGAGATTTTGGGAATGTGCTATTCCTAGGCAGTCCTTGCTGCCTGAGTACAAGAATAATAATTTGAGTAGCTAGTATTTCTCTTGAACGCTCCCCTGCTTTCTTTGTTTGTCCTGTATTTGGTCAAGCCTCTTGGGTGACCAGGTCATCCAATTACGCTGAGATTTTGGGAATATGCTATTCCTAGGCAGTCCTTGCTGCCTGAGTACAAGAATAATAGTTTGAGTAGCTGGAATTTTGTGATGAAGCCACTGATTGTCAGAAGTTTCCACTCAGTACATTGCTGTAGAGCTCTGTAGATCAGACATGTACATGTGACTGTAGACATCCCCCTGAGCATTTCCAACCAGCATTTCTGACTTGTGCACAATCCAGCTTTTTGAATATATCCATGTGTTGGGGAAAATAGGTCGAGGGGTCAATTAGGTAATGGTAGAATAAGTTTGCAATAGCAAGATAGGATGAATAGAATTGCTTTGGGGCAAACTGATGCCCTTTAGACTACATACAAGCTTAGTTATATACTAGTAATGCTAGTAATCTCGAATATTCTACTATTTACCGGCATATGACTAAATGCGGTTATATAATGATCTGGAATATTCCGGGACAGCCGAGCTGCATCCCAGGAATTCTACTTAAATCCAACACCATGACCAAATGGTCACATCAGTATGACATAGCAAGCTGCCTGGTCCGACAGTGACAAGCGCCCTAGCCCTGAAATCAATCGATCACGTGCACTGAAAGATCTCAATGGATTTGTCAGCGAGCTCGTCAAGGTTGTTGCACGTGATCATTCTGATCCCATACAAACCACCATGATCTCTGACACGGCCGCCATCTTCCTTGCGGTTGCGCTCTTTCTGTCAAACGTGGAGCGACTAATTTATGTGTTTCATTGGATCTGGGTCTCTGTGGGACAACTGTGCGGTCGGCCGAGTCGCCAGGCTGTGCCTTATTGGAGCCGACAAGGTGAGTACGGATGAGATCAAGTGAGACTGTTTAACACATTGCATTTACAGGCGAGTTGCTTGGAATGGTATTACCCCCGATCCACATTCTACCAACAACGTGGTTGAACAAGTTGAACGTGGGTTGCTTGCCTCATCGTCATAATATCGATCTTCCATTTGCCTCCACACGCGGAATCAATTGCCCTGCTGCAGACTCGATTGCCCTGCTGCAGACTCTACAGGACCGTCCAAGCGAATCTGCAACAGAATCGCACGCCAGGCTCCCATTGCCACCATCCCGAATGGTTTCGGTCTGGGATGGTTGGCCTGACGGGGCGTTCTCCGTGCATCTGACAAGTGCAGATGTGAAATTAACATCATCCGCGTCAATGAACTGGTCTTGTGACAGTTTGCGCATTGACACAGGGAAAACTCGGGCGCGAACTTGGCAGCAAGGGAGGGAAACACAAAAGATCTGTCGCGGTGTTTTCAAATGTGAGTCATCACAGTGTCCATTGGAGACCTAGTTACCAGATTCCTTCCAAGACGAGTTAGCTCAGTTTCACACAAAATGGGATAGTCCAAATCAGCGGAAAGATGTACTTGCCTTCTGCCGTCGTGTGCTCTTCCAGGCAGTCTGGAAACAGCTCCTTGATGACGAATTTCTGCATGTGTATCGCTACAGTATTGTTATTACCTGTGCTGATGGCATAAAGCGCCGCGTTTATCCACATTTCTTCACGTACTCCGCGGATTACCCTGAGAAGTACGTGCAGATCAGTACTGATAGTCTGCCCTACAAAGCTGACTGCTATTGCAGAGTGCTACTTGCAACAATACGAGAAGGCGGAGCTTGCTTGTGTCCGCAATGTCTGGTCAAGAAGTCAGAGGCACATTGTATGGGTATGGTCAGGGATATCAACAAACGGTTCAGCAATGCACGGCAATATCTTGCCTGGGCTGTTCGTGATGCCCGCAATTGGATTTATACACGAGGTTACGGTATCAAATCTGCCATGGTGGAGGGTTTGCTTAAAAAGACATCGTCCGTGCCAATCGAAGTATGTCTGATCTTTTGGTCCAATCCCCGGATACTAATGCGATCTCAGAATGCGTTTATTACTTGTCTCGGGGCGTCCTTCAACTTACATCGAATGCTGGTGGTCGACTTCTTGCACGAGTTCGAGCTGGGAGTTTGGAAGTCATTGTTCACGCACCTCATTCGTCTTCTCTACACCCAGCTGAGTGGGGCAAGTCTGGTTTCGGAGCTCGATTTACGGTAAGTGATAAGTCTGGACCAATGGTCTAACCTGACTGGCAATCAGCTATCATCAAATACCATGATTCGGACGCGACACTATCTGTCGATTTGCCACTAATGCTTCAGAGATGAAGAAGCTCAGCGCCCGCGACTTCGAAGATCTGCTGCTTTGTTCCATCCCCGTTTTCGATAGCCTATTTCCCGACAGTGAAGACAATAAACGTGTTCTCAAATCTCTCTACCGCATGGCAGAATGGCATTCATTTGCGAAACTTCGAATGCATACAGAACCTACTCTGGCTCATCTTGAAGCACGTACAGAGGAGCTGGGACGTCTGATGAGGGTGTTCCAATCCAAGACATGCTCGAAGTACACAACGAAGGAGCTGCCACGAGAGGTGGCTGCTCGGGCAAGACAGGAGCAGAGAGACGCACAAGCAAAGGCTGCTTCAGGCTCGACCGCTACTTCAAAACAAATGAGGCGTAATAAAAGTGAAAAGGGCTTGAATCTGGCCACGTACAAGTGGCATAGTCTTGGTGACTATGTGAATTTCATCCGCCTGTTTGGGCCTACGGATAACTATTCGACACAAGTGGTGAGCTCCATCAGTATTCACATCCGGAGTGAGAAATCTGACAAATGGACAATGCCAGGGAGAGAGTCTGCATTGCATTGTGAAGCGTCTCTATGGTATGACCAACAAGCGGAATCATGCAGGTCAAATTGGGGTCCGTGTTACTCGAATGGCTCGTGCTCGTGTTTCACAACGCATTCGAGAGGCCAAGAAAATGCGCCATTTCCACCTCGTAGGGTTTGATCAACCCGATCCCTTCACTATGACCGATAACCATGCCCATCACGCAACAAGTCGAGTTCGAAGATATCCCTTGTACATCGATAGGTTCAGTTATGCAATCACTGGAGATCCGGCGCTCAAGGTCCGTGTTTGTTACTGTCAGGAAGTAGCCCTACATTGCCAAGTACTAACAGTTGCATTAGAACTTTGTGCCCAAGCTACAAGACCATCTCCTCGGCCATCTGCTGGATCGCGAGTTCGATGGCGACACTCATGACTCCTTCAAGGCAATAGACCGGCAAAGTGTTCAAATCATTGGCAATCGCTTATATACCACCAAGACGCTTCGAGTCAACTACACTACATACGATGTGCGCCGGGAGCAAGACATCATCAACCCACGAATGTCAGCATTTGTAATGGTGCGCTCACCGGAAACGCAGTCTGATGCACATCCATACTGGTATGCGCAAGTTCTTGGCGTCTTCCATACATCTGCTTGTATCTCCTCATCAAGTTTGGTCTCCGCCACAAGAACATACGACTTCTTATGGGTGCGATGGCTGGGAATAGAGCCTGGGCATTGAGCTGGTTTCAAGAATGCACGCCTGCCTAAGGTTGGCTTCGTAGAAGAGTCAGATTCGCTTGCATTTGGCTTTTTGGATCCAGCTTACGTTGTTTGCGGCTGCCATCTAATACCGGATTTCAGTGGCGGCCGGACAAACTCTCTTCTCAGCACCATGAAGAAGACGGCGGCAAGATCCGTGGATGAGACAAGTGATTGGGCCTCATTCTATGTGAACATGTAGGTTCTTCCTTGTTCATTGAGAATTGTAGCTCACAGGGAGCTCAGATTCCTTGATCGCGATATGGTCATGCGATACTTTGGAGGGGGAATTGGGCATCTGTCTGTACAACCGGAGACAGAAGAGGAGGATGCAGATGAACCAGACGAAGATGAAGATCAGGAGGACGAGGAAGACAAACCAGAGGAAGACGAGGAGGATGAAGACGACTCGGAGGAGGACAAGGAGGACAAGGACGAGGACGAGGATGAAGAGGAGGTAGAGGAGGACGATTTTGGTACAGACGATGGCGAAGATGATCATGAAGACACAGGCTATGCAGGCCTCTAGTCAGAACAGTGAGGAATGACACAGAGTGTGTGAATCCGATTGCACAAATTGCATTCTGACAGTAACATTCACACATTGATGGTGTCAGCACATAAAACAAATTCTCTTGAAAGGTGGAAAGCTATATTTGTCCTTTATTTGGTCAAGCCTCTTGGGTGACCAGGTCACTCAATTACACTGAGATTTTGGGAATGTGCTATTCCTAGGCAGTACTTGCTGCCTGAATGCAAGAATAATAGTTTGAGTAGCTGGAATTTTGTGATGAAGTCACTGATAGTCAGAAGTTTCTGCTGCTCAATGCTCTTAGACAGAATTTTGCAGCTGAGTTCCTCAGATGGGATGTGGCAACTAAGGTGCTTAGTCGGGATTCTGATTCTGATACCAACTTAAACATAGGAAGATTTTTCACAAAATGTTTTTTCTAGACACTATATCGCCCAAACAAACAATTATGACAAGTGCATATAAAATTCATTTAATTTAGAACGCGATCTCATGTGAATGATGGTCAGCGTACTTATTGACATGACTAATACAGAACAAGTACAAGATCCCCGACAGAATAAGCGGGCACTAGGTGAGGTTTGATGAAGTGCGATTCACCATCAGAATGTGAATCAAATGCCGATGCAGATTCACATTTGCACACTCTCTGTATACACTCTCAGAACAGTGCATAATACACATTGCATATCTTAATGAGTGATCCTGGTCAGATCAAGAATTGTGTGGGGATGTACAAGTTGAGATTGAGCATTTACTCGAGGCTATTGCTCATCATGTACTCAAATTGAATTGTCACGATATTCTCGACCCGGAGAGTCCTTACTAATTGTCACGGTATTAGCTGTCTAGTACTCATGAAAACTAGCCGTGCTAATATGAATGGATGAGAGGCCCATGATTCTGCTTTTGGCTGCCCCAACACCGAGTAGTCTGATGGCCACGAGCGACACTGCTTGCCTGCTGACGAGTCCCGCGACGGACTCGACGCAGCTCGTGAGCAGCTGATGAGCTGCATCTGCGCATTAGCGTCGTTGATGATCTCGTGATCGCCATCAGTCCTGATACGCGGTTGTCTTATTTCCTGATGACGGGTGTCAAACCGCCATTGCGCCTAGCGGAGCAGGAGTTCAGGGACCGGTGGCGTTCTATACCCAATGACGACAAGGTCAGACTGATTTGTCGCTGCTCATTTTTGTGTCTGATCTCTCTCTAGGCCAACGGAAATGCCCGGAAGACATGGCAGCGCTTCCGGGAGATTCCCGAGTACATCGAAAATCAAGTCAAAGAGCGCGCGGTCCCAACATCTCAGGTGATCGAAGAACTCGAGGTACTTCGAGTCAAAGGGCATCACAAGAGTGGGACAGAGATCAAGATGGGGCTCAACCAGCTGTCGAAGATTGTTGTGGGCATACGTAAGAATGCTATCAAGGCTGCGTGGGTAGGTGCATATCGCCTTTCCTGTCGAATCCATCTCATGGTGTTTCATAGGCCTTACCATCGTCGACAACCTCATCCTCAGTGGCATTGTCACAGCCAGTCCCAGCCTTGGAACCTGCATTGAATTGGTATCGACTTCTACGATAAAACGCCGTGCCGAGGCAGTTGGAGCTCGAACACGTCCCGCAAAACGGCCCAAGGCTTAGTTTAGGCACGACATTTGATTTGTAATGTAATACAGACATGTAATAGACCGCAAGCAGCCGCATGGCAAGGACGCCGACCTTGGACGCGAGCGCGGCGGCCTCCTCCATCGAGTGTGTCGTGATTATCGCCGCCTTGCCCACCGGTGTCTGCCACATCTCGTGCTTCATCTTCGTGTCGATCCCCGTCGAGAACTTGTCGATCAGCACCACAGACGGGTTGCCCACAAATGCGATGGCCAGTGAGAGCTTGCTTGCGAGCCGGTCGGCGTAGATCGCCAGCCCTGTCGCAGACAGCAACGACTTGACGCTCGACGACAGATCTGCACTGCTCAAGCCCTTCAGTCGGCTGTATATGATCAGCTGCGCGTCGATGACCGAGAATTGGGGACACACACCCAGCGACACACGCGCCGAATGCGGGTGGTTCACGACCGAGGTACCCTGGATCAACACATCTCCTGCTTCCGGAATAACATCGCCCCCTGCCCGTCATTAGCCTGAGCACGTCGAACAAAAAGAACTCACAAATGACATTGTACGTGGTTGCCTTCCCTGCGCTGTTCAGTCCAAGCATGCAGAAGATCGTGTCCCGCAACACCTCTCGACCGCATGCACATTTCCGGCACGTACGTGCGCACGAGTTCGACGAATTTGACATCTGCAGGACAAGTTCAGTTTGTGGCCCCCTCGGCAGAGCGATTCCGCGGCCAGACACGCATTGTCTTCGACCTTTCAGCTCACGTCATCCACCACCGTATTCGCTCCAAACCGCTTCAAGACGTTCAGCACGCGCAGCAACTCGCCTGACTGCGCAGCGGTGCGCGCCTCCTCCATGACATCCGGCTTGGCCTGGCCTGGCAAGATTGTGTATTGTGTATGTAAGCGCGCAGTGTTTGCCAGGGCAGCGGCGACCCACCCAGAGTCCACCCAGGCCCAGACAAGGACAGCATCGTCGACATGAGTTGAGTGAGAACTGAACCGTGAAGATCGATCGAGTCGAACAAGAGGGTTCCAAGCCACAGACCGACTGCACCGACGAGCGCCGCTCCTTCGACACACCTCACCAACTGGGGCGAGGCATCGGGAATGATGCGCGGCCGAGTGCAAACGGACGACCCAGAGGGCCAGGATCTCGGTGACCCAAAACGTGACAGGATGCCGAGCCGGAGCCGGAGAGGGCCAGACGAGGGCGGGACAAACAAAGGCGGAGAGGCCGAAAAGGAGAGAAAAGGAGAGGACCAGGTGGCTGTGCCCGGGTCTCTCAGGCGATCGGGTCACCCGAGAAGCATTAAGAACTCTTTTTTCGATACCTATCTGGGGATTGACTGATTTGTCGTGTTCTTGGATGCTACCCTGGTCGTAGCGCAAGCAGTCACTGACATGAAGCTGGACGCAATTAGCTTCGGCATTGATCAGCAAAAGACCATCAGCTTTTAGGTTCATGAGACATCGAGATGTACTGTGTGGGATCCATCCCGCTGTGCATACAGACACATGATCATAAATACGGTGAAGAATGAGATGACACATCAGTAGCGATTTATGAATCTGAGCTAGAAGACAACGAGGACAACGACAACATCTGAACGTGGGACATGGCAAAAGCAACATCGATAAGAAGGATGGAAGTGGACTGACTCGTTTGCGAGCCCAGCGAAGAGCGAAAGGCATGCCACTCCGAATAGCAGTACATAAGAAGGTTCAAAAAATTGCATCGACAGCCACAGAGGCCCGAGCGCTGGATATGCAATGAACAAATCATCGCACGCCGCACTTGGCAAAAGAGGCCTATTACAAGCCGGCAGAGCACACCGACATCCGTAGTCTGCCTCTTGGCGCTTACCCACCTCGGCTGAACAACCTCCGATACACTTTGCAACTGGACCATCCAGTAGTCCCAGCCAGACAGGACTCGTGCGCCCGGGACACACCGAGTAGCAAGGACGGAGCAGGCACGCAGCCACTGATCCGTATAATTATCCAAAAACATGTCGTTGAACTCCGTGGGGCCGGAATCGCACGATGGAGGAGGCTCAGATTCGCGGGAAGGTGCAATACTGCTACTGGGTGGGAGAGAAGATGGCGGCTCCGGATCCAAGGTCGGCGTACATGCGGATGTGCCGCAGGGCGCTTCAAGGCGTGCCCACGCGTGCATCCACTCGTCTGAAAAGCCGTCCGTGAACATCTCGTCGTACGCGTCGGAGGCGGCGCTGGGTCCTTAGAAATCAGCTCCTAACGCGTGTCCACGTAGGTGGATTCACGCACCTGACGGGGCTCTCGCGCCCAAACGCATCCCGCTCCGCACTTTCAAGGGCCTGCACCACTGCATCCGACAGGAGGACACACTCGCCGTCTTCGCTCCCGAACTCGTCCGCGTCCGTGTCCGCCCCGCGCTGGCCTATCTCCGGATCCATCACCACCCGTCTTCGAGCCGGCGTATGGTCGCTCGACCGCAGTCGGCGTCGTCGCAGTCAATGTAGTCAGTCACTTGAGAGAAAGGAAGCGCTGTCAAGGAAGACCCCGGCTTTCGTTGATCCGGATCGTTCGGCGGCACGTAATGTGCAAGTAGTCGTAGTCAATGACCTGCGGCGAGATTGTTTCCAGGTGGGCGGTCAACTCAATAGTGCATTGGTGTACAGTCAAAATGTGATAAAGAAGGCACAGTATCGAAAGAAACATGAGCTGACCCGACTAAACTCTCCAAACCAATGTTATATCTAGTAGTTCTATCATTAACAACTCAACAACGATGCAGTAAAGTAATGGCATCAGAGAAGGACAGCATCGCTCTCATGACTGGAGCTCGGGGGAGGGCGTTCTCTCCGCGATCTGATAGAGTGAAGGCAAACTAATTGCCAAACCATTGCTTGAAACAATCAAGTGCCCTCTGCGGCTCCTCCATGACGAACTGCGAGCACGATCGATTAACCTGAAGCGCCATCTCGAACGGAACTGAAACGTACGAAGTGATTGGCGCCGTCCACCAACTCAAAGGTGATCTCGCACTCGGGCTTCGCCTCCGCCAGCATCCGCTCTTCGATCTTCCACCCGGCGTAGATTGAGTTCCAGCCATCAGTCGAACCGGTCACAAGATAGAACTTGCTGTCTTTCCACAGCTGGCCGCGCACGTGCGTATCAAACAGCGCTTTGCCAGCCAGTTTTGCAGTGGCAGCGGCGAAACTCGGAGAAACGAGCATCGCGTCAGCCTTGGCGCCCGCCGTCAAGTCTATGATGCCGTCCATTGGGATAGTCTCGATGGTCGGCGGCCGATTCGGGTCAGTGCGAGAGTACGACAGATTTCGTAGGTCGAGAGGTCGAGAGGTCGCCGTGCAAGAAGAAGCTCGTCGCCCAACGGGCAAAGAACGGTCCCATCTCGGCTCGAGGCACTTCGGGATCGGTCTGGGGCACGTGCATCCCTTCCGGGTTTGGAATACCAAAGACGACGGTGGGCGGCTCTGCAGACTATCAGCTTTGTCGGAACGGGGGAAGTGAAACTCACGGTAGAGGATAACGCTTCGTACGGAACTGCTGAGCGTCCGGCGCGCACCTTCAGGTAAGCTTTCCATCGACGCCACGATAGCTATGATGGCTAGAGATCCTAGCGACCAACCAGCGACAGCTACGCCACCCGGAAGAGAAAGCGATTCGCCAAGCCCCGCGATCAGCAGCGCCAAGTCTCGACCCATATCCTCAATGAAGGCCTCCTTCTCCGCTTCGCTCCCGTTCATGAGCAAATCGAGCTCGTCCGGATGCGGAGTGAACCCGTCGTATTCTCGGCGATTCGGAGCGATGACACGGACGCCGTTCGAGGGCCCGAGGGCAGCTAAGGACTGGAAGGTCCCTGGACGCCGCAGTTCATACTCGAGGTCCAGTCCAGACTGCTAGAAGAACACGCACCGTTGTTGAACATGATCCCATGAATGAGCACCAGCGTGACATAGTTTGTCTTGTTCGATGTGGGAATCCCGCTGTCGGTGTAGCTGAAGACGATTCCGCTGGGAAGATTGAAGGAAGGCATGTACAGGGAGATTGTGCCATGCCCTTATATGCCCTTTCGTCGGTGTGATTCATGCTTGATGTGTCAGTCACAGGATGAACGGCGATGTAATGGACCTACTCAATCGCGTTAAGCGAGGGTTGGCATTCATGAGCAGCGTTTAAGCACCCCAGACGTGCCCGGGTGTGTTCACCATCAAGTCAACAAGCATTAAGTTGCGCGCCGCACGGCTTTTAGTACTAGATTTTTAGATAATGCGCACCAGAAGATCCAGTGCTTAGTGAGCTGATACATCACAGATTGTCCATACGCGAGCAATTGTTCTTGGGGCTGGCCTGGGCACGGCTGAGAGCCGAAGTCTAGCTGCCCCGCCTCGACGTCAAACATGCTGACACATGTGCGATGATCGCGAGCAGTGTTTGGAAGGCAAGGCAGTCCGTAGCAAGATCAGACTCCCGAGAGCCAGCCGTGAGTCCTTGCGCGCAAAAAGATATCATGCAGACAGCCACTATCACGCAGCACGCTCGGTTGGACCATTTTCGGATCAGTTACGCAGCGTGAGCGACACAAGCGGCAGCTTGCAGCACCTGTCGAGGTCGCAATGTGTTGGTCTATAGAATATGTGGGTTCTGATCTGAAGTCCGTGTGAGCCTCAGTGCAAGAGTACAGCAGGATGCGGATCTGCAGGATAATACACCGTGGAGACGGGCAGCCTCTGGAAACACATCGACACAAGGCAGGTGAAGATGAAGGACATGTTCCGGCAGTCGCTCTCGGCGTAGGAGGACTAGTGTAGTCTTCTGCGTGACAAGTAGTACGGCCTGATGGTAGTCGACAGGAAAAAGTCAAGCTGTGCCACGGATGTGGATTTTAGTTTGACAGGTCAATCAGTCCAACGTCAGGTTTGCACATATCTACTGTATCGACATGCTCTCCCAGTGAATAGGAAACGATGATGTCGAGACCATCATGGACTCACTACTCAATCCCACCACGCCGTGAAAACGGAGCATCAAGTATCCTTCACGCACCTGTTGGGGCAAATCAGTGGCAGCCGTCGTATTGCGCTTCAATCTACGATACGGCGCGCCCGAAATCCTTCTTATCCCGAGCGAGGACGGTCCTTGATTACCGCTTCAATGCATCATTCCTGACAGTGGTCTTTACTTGTGATTCTGTGAGAGTGCACGTCGCGACACGTCCCTGACATTCCGCGTCGATGCGACCAGCTTATACACGAATTCCCTCCTGCTTTGGCTGACCTGCGTACCCAACAATATGGACGCATGCAGACGTCCAACGTGTTGCAATTGGGTACTAGCTTGGTGAGCAGCCTGGCCTTCCGAATCGTTACGGTTATAGTCCAGACTCATCTCTGAATAGGGTATGCAATCGCTCCCTTTGACTTCTTCGACGAGGTGTCCAAGACTCAGATCAGACAAGAATCCCCGTCTGCTCAGCGCCGTATCCCATGGCTTCCGGGACTCCAGATCTAGATCTATTTAGGATGATGCACCGATGTGACGTGGTATGATATGAATGTATCTACAGCGAAAGCTGCTGACTGACTATAATCGCAGGCTTCATGGCATCATCGCGAGGTCTACCGAACGAACTCGATCTGCACGACGGACACATCCTACCGCAGTTCTTGACCACTAGCAGCACGTTTGACGCCTTCGCCTGATACAGTATGTGTCCTGACGCCGTGATCGTCGCCTGCAGAATTTAGCATAGGACAATGGTATTCGACTCATGCATTGTGCCAAGACACTCAAATGAGACACAACATGATGCTGAGCGAGCAAGAGTCCCCAGACTTGCTGAAACCCGACAGGAGAACCGGCTTCTTCAGCCTTCTCGTCTACGCAAGCAGCGACTCTGTAGAGCGACGGGAGCTGACTGATGTCTCGGATGTCGAGTCGGACGCATGATTGGACTTTCCCAGCGGGAAGGCTGCTCGCTGACCACTGGTGGGGGGACTGCAGCAGCAGCAGCAGCAGCCACGGCGTGCAAGGGGTTCGGCTTGTATACGATTGCGCCAATCCTCGGTGAAGAATGTGGAGAACGGGAGTGCGGTTTGGACACGCGTTGTCTAGATGACGACCCAACGAGGAACCGATCCATCGCCAGGACATCCGTGCGCAGCTGCTCGAGGCCCGGTCTGCGTCTCTGGTCGGGATGGAAGATGCGGTTGAGCAGGCAACTGAATGTAGGAGTCGGGTTCAGCATCCGGCGAAGAAGATTGGCGGGGTCCGATCGGTATGTGACAAATCGACGGTCGCTGTTGACTGGGACTCTCCACAGCCAACTGCTTGTCGGCAATGCGATGAAGATGACCCCCAGAGCCCAGCTATCGGCGCCGCGCATTGAGTGATTCTTTCGGCGATTTCACAACTGGATGAAGTAACAGCAGTGGAAACAAATGATTTTTTACTGCCCGAATTCTACGAGTACAGACGTCTGAGAGGGATGGAGGGCAGCGTGGGATTGTTCGGCATGCGGACTACGTGCTGCTTGTTGATACGAAGTACACCAGAGGGAGGCGCAAGAAACAACACGATTTCGTCCCACTCGCCATCAAAGGAACCTTCCAGCTCGACGACAGGTATGTGGTCCAGGTCCTGAGACGTGCTCGAACGGATGTAGAACTGCCACTGGAAGGCGATGTTTGCATAAGTGGTGGTGTGGGGAAGGAGCATTTTGTGGTAAAGGATGCGGATTTCGGTATCGGGAATGTCGTAGTAGTAAAGTTCGACGCCACGGGGAGGGTCACGGTGCTGTGGAATGGTTCGTGTTTGTGGGGGAGAAGGATTGGACACGCACGACAATGTGGGGAATATCAGAATCCAAATCGTGCTTCATGCCATCGAACAAGTCCTGGATCTCCAACAGGCGACTGGGAGGACAAAGCCGTAAGAAGTCTTGGACCTCTGCAATGCCCTGCGGGGTGGCATGCCCACTTGCGATCAGGGAATTCAGGACTGACTGCGCTTGGACGTGAGCGAGTCAGTGTGGCTAAGCTGTGGCAGAGGCGCACATTGCGAGCATTGTCGTCAGCACTGCCGGATGAGAACACGGGTGGGTCTGCCCAGGAAGATGATGTGAGGGGGAACATGGTGGTTTGGTGTGGTGGGAGAGCGTCACACACTTCATATAAGTATCGGCTTTTGACTGGGCAATTGGCTTACCTTGTATGTCGGAGTTTGAATTTGGTCGATCAGGCTTGGCTTGTGTGGCTTGGGCTTGGCTTGTGTACTATTGATCGCAATTGACAGGTGTTTCTGCACCATAGAGGTGTTTTCGGTCGTTAGAGCCATTTAATGCATGTATTGCCTTCGGGTTTTCTACAAATGATTCCTTATATACTCTCAAATGATTGTGCAAAGTCCGAGAGCAATCGGGCAAGTGCAAAGAATTGCTCGGTGCTGCCGGCACATCAAATGAGGTGTTCTCAAGCTCATCTCTGTAATTCCAAGCCTCCCGTTGGTCATTTCAGGCCGGGTAAAGATGAGCAATACATTATTAAGTATCTAAATCGTATTTGATACACGCTTCGCTACTCTGGGCTTGTA